CCCTTCTCTTCAGCTACACTTGTATAACTCTGCAGGGAAGAGGAGGACAGAAGTAGAATTAGTTGGCTCTGCCTGCTATTGGCTCTGGCGCCACCTACTGTTGGGCTCTTTGCCTTCTGCCCTACCAGTGACAATGGGCAAGAACCACCACTGTGATAACCGGTATGTATTGCTCCCCAGATACCCACCAGCTTCCCAGATAAGCACAAGTGTAACCTGTTCAGAAGAAAGTCAAGCTGTGCTCAACAGACCTTATCCCAAGGTAAGCATAGATTACAACTAAGAAATCCGAAGCTTCACAGAGAAAAAGATATGGAAGATCAGAAACCACAAGGAAAACAAACAAAGCCAGGAATGTGGACACCCGCCTCACTTCCTGCTCTGCCAACACCTGCACTTTACATTTTAAAACAAAAAGCTTGACAAGGCAATCCAGATTTGGGCTTTAAAAAAAATAAAAATAAAGAAATAGATTATCTGAACCTATGCCAAGTTTACCATTTTAAACCTACTCAACTCATAGTACCACCCTGACTACAGGATTTAAGTGGTTTTAAGTGCCCTAATGCTGAAAACATTTAGAGGCTGCAAAGTGCAGCCTAGATAATTTCCCTGCTCTTTTCCTTGCATCAGCCAAGGCCACTGAATCTTTGCAAGACCTAGGCCTAGCATGGAATCCAAGGGCTAGACACTGGTCTAGGCAAACTAGGGTGGAGAGACGAAGACAACACAATTGGCAACACTACAGCACCCACTCGGAGCATCTACTGCCCTACAACAGACACTGCCTTTTATTCAGGGTTGGCTTCAGGCTTGAAGGGGCCTTCTGCAGGCTTCCCTGGCAGTAGCAGGTGAAAAGCTATCAGATTTGCACATCTTTCTGAATGGCTATTTCTTCTCTTGCAGCATGCAAAGGTGACCTTGGAAGAGTTTTCTCAGACCGCGTGGCCGAGCCCTTTATGAAGCGTGCCAAAAGGTGTTCATTCATTGCTGCATTTTACAATTACTGCTAAGAGGTACATTTGTTTCTCATAAGGATTATTTCCTCTTTTGGGTCAGAACTGTAATAGGAAGTTCAGTTCTATGATTTCATTTATAGTTGCTGTTCCCTGGCTGGCACTGCAAAGTTAAGATTAGCACACCTTCTAAGAAGCTGTTCTTTATAGTGTCTCTCCTTGTAAAATCTCTAGGCAGAATGCTGCCATCAGCGTTTCTATGTTCAACATGCCTAACTACATTAGTACAGGCTTCAGAGGGTAACACCAGCTTCCTAACCCTTGTAGTATCTTTCAAAATACTCCCTTGCCTGCCTCTCAAATGCCCTGTGGGGAACATTCTCACAGTCATTGGCTAGAGACAAAGGAATACTTTTTTTGCCTGCTCATCTTATTTCCCTCTCCATTTTGGAGTAGTTACTGTAATTATTTAACTTTATTTAAACTCCTAACTCATGACTGAATTGGGAGAATGTCTTTCTGCATAACTACATGAATTGTCATCTAATGAAAGCTCTGCAAAAGCACTCTACCATGCTTCTAACTGAAATTGATTTTATTGGTGCTCACTCAGTCATGAGTAAGTTTATTTCGTATTGGAGGCTTGTAAAAACATACAATTCATAGCAAACTAAGAACCTGGCAAGTAGAATTATGAATATTTCACAATCAGGGCACTACTACTGCAGTTAAGCCTTCCTACTTTGAGAAAGTGTTTAGCATTTTCTGCAGAGGCTGGATTCTGGACCGTTTTGATTACTTGCTTTGTAGATTACATTTTCACTGTAATAAGGTTTTTTAATGTTTTATAAGAAATATGTGTATTAAATGAAAAATCTGTGTACTGTGGAAGTTCTTGGGAGTCGACAATAGCAAACATGTTGAAAATGTGCCCCAGCATTAAAAAAAGATAAAAATCTTTTTTAAAAGCCTGCAATGACATCATGCAAAAACAAACCAACAAACCCAAGACACTCAGTATATCAGAATAAATGCAGCATGTGTTTACTCATAAGTAAGCCCCATTATGTTCAATGTGTTTTACTCTCTAGTAAGTTTGCATGGGATTCATTAGAGCTCAACCTTCCTGCTGCAAACCTGCCAGTTAAAGGTACCTGCAGTGTCCTTTACGCTAAATCTTCTCTAGCAATTCCTGGTTTATAGATGAGCAAATAGCAGGTTTCAGTGAGAGAGGTCAAACTCACAGAAGAGGCCTAGTGAAAAATAAATGGGTCCAGTTGGTATAAGCCCTGCACTGTGATTTACACTAAGAGCAATTGCATGAAATCAGTCATTACCACAGCTGAAGGGTTAGAGCATTAACTCTCTTCATCTCCGATGTAGTGCTCTTAACCACCAGCTAAAACTGATGTTCATGGGGATTATGACTTATGTAATGACTGCAAATGCTCTGAATTAGACACCAAAGCATTTGTTAGTAGGAATGCAAAAGACTTTTGCTTTCAGTCTCAATGCATTTCAGACTCTGGGCCCAAATAATTCAGCAAGTGGTAGCTGTTCAGTTTCAACATTTTAAGAGGCAAAATATTTGTAGAACTACTTTTTAATTGACTCTTCGGTTGCAGCTTCGACACTTAGACAATGCAGATTAAAGTACATAAGAGGAAGAACAGCACGAGTCAGTTCCAATTTCTGCTGCTGGACTAAGTGGCAGATAGGTCCCAGAGCTAGGCTATAACAAGTGTTATGTATTTGTGTGTGGCCCACCTATTCTTCAGTTGTTTTAACTGATTTTAGTATTTTGTCGTTGTCATAACCTGCCCTGGGACCTTATGGTGAAGGGTGGGGAAGAAATTCAGTAAAATAATATCAATCCTGCTGCTCCAATGGGCAGCTCTACTTGAGCAGACCAAGGCATACTGTTTCCAAAACTGGTGTGCCAAATATTTCTGGGATGCCCACAGGCAGGGTATGGATACAATAGTGACCCCCCACCCCCCCTTCTGCTGTTGACATTGAGTATCTGATCATGGAGGCAGAGGACCTATCCTCTGTCATTTGCCCAACCCTTTAAAAAAATCCATCTAAACAGGTGGCCATGACCACATCTTGTGACAGTGAAGCCCACAACTTAATTATGCAGAGTGTGAAAAAGCACTTTCTGCCTTCAGCTATGTCCACTCTATGTCCCCCCAGAGTTCTAATGTTTTGAGTTGGCGAAGAATTTCTCTCTCATTTTCTCTCCATCATTTAAAATTTAATAACTCTGTATCGTGTCCATCCTCAGTTGGGCAAGCACCACAAGCCTTACAGGGGAAGCACAGCTGATGCCAAACTGAGCCCCTCCCATGACACACTCCCCCAGTAACATTAAATAAGAACCATGTGATACCATCATGTCCAGAGATTCCCTGCCTCTGTATGCAGCAGCCAATGAGCTGCAAGTGGGGAAACTCTGAAGGTTTTATAACGACACATTGTACTACTCGCAGCTGTCCATGGAGGCGCAGGTCAATTCTGTGTCAAAACAATAAAATCCTTAATAATAATAATAAAAATTCTGTGTCCAGGGCAGCTGTCTACCAGCTCCATCTGGTACGCAGGCTGAGACCCTACGTGCCCGTGGACTGTCTCGCCAGAGTGGTGCATGCTCTGGTTATCTCCCACTTGGACTACTGCAATGCGCTCTATGTGAGACTACCTTTGAAGGTGACCCAGAAACTACAACTAATCCAGAATGCAGCAGCTAGACTGGTGACTGGGGGCAGCCGCCGAAACCACATAACACCGGTCTTGAAAGACCTATATTGGCTCACAGTACGTTTCCGAGCACAATTCAAAGTGTTGGTGTTGACCTTTAAAGCCCTAAACGGCCTCGGCCCAGTATACCTGAAGGAGCGTCTCCACCCCCATCATTCTGCCCGGACGCTGAGGTCCAGTGCTGAGGGCCTTCTGGCGGTTCCTTCACTGCGAGAAGCAAAGCTACAGGGAACCAGGCAGAGGGCCTTCTCAGTAGTGGTGCCCGTCCTGTGGAACGCCCTCCCATCAGATGTTAAAGAGATAAACAACTACCTGACATTTAGAAGACATCTGAAGGCTGCCCTGGTCAGGGAAGTTTTTAATGTGTGACATTTTGATGTATTTTTAATCTTTGTTGGAGGCTGCCCAGAGTGGGAGGCCCAGCCAAATGGGTGAGGTACAAATAATAAATTATTATTATTATTATTATTATTATTATTATTATTATTACGACTACTACTATGACTTCTACTACTACTAGAGTAGCAGCCATGGATCCCGCGTAACTTGCAGTTTTGGCTCTTATTTCTATAGGCTAAAACTTGCCGTTGGTCACACCACCCAAGTGCTACAGTCACCACGTACATTGTGCCATAATGTTTAATCAACTGAAAATCTCACATGTACAATTTGTTAACATGAGGGTCAGCCCAAACACGCACGCAACGTACTCGGTGCTCTGAGGTCTCCAGTGTCTTTACAGAGTTTGTCAATAGCCAAAAAAGAAAAAGGAAACAGAAAGACAAAGCCGCCAGATTTCCCCCTCCTTCTGCTTGATGTGTGCCACAGCACTATGTTCAGATGGTAGCTGACTTGACTTGAGACGTACATTGCTTTGGGTATTCCAGTTACATACAAGGTGCCAAATGAAGAGGTGTTAAGGTGGTGGGTCCTTCGTGTCCCAAGTATTTCTCTGTAGATTGCCTTGGCTTCGTTTTCCAGTAACAGAAATCTTGGCTTGGCAGGCCTTCTACTTTCTTGCCCGTGGAGCTTGCTGCTCTCCTTGCTGGCTCAAAGCTCCTCCATCTCTCTTCCAAGCTATTTTCACCCTGTAATTTAACAGTCCTCTTTTATACACCTTTTATACACCTTCCCTCTTGAGTATTTCTTACAGCTGGTTCAAAGCGGATGCCAATGGATCATCTGGGTGATGTAAGGAGAGGAAGAAAAGACACATTCATTATTTACAGCTGCTCGTTTGCCCTTATAATTTTGAGATGGCTCAGAGGGATGAGAGAGTGTGGATTAAGTTCTCAGAAGGTGAATCACATCCTGACATTGTATAGAGTAGCTCATTCTCTCTTCAAGCAACCAGGTTTGATGCATCAGCATTCTGTGCTCTGCAAAGAAATAACGAAAGGGTACATATGTTGGCATGTTTAATCTCTCTGTATTTGTTATTTCAATTTATACCTCGCCTTTCTACATATAGTACCCAAGATGCCTAAAAGCAATGATGATAATGTTCTATTCACCAAAGTGGTAAAATTACATCTGGCATGGATACAGCCAGTTTAATTCTAACTGGTAGAGGCCAAATAGTACTTTGCACATGACGAATTGCTTCATATATATCATCGCCCATGGTCAATGTAGAAGTGCGAACTTCTGACAGGAAGCCAATCATGCCTATTCATTGTTATAGTACAATGAAAAAGGACACAGGCACACCCTTCCCATGCCATGGTGCATGCAAATCAGTACGCAACAGCAGCACCTGTGAAAGATCTTATTTGTCAAGTAAGAAGAGGCCCCAATCATGCCATGGGATGCAAAGGCTTCTTGAATTCATTTCTGGTTGATTCAGAAAAAATAGGACAAAGGCTCTGAAATATAATGATGGAAATGATGTAATGTGAAGTGTACATTCAGATGGAATGCCTGTGACTTGTTTAACTTGTTTATAACATTTATATTCTTCCAGGATGCTCACAGCAGCATAGCAGTAGGGTCTTGCACCCAGGTGCTGGGAAAACCAAGAATCTGCTTATTTATTAATTAAAATATTTATAGGCCGCCCTCTCATATAAAATATCAGGTGGTATACAGCAAACTATGTAGGTGAATAAAACATAAAGTATAATTAAAAAATACAAAATCATAGAAATGACTGGCTCCTCTTTAAAAGGTTTACACAACTGAATAGGCCTGCCGGCATGAAAAGGCAAACCCAAGCAACATCACTGTGTACCCACCCAATCTTCTCTCCTGCGTCCCCCACCCCTCATGGCTGCTTTCTAATCTAAACAAAAAATAAGGGAAGAAGGTATTTGGAGAGGCAATTGTTGGTCTTCCATGTAAAGTCCAGTTTTAAGCACATCCATTACCAATCTTCTCTGGTAATGGATGTGCCAATCTTCTTTGACTAGTGGGCATTGTGGGGTGTGTGGCACAACTAAAAATGGCCGCCACGTTTAAAAGACCAGAGAAAGAGCCAAGACCTCAAAACGGAGTAGGAATTCCTCCAACCCCAAGAGGGGGGAAATAGCTACATAAGCCAATGCTGTGCTTGCTCACTGTGAGAACCTCTTTGTACCTTCCTTCTATTCAGAATGAAAATACAGTGGTGCCTCGCAAGACGAAAAGAATCCGTTCTGGGAGTCTCTTCGTCTAGCGGTTTTTTCGTCTTGCGAAGCAAGCCCATTGACGGGATTAGCGGATTAGCGCTATTAGCGCTATTAGCGGCTTTTAGCAGCTTTTAGAGGCTTTTAGCAGCTTATCAGCTTATCGGATAAGCAGATAAGCGGCTTAGCGACTTAGAAAAAGAGGGGGAAGAGGGGAAAAAAAACCCAGGAACTCGCAAGACATTTTCGTCTTGCGAAGCAAGCCCATAGCAGATTCGTTTTGCGAGGCACCTCCAAAACGGAAAACTCTTTCGTCTAGCGAGTTTTCCGTCTTGCGAGGCATTCGTCTTGCGGGGCACCACTGTAAGGGTGGATGTCCAATCCTGGCATCCAGTGAAATATGGGCCTTGTTAAGAGAGCCTGCCCAATGTTGGCAGGGACACTGCCAATGCAGCAAACAGGAACTGAGCAGGAGCAGCAAACAGTGTCTCATGTATTGTTGACTTCTGAAAAGATTTTTGCTGGGACCTTTTGTGGGTGCCACCTGAGGTACTGATATGCCCACTGGTGCCCACTTTTGCAACCTCTGCATTAGCCCATGTGCAAAATGCTCAAAATGCTCAAATTTAAAAGTACAAATGATCTTACCAATTAATAAAAGTGCTGTGGTACGGTGGAGGATTTTCACTTAAAGGCAAATCACTTGTTACCACGCTAGGAGTTATTGTTTGCAGCGGACAGTCAGCGAAATAAGGTGGTGGCGGTGGTGGGAATACCATTACAGTATCACCTACAAAAGAAAAATCCAAAACTTTTAAGGTCAAATTTATCTGCAGTTCTCTTTGGAGCAACATGCAAGATACCCCTACTTGTGATGTGCACTTCATTAAGAATCATCGCTCCCAGGCATTAGGGCATCTTCAAATTATTTGATTAAACTCTTATCAGTCTTTCCCTACTACACTTTGTTGGAAAACAATTGCACTTTTATTAGCACGCAGAATATTATTATTTATTAAATTTCCACACTGCCCTTCATCAAAGGATCACAGGGCAACTTAAAATATTTTGAAAATGCTTGGAGATTAAAGCTTTAAGATCTGCATTCGTCTAGACACACAAATGGTGTAACGCCATAAACTGGAAGGTCTAAAATACTGTTGTAGGGGCTATTGAGAAAAGTGCTCTCAACACAATGTGAAGTAGTATTGCTATTATACTTTGTAAAATAGAATCCAGTTCTCTCATTAATTTCACCACTGTTCTGAGGAGTGTACTGTACTTCAAAAGCAGTCCTTGCAACTATACTTTCAGTGGCAGATTCTGGAGTTTATCTTCTTACCCACCCTGACTTCTTCTTCTACCATTCCCACATTCCAATTCCAAAATTCTTCCCTCCCCTCCTAATCCACCCCTCAAGTGCTGGGGAGGAATGGGGCGTCCTTGCAAGTGTCTCCTGTTGCTGGCATCTAGGGACTGCCCACTTGGAAGACTTCTTGGCTGTGCCATTCACTTACCCACTGTAACTTGAAATGATTCAGGATCCAGCTGTTCTTCTTCATTGACAGAAGACTCCTGGACGAAATTTATGTTTTGTTTCTTTTTAATGTGAGCTATCACAAAGAAACACAATCCAATGAGCACAATCAAAGGTCCCATGGTCTGAACAGAATGAAATCCACAATCCTGGAGTTCAACATTAGATGTATTGCTATGGTTAAACTGCTGGTAGCGCCAACCTGGGCTACATCCCGGAATCCAAATGCCAAGGACGCTGATTAGCATCCCACTAGTTAAAAATAAAAAACCAAAGACAAGGAACTGAGCAAACTGGCAGTTTCCTCGACAAAAAACAAACCCGTACACCTGGTCATCTTGCAATTGCACCTCTCTGAGGTAGCCTTTAGCTCTCGATTGTGCCAGAATTATACAAACTAGTCCAGTAACAGCAAGCAGAGGCCCAATGATTTTGAGGGCTCCTTTACAGTCACCAAAGGCACCACTCGGGCACGTCTGCAACACAAACATCGAAAGCAGAAATCCAGCACATAACAACGTAATGCCAAAAACGAAAAGGAAAGAGATAAGTTTCCTAGGATGTCCATTATCTCCTTCATGCATGGAACCAGGAACTGGATACATTATTATTATTATTTTTAAATCCCTCTTCAAACCAAGGAATAACAAGTTTTCTTCTATGGAGATCAGAATGACATTACCACTTCAGTAGGCCTGAGAACGAAAACGAAAAGAGGACTATGATTATTAAGCCAAGGGCAACGACAGATAATTCACATATTGAGTCTGTCCCTTATTTACACCTGCTGGGTGGGAAAAGGATTGCTCCCGGGCAGAGTTGGGGATATGACATGGGGGAAGAGGAAGTTAGCTGAATCCTCTGCTTGCTCAGGGGGTGGTCTTGCCTATGAGAATGCCATGTTACATCAGAATAAGAGGCAGCTCAATCTGAAAATACTTTCACTGAAGTCAGGGTAAAGCTCAAGATGCGAGCCCCACCTTTCCCCTCTCTGTTACCATCTCCCCACCACATACAACGGATGGCAGGAGAGTCTGACCAACTCTGCAACCAGTTGTGGCATTAACCCCAGGAGTACATAAACTAGAATATAGTTCACATACATCAACATTTGTGGCATAGGGCCATAGCCTTCTGCCTCCGTGGCTGGAGAGTTTGGAACACAACAAGTGGGAATTGTTCCCTATTAGGAACTGTGGTGAAGGAGCACACTTTGCACAAACAACAAATGATGAAGAAGGCTAGTCTTCTCATATCTTTTACAGATGCAAATAACTACCAGGAACCTCAAGCATAGGCTGCAAAGACAAGGCACCTCACACAGATAAGCAAGGGGGCGGTGACTCACTAGAGAAAGAGAGCTCATGTCCAGAGTTTGAACCCGAAGGAAGTAAAAATAATAATGTGTGTGTCTTGAGCAACACAGTGTCTCTCAACCCTCTATGTGTAGTTCCTCAGCATCTCTCACTTGGAGGTCCCTGGGTCAGTATGCAATTTGCAGTGAAGGGCTCTCTGTTGTTTACACTAGTACAAGTAAGCTCCTACCATGCCTTCACAACCTTCCAGAGCCCCAAAGGTAGGTTCTCAGGGGATCAGATTGGAAAAAAGTGTTGGCTGCAAGCAATGATGGACGTGTATCCGTTTTTATCGCTAGTACTGCGGCAGGGCTGCTCACTTTTGCAAGTACCCCTGCTCAGATATCCACATGGCTCTCTCTTGCTACATCAGGGACTTGAGGTTTGTTTCACTGAAGCTAGTAAATGTTGTAAACTTAATTCAGTAGAATTGAATAAACTCTCAGGGTAGCTGAAATGTAGAGAGATCGACAGGCTGTGGTGCATGGCTAGAGCAGCAGCCTACCTAAAATCTGGTGCCCTCCAGATGTTTTAGACTACAACTCCCATCAACTCATCATTGGCCATGCTGGAGTTGGTGTCCTAAACATCTGGAAGGCAGCAGCTTGGGGGAAGGTTTGGCTGGAGTGCCGAACTCTGACTGAAGGAAACCTGAGTTCAGATATCAATAGCTAACAAGCTCCGGGAGGCTTTATGCAATCCTTCTTAGACTAGTGTCACAGGGGTACTGTGGGGGGATAAAATGGGCCAACTCCATGTAAGAAGCATTGAGCATCTTGGGATATAAATGTGATAGAAAAATACAAGACCATGGCAGGCAGGCAGGAAGAGACAAGGATTTGCATGCACTTAGAAGGACAGAAGTCCAAAGTCCATTTGCAACTATTAAAGCAGAAAGCAAAAACTCATTTGTGTGGCTGGTCACAAGTTAAATTGCAAAGCTTCACACCTGTAAAAATGTATTTATGATTGCAAGGATTCCTTGTAAGGAAATAAAGGACTGCAGAGAGACCATGAAGAAAAATGCAGTTTGCTTCCTAGCCCCAAATCCGCATTGCGCACAAAACAGGCCAGGATTTTACTCCTCAGTCTGATATACATGATCCAGAGGGGATGAAATAGCAGGTCCCCATCTTCCCCAGCACTTTATTCTAACTGGATTGCATAAGAGGGTTTATTCCATGTGATCAGCTTCAGCTCAAAAGGCAACAACTTCAACCCTGCTCTTACCTCTCTAGGCACCTGCCCTCAATAAAGGAGAAAAATGACAACACTGGCATCATGCAAGACATGTTGAATTATAAACCAAATGGTTCCACCTATCAGAGACATATTGGGGAACAGCACAGACTAGCCAAAATATCCCAGTCCACTGTGTGGATACAAGTAAAAGACTCCTTCCAGGAACACCAACATGTGGGGTGGAGCTTAACAAGTCACATGGTGCTTTGTTTAAGGATGTTTGGAATACAGTGGTGCCCCGCAAGACGAATGCCTCGCAAGACGGAAAAACCGCTAGACGAAAGGGTTTTCCGTTTTGAAGTTGCTTCGCAGGACGAATTCCCCTATGGGCTTGCTTCGCAAGACGAAAATACCTTGCGAGTCTTGAGGTTTTTTTTCGCTTTCCCCCTTTATCTAATCTGCTAAGCCTTTAATAGCCTTTAATAGCCTTTTAGCAGCTAATCCCTAAGCCTTTAAGCCTTTAATAGCCGCTAAACCGCTAATAGCGCTAATAGCGCTAATCCGTCAATGGGCTTGCTTCGCAAGACGAAAAAACCGCTAGACGAAGACTCTCGCGGAACGGATTAATTTCGTCTTGCGAGGCACCACTGTAGTAGCTCTGTAAGGGGTAACCTACAGTTCCCAGGATTCCCTGCGGGAACTAATGTTTTTTTACATGTATGGTGTGTATGAAGCCTTTACTACAGCTCAACAGGTCTGGATCTGTCCAGTGTTCATATGAGAAATTGTCCAATAAGCCCCTTGTAGGCTAATATAAGCTTCTTGAAGTGATAAATTAGGCAATGAACATTGCTGTAGGGTAAGGTAATTAATGCTGTGTACACATTCCTGTCTACTCTGTATCCAGTGCATCCCCACTGCAGCCTAGGAAGCAGTGTACACCCAATGTTAACTCACATCTTTCCTGTATCTATCCTGTAATTTCTTAGGAAATGCTGTGCTTTGATCATGTGTATTTTCTCCAAACCACCTTTGATCCAAATGGGAAAAAGAACAACTTAGTTGTGTTTTAAGCCCATAATGCATAAAACACCTAAAAGCTATACACTGTGAAGAATTTACATCTAGCCCCTTGCAAGGGGCTCTGTAAGATTTTCATAACGCATCGACCGCTCTTTTACTCCATCACAGCATCCCTGGTCTCTATTGTGGGGATACTGAAAAGAATGGAACACTTAGAGGAGTATGAGCTTTTATGTATTTATGAGAATTTGTATGCCACTTAATTGTAAATAGAACCTCTAAGAGGTTTGCAGAGGTTTTACACGTGTAGAATAATTGTGCTCAGGATGGGATACAGGAATGTGCCTGAACTCTCTGATTATCCGTGTGCAGAACGGGGTGGGCAGAGAGAGAAAAAGCAACATACACATCCTGTGCAGTTTAGTTTGGCATTGCAGATCCTCAGGTGTGCCAAAGGGCAGCATGGCCTTTAAGTCCCTAAAGACACTGCAACGAAAAGCGCCCCACTCACAGATAGGATGCTTGTGCATGGAGGTTTTCCCAGAAGTGATTTCTTTCTACGTTTGGTAAATTTATAGCATCAAACTGGAAGCAGAGTAAAGCCTTCCATAAACAAAGCTTCATACTTCCCTTCTAAAACATGATAGAAAGTCATAAGACTAGGACAAATGGAAATAATTTGAAATGATATAAAGTCTACATAAAAGAAAAATATGGACGTCTTTATTGCTGTTTTAGAGGAAGTGTCCTTTCCTCACCAATAATGTAGCAATGTAATTTAGCAGACACAAGTATATATAAAAGGGAAGTCGGGCATATTTTTTTAATTCTTTCAATACCACAAAAGAATGAACACAAAGAACTCTCTGTTGTGGGTTTCACATCGGGAAATCTAGCGCCTATGCTAGAAAATTTATATAGTTTCATTTTCAATTAACTTTAATCTGTAAAACTAAGGAAGTTCTACCATAACACATTAAGACTGCCTATTTGGTTTTTGATGAAATCATCAAAGCTTGCCATCCCCACAACCCCACATTGTCTCAACGTAGAATGTGCCAACTGTACAATTTGAAGATATGGCATTTATGTGCTACCCAAATTTACCCATAGTGATCTGCAGCAAAGGAGAGAGGAAACAAGGATTCGAAGTATTAGTGAACCTAAGGTCATATGTCATGGGAATTATGAAGTCAAAACAGTAGAAAAGATCATGATGTACACTGAGGCTCCAACCCAATGTGTATTTACTCAAGAATAACTCCATGAGACTTTGGAGTAAACATAAAAAGGATTCAGTAGAAACCTCTGAATTAATTTCCTGACACTTAACAGACACTAACACAGAATCAGCTAAAATGAGTTGTGATTAAATCCTGTTTAAAGCCAACTCAACAGCTGTAATGACTGACCAGAACTCCAAGGGATTTCACCATCACTTAACTGTGAGCTTTGCTCCCATACATTTCAGAAGTAAGAGGCTTACTCTCAAGTAATTGGGTACAGGACAGCAATCCAAGTGTAGCTGGATCTGGGTTAGAATACGAGATACCTGGCACCCGCAGACTCCCACTGAAAACTAAGGAAACTAAAACTTTATTGAATTAGGAGCTTTAACTGGATAACTAATAATAATCTTGTGTGTGTTTATAAAGAGGAGTTTTTAGTTTGTTAAAGCTTGCTGAAGCTTTAGGGTTGCTGCCCCTTTGTAAACCAAAACCAAAACACAACACCCTTTTGAGAAAGAATCATAGTTCAGTGGAAGAGCACATGCTGTGCATGCAAGTAGTCTCAGGTTCACCCCCTGGCATCTCCCGATACGGTGGAGGAAAGACTCCTGCCTAAAACCCTTGAGAGCCACTACCAGTCAGAGTAAACAATACTGAGCTAGAGGGACAGGTAGTCTGACTCAGCACACAGCAACTTCCTATGTTCCTAACAATACAGTGAGATGTGAGATCCTCATTCCATCAAAAAATAAGGACAAAGAAATGAATAATGGGCTTCCAACTACAACACAAGCAGGAGATTGCATATGACATGTACTGCGTACCTTCCAATATATGCAGTTATCTATGCTAAAGACTGATAGCATTAAAAGCTAGACATTATTCAAAATCAAGAGTAGCTCTGGATGTTAATAGATTGCTGCCAGACAGACGCACAAGTGACTTTTTTCATTCAATATAGATGTTTATTGATAATGACTGAAGAAAAGATAAACACATGAGGAACACGTAGCTCATAGACAAGGGGTGAATCTTCTTCAGCCTTCCAGTTGTTGTTGGACTTTGACTCCTTTCAGCCCCAGCGAGCACAGCCAAGCGCAAAGGATGATGGGAGTTGCTGTCCAATAACATCAGGAGAGTCACTGGTTGCCTGCCAGAGATGCATATAAAAGTATGCCTTAGCAAGCAGCCATGCACAAGTGCACCTTTGAAACTTATAAGTAAAGATTAGGGTACATATGGCTGGAAGCACTTCTGCAGTTAAATCTGAAGCTATTTTTTTGTAATCAAATAGGCACATTTGTTAAAGTACTGAATTGCATTTGGGAGACCTGGTTCAAATATCTGCTCAGCTGTGACCTTCGGCCAGTCACTGAGTCTCAGCCTAACCAACTTGCAAGGTTGTTGTGCCAATAAAATGAAGAAGTGGGTGCTCCTTGCAGGAAAGGCAGGAAATAAATGAAATATTATTCTTTTTTTTAATGCTGAGTCAACAGGAGCAAAACACCCTTAAAGCATCTGTTGACATGCCCCTACTGAAGAATGAGTTCAGCAATGACTTTGAAATATTCTTTTCTGCAAGTATGCATATTTCCCCATTTAGATCGCTAACTTTTTTTACACAGTTTGCATGCATCCCCTTTCCACATAACAAAACATTAAGAATGCCAAAACTCATTGTGTGCAGTGTTTGTGAAAGGAGGGAAATAAGTTTGCTAGTAAGACAATAAATACTGTGTCATCCAACTACAGTTAGCAGGTAAGGAAGGGAATATACTAATCCGATCTGGCGCCAGCAGCCTGTACACACAGACATGGTTGCTCCTGGGTGTTGTTGGTTCAGCATTAAAGGTAAGGGCAGAGAGCATGACCTGTAAAAAGGAGACAGCATAGGAACATAGGAAGTTGCCTGATACAGAGGCAGAGCAATGGTCCATCGCTACTGACTGACCGGCAGCTGCTCTCTACGGTTTGAGACAGGGCATGACTTTCCCAGCCCAGCAGATGCTCTACCACGAAGCTGCGGCCACACTGCATGGGGCAAGAGCGCCCATTTCTTCGCGTGAAGATCGAGGAGGACACCCTGCAACGCAGTTCTGAGAAATGAAACGAGTCAAAAGCGCGGCCTTTTTCCAAGGACACACCTGGCGGGCAAGCGCCCAGCCCGAGACACACAAGCGCTTTTACGCACGCCATGTCCACCCCCGTGATGGTCGGCACGTACCAACCCCCCCCCCCCACCTTAAACGCCACCCAGAGGAGTGCGGTAGCATGACAGGAAGCTGTGAGGGAGGGGGAGAGAAAAGCTGCAATACCCTGAGGATGGGGAAAGCGTCGGCCCTCGCCTAATGCACCTGGAGGAAGGCGGGTGGGCTGTTGTTTTCCTCCCCAGAGGCGGGAAAGCTCCAGCCTCTCATTGGCGCTCTGGGGGAAAGGGAGCCTCTCTTTCGCCTCCTGCACCTCGGCCCCAGCCGCCATTCCCGCCACGACACCCAGGGAGAGGCTCCCCCACCTTCGCCTCTCTTTCCCCCCTCCGCCTCTTGACCCGAGAGAGGTTGCTGGCGGCACAAGAAGCGCGGCGAATACCTCCAAGCAGAGCGGCTCGAGGAGCGCCGCCTTCTCTTCGCTGGGGGGCGCGGAGTGAGGCGCTGCGCCGCTGGCCGACAGCCGGGCCGCCTCCCTTCGGCGTCGGGGGTTGACGTCGCTGGGTTGGGGCCGCCCGGAGTGACCTTGAGCTGGAGCCGCGCGGTGATTTTTTCCCTCTTTCCCTTCGGTCTCCGCTTCTGAAGGGAAAGAGAGGATTCTTTACCCGGCCAGCGCGCCGTCCTGTGCGAGGCAAGCGCGCCCTCTGGGGTGGAGAAGAAGCCCCCTCAGCACCGGGCGGGGAGGCGCGCCTGCGTCCGCCAAGCGGAGGGCGGCGACTGGGCAGGGAAAGTGCCTGAGGGCTGGGAGAGCAGGAATGGGGGGACTCTGTGGCTGCCCGGAGGGGTCCCTCATGCCAGGCGCCCCCTTCGTTGGAGGGCAAGGCAAGAAAGTGGGCTTTTAAATTAGCAGGACGCTCAAGGAACAGAAACCCCTCTAGTCCGCAGGTGCAAGCCGACTATTTCATTGCCAGGAAGAATAAAGCTGCCACCTAAATAAATAAAAAATACACCCCAAGTCTTTTAGATAATTTTGGATATATTCAATGCAGTAAGAAAGGGCCATGCAGGAAGAAGCCAGGCTTCAACTTGCCATTTTCCGTCTTGGGTTCTCTGTGGCAAACAGGCACATTTCATACTGTCACATTTTAAACTGCTGCAGGTTCACTAGAAAATGTGTAGTGGAAAAGACAGTGGCACTGGAGCTCTAGAAAATTAATTACCGTATGGGAGTTTATTGTGGAATCGGTATTGCTCCCACCTCAAGTCAAGCACATCCTGGTCAAAATTCCAGCTCCTACTTTTTTAACAGCAGGAAGTTAGTTATCTACAATCACTCCTTGGTGCCTTCTGTCTTTTGTCATGTGTGATTACGTTTTGGTGGGTGATGGGTATCTTTGCGCCCCTTTCCATTTGCTCTGCACCAGAGTACAACTCAGCCGTTTGGTTCTACAGACCCCAACACCAAAGGAAAGCTCCAGTATAACCACCATGAAACGTTAGCTGGGTGTTTAAGGCAGATAATACTACCTTTTGCACACTTCTTGGTAACTAATTTTTAAAAGTATGCACACTCTGGTTCAGAACTACATGCATGCCCAGCATGGGAAAATGTAGCAAAAGTCAAGGGAGGAGTGTGAGAGAGGAAGGACAGAAAAACAGGGCAGGCATATTCTATCAAGCTCTGCTTGCTGGTATGGATGGCAGAACAGCAATGAATGTTGAATGAAAAATAAATGCATGGAAGCTAATGTATCAAATGTATATAGAGAAAAATCAGATCAGAATGACACATTTGCAACATGAAGTTCTTCTGTGGAAGCATTCTAAGTACAGTAATTATTATTATTATTATTATTATTATTATTATTTAGTCTAATACCACCTCTGAATCTTTTCAGGACTGAGTTTCGGTTTGTTGACCCACATCCAGCTTCTCAACATAGGCCTAGCACCTCAGCTGCCTTCCTGATTCAGATGGAACAGAGTTAGTTGTCCTTCACATACTGATGACACTTCACGTCAAATGACAGTTCCCATGGGCTTCATATAGATGTTAAATAGCATGGGGAACAAGATGGAACCCTGCAGGAGACCACAGGAAAACTGCCATTGCCTTGAACAGTGCCCCCCCCCCCTTTCTGGAAACAACTGTGGAGGTGGAACGATTTAAGTACAGTATCCTTAGTTCTCATGTTGAGCCCCTCCAGAAGGATATCATAGTATTTAATGGTATCAAAAGCCTCTGCAATATCAAGAAGAATGAGCAAGGCTACATGCCCTCCTTCCATCTCTATCCTGACAAATGTAATTAACCAGGGTGACAGAGGTAGTTATGACCTGTCCTGAAGCCAGACGGAGATGGATCCAGGCATTACGACTCCTCCATGCATCCCTGAAGCTGGACTGCCATCACCCTTTCCAACACCTTTCACTTAATGGGTATATTTGTCATTGGGTAGTAATTCTTTAACAGTTCATGGTCCAAAGATGTCCTCTTAAGACGGCAGTCCACTCTCCAGTAATTGTACACTTAGATGGTCTACATTTGCCAGCTTGCAACTAAGGGTTCGTTCTTACATTGTAGTGATAGTATAGCTGCCACTGAGATCACAAAGGGCTCCTAACCAAATGGGCAGCTATTTTAAGAAGCGGTACATCGACCCAGTCTACTGTGGTAGGATCCAGCCAAGTGTAGGATTTTTACTATAGTAATCTATGATGAGTTCAATGAAATTGTTATCCTGTTTTTCAGGTGATTTTAACCAAGCTAGGAAGATCTGAATTCAGCACACTTTGCTGGTATGGTTGAACTCATTCTAGCAAATAAATAAAATGTTTCACGCAAAAAGTGTTTTAGATTAGAAACTTGCACACTCACATTCATAGAGGAAGCCACACCAGAATAGTTGGCATAGCTAACCTGTGGCACTCCAAATGCTGCTAGACTACAGCTCCCATAATTTCTGGCCTTTTGCCATGTTGCCAGGAGTTGATGGGAGGACCTCAGGTTAGCAACCGCTGCCATGTAAAATTGGCTCCTCATTGTATAAAAAACAAATATACAGGTGATGTAGATAACAAAGTTTATAAGCTCCCAGTTTAACCAGCTCAGGTCTTCCACTTCTAAGCCGCTTTGGAAACAACAGTTTTATACATTGTATAAACAGGCCCTGCCACATATTCTTTTGATGACAGTTTAGCTAACTGGCCAGGTGACCTGGCCATGAAAGGAGATATGCCTGCCCTATGCAAATACAGTCGAACCTCCGTAACCCTCTGGTTACGTAAACTTCAGGATGCGAGCGCAGCAAACCTGGAAGTATTTTACCGGCTTTCACCCTGCGTGCATGCGCAAAAGCGGTCTTCAGGTTGCGGAAAACTCTGGATCCGACCAGACCTCTGGAATGGATTCTGTCGGCGACCAGAGGTACCACTTTACTGTCCCCATTGTTTGAGCAAACACCGAATAACTAAAATAAACCTGGATGGTGAAAGTATGTTGCCTCTCTGAGGTTACTTCTCGTTTATCACCAGAGACACAAAAGAAAGGACTTGACACTTTAACATGGCAGGAATACAAACTGCAGAACAAGTGTATTTGGCACTGGAATAGATGTAGATAAGAAAATACAGACTTTGAAATTCTTGAGTGAAGCCTGTTGGCTCTTGCTCTCAAATAATGTATACCGTATACACTATCACAGCTAAAAGACAAGGTGGGACACTTAACAGAGTACTTCAACTCCGGCGTCACAAACTTTGAATAATTTATAATAAAGCTAGTAATGCAGAAAAGCAAAACAAAGTCAATTTGTGACGGTAGTTGTTACGGTGCCCTTATGGTAGTTGTTGCAGCTGATATTGATGTTTAAGAGGATATATTATATAATAGTTATCCGTGTTGCTCTAAAATGTGGATATATTTTTGCATTAGATTTTTATTGGTGATATTCTTAGGTTGTAAAATGTTTAGATATTTTCTTTGAAATGTGAAGTGGTATATAAACTACATAGCCCAAGGATTCTAAAGAAAAAGAACTTGATTTCTAGATCCAGTCAATCATAAGTCTTGCTGGTTCAATGGGACTTCCTCCAAAAGAAATCTGCAGAATGGCAGTCTTACTGCCTCTTTGGGAATTACTCAGTATGATGGCTTGTCATAGCAGTGGAGCAGATAAATCATCCTTCTTCCTGCCTGACTTCTCCAAGTGGTGAGCACCAGTAATGGTGCTAGCCTGTGAAAGCACACAAAGTTTCCATCTAATTCCTCCCCTTACTAACAGGAAGGGGAAGGAAATAGCAGGCACCCATTTAGGAGAAGGAAGAGGAATGCCTTCTTTAAAATCAGGGCACATTTAAAATTGATGATGGGATCTTTGATTAATTACTGTAGCTCTGTTTGTTGTGTTTCCAAACACACCCTCTTTTTTTGGTTCTAGCAAAGCACCTGGCCTCCTGAAAATGGTGGCATAAGTGCAAGAGTGTATCTGTGTGGTGCATGTGTGTGTGTGTCTAAGAATGCATACCCATATCATCTTATTGTGCCTGAATTTTCCGATACAAGATACACTGTGCAATGTTACGTCATATACCTTACCCTCCATTCCCATAACTTTCTTGAATGGGAGGAAACGAAGTAGAAAACCAAACCATTTTCTGTTAAGTGGAAAGACAGACTGCTTTTGGCATAGGACCTACTCTAAACCCGTTGCTTCCTTCTGCCAAATCCCTTGAGTTTTTAAAAACAAAAATGGTACAAAGATCCCATGAAGTTTTTCTGTCCAATGACCCTCTACAGAAAAATAGAACCATCTGCCCATAAGAGGCTGCTAGGTAGCATTTAGGTATCATTTAAAAGAAAAGGAAAAAAAACCTATTGTACCACATGCTTTAATAAAATACAAACATGTTAAAAGTATTTCCTTTGTTTGAAAAACCAACACATTTTATGTGAGAAGACTGTCCTTGACCTGAGATAGGATATAAACAGCAGAGTCAATTTATAAGTTATATATTATATGTTTATTATGGGGTGCAATATTTTTTACATTTTGTGAAAGATCAGATGTATTTACAATTTTTCTAGGAGATTTATATTGCTCTAATTTACAGTTCATACAAACCTAAAACCCTTTAGAGTTGTGTTTACAAATTCTCTCAAGAGGCAGCTATAAAACGGATCACTTTTATAAAGAAGCAAGATCCAGCTTGCTACATGCAGTTTTTCAGATATTTGTGGTTTTATACAATTTCTAGAGTTCTTTACAAATATGCTAATAAACTTGTATGGCTTCAAATTTGTAACCTGCACTCTTTGCGAATGTATGTTTGAGAACACTTGGTATTAAGGCTAGATTAAAAGTGCTGAAACTTAGCTTTTGCATGAATTTAGAAACAATACATGATTAATAATGAAAAACAAAATAAACTGAATTTCAATAGTAAGGATTAAACTGTTCAAGCAATTTTGATTGCATTAGCAGATTACAATTAAGATTCTGGTAAAAGACTGTACCTTTTGAAATGCCAATTTATGCCAATTTTAGTTTACAAATTCTAGTAATAATTCAGTAAAGACTAACATTTTTAAATATGAAAATCCAATATATATTGCTGCAATGAAATCCCAGTTAAGATTTGATAAAAACAATCAAAATGTTTAAAAAGCAAACTAATTCGCTATAAATCTTTTGACTGCAACCCTACACTTAGTTATGAATGTATAAAATATGACTAGGCCAAAATATTCAGCCCAGAGTTTTTTCAGCATTTTGGAGGCAGGGCAGTGGGGGACGACTTCCACCCAAGATTAATCTGGTCTTCAGAGAATGGGTGAAATCAAAGAATCTTGGGTATGTGGTGTGGGATTACCGTTAAAGGGAAGGTGGCAGTTTTATTTTAATTTTAAAGGGGGGAAGCTTTGCTGTCAGTTCAAGAGGCAACTGGGTTGCCTTCAGCAGCTTGGCAGTCTTCCCTTTGAAATTAGAGACAGAACACCCTATGGAAACTCTACTATATCATTGACCAATGGTGACAGACACCTCTTTTCCTTCCAAGAGTGCTGCTGGGAACAACACTATGTCATGACAGTGTGTCATTCTTACAGGACATTCTGTTTCTAATTTCAAAAGGAACACTGCTCAGGGCAACACCACTTGAAATGGCAGTAAACAGTTTATTTTTCTGTTTGTTAAAAATGAAAAAAACCTTCAGCCACTTTGTAACGCAAGCCCATCCTCCAGCCAGAAGTTCCTAAATTTTGTTCCCGTCTCCCCAAAATCTCTGATATTCTGTCTCCTTTTGCAGGAGATTAAAGTGGGGGAGAGGGGAGGACAGGATACTTGGCTCAGCTTGAATATAAATTCATTTGAAATCTATGTAACACGTGCATTAACATATGCACTTGCCACTAGTGGCAGCCTTTATAGTGTGTTCCCATTCTCCAAAACTTGTGGCTAAGAGCATTATATATCTACATTTTATATATAAAGCTGACTGGTCAATCCAATACTGATTTTATAAGCATTTTTATATTTAATTATTTCCCCCCTAGACACTGCAATTCAGAAGTGCACAGAATTCCACACCCCCTTAACTTTTTATTTCAGAATTTAACAAGTTCTTAACAACACAATACACAGCAAGCTTTAAAAGTATGAATTTGTGCTAAAAATGATCCCACTAGATCACTTCTGTTGATGTTTAGTGCCACTGTGTTTAAAAAGTGATGAATCCAAACATTCAAATGCTAAGTTTATCAATTTTTAAGTTTATCAATTTTGTTGAAATTAGCATGAATGACAATTTTTGTTCTGCTCAAAATAAACATTGAAAAATATTACTTCTCTAAAGCTACTACATTTACATTCATGTCACCTTTGAAAGCACTTGAAACTTCAAAACTTTATAGTTAGCAAAAGGGAATGCTATAATTATTCTTGTATAAATTGTTTTAAACTTATTTAACACACCTTCAGGATTTTACACATCTTTGGTGATACTGAAGTTTAATTTTGATATCAAGTTGTTTTTCTGTGAATATATAAAAGTCAAGCAGTTCCCTTTACAGTGGCTGCATTTATTGCATTCAACCCACAAGGAAGCAATGTAATATTTTAGCGGCTGTTTTAGAGTTATTTGAAGTTTCCCTTCCAAATCCCTGCTTAAGGAATTATGTAGTTGTACATATTACACAGAAAAAACATGAGCTTTTCTGTATGGAAGATCTAGACATTGAAAAAAAGAAATAAGAGGCATATAGACATTTTGATAGGCACAGTTTTAAAAAGGCACAAATGTTACACATTCCATATAAAAATAAATTAATCTACAGCATTAATTAAAAATTACAACTCCCATAAAGTTAACTAATGGCAGAAGTAAATATCTGTTGTCTGTTGCAATTTTTAAAAAAAACATTGCACTTTACATTTTTAAAACCATCTTTTATAAAATAATATACACTTAATTATATATGGTATATGAAAATCAAGTTATTTTGTATACGTATCTCTAACCAGATATGGCACATGAATATACAAGAATGAAACAAAAATTACTTTGCCACTTTTTAAAATGAAATGGCAATATTGAAACTGAAAAAAGTATACTTCAGTAATATTTATAGAAAGCTAAAATAATGTGGTTGCTTTTGGTATCACAAAGCACCACACCTTTTAAATACCAGAAATGACTGCTATTTTGGCTTTGAGGCTACATAAGTATTAAGCATTTGCGTAATCTTGTTTCCCAGTATTTCAGCTGACCACCTACAGATAGTGTTGGAGTTCACTTCAGTGCTAATAAAATAGTTTGTTTTAAATGACTTATTTTGGAAAGTGCATTTTTGTTGGATATAAGACTCAAAAACTAAGCAACACATTTTTAAAAAAATAAATGCATGTTAAAATAGTGTTGGAAAGGTAGTAAAATAGTGAATTTCTATTCATTGAGAGAACTCATTTCCCCCCCCACTGTCTCATCAGCAATCTGCCATATATCGACCTGAAAGACAAAAAAAGCTTCTGTAGTTAATACCTTTTCAATAAAGTGAAAAACAGTTATACTAATTACTTACAATTTTCTTCTATTTAAAGATAACAACTAAGATCCACTTGTCACATACAAAACAGCCCTATTTGCTAAAGCTGCTAAAATATGCTAGCTATATAAAAGACAATGCTGTAGACTGTGCAGGCGATTCATTATGGTAATTTAACTTATTGTAAATTGATGTATATCTCTATTTCTTTTAACAGGTTTTAATTGACTTGTGGATCTATAATTGAATTTGTAATGGCTTTTAGTCAAACACAATAAATGATTTACTGATTCTTGAACTAAAGCTATATTTTTAAATTACCGTATTTTGCCGCGTAATGGTCACATTTTCTGTGCCAATTTTTCCCTTCCAAAAAAAGGGGGGTGCGTCCATTACGAGGTGAATTATGGTCAGAAGCAACAACATGCTATGGACTCCAGTTTTCTTAAGAGGGCACTGATGCAATACAAAGCAAAAGGCACAGACTTCACCCTTTCCGCTGGATTTTGCCTTCTCCCAGCACGAAGTTCTGTTGGGAGAGGTGGCGGCTTCAGCCAATGTTAAGAGTTCTTTCTTCCTGGGTCTCTCAAGGCTATTCGCTCGTGCAGAGGCGGGGGAAGGTGGTGGATGGGCAGTGGAGATGTTTGCCTGCCCGCTGCTTCCCCTTCTTGGCAAGTCCAAGGTGGCGGCACTAGTGGCAGTGGCAGCAGTAGCAGCCCGGGCCTGGCTTTGCCCTGCCTTGCCTTGTCTCCTCTAGCTGGCAAGCCAGTGAGGGCCTGGACTGCAGCCCTCACTGCCTCAGGGGCCCCCTGTGCCTACTCCCAGCTTGCCTCAGAATTACCTCTGCAACTATTACGCAGGGAATGCTCTGGGACCAATTTTGGGGTCTGAGAAGGGGGTGCGTGACTATTACACGGTGGCGACTAGTATGCAGTGAAATACGGTATGCTTCCACATTTCCACTGGCCATAGCAAATAGGTTCCTGTGCTCTGGTGACACAAGTTCCACTCTTCTCCCTAAACCTGGAACTTCAACCAAAGCAGCAAGTGTTTTGCCAGCCTTAATTACAGGAAAGGCAGAGAGGGAGCAAGCCAACAAGGGGAGAGACAGGGACAGGCAATCATAATTTTTGGTGGGCTAACACAGCCAGCCCAAAATGGCGGCACTGTTTTCAATGTTTGAACTGTATATGTTAGAGCACTCAGTTGCTTATATTCCAAGATGTCAAGTCAGTACAGAACTTAGGTTTTTTCCACACACTTTTCTCAACAGATATGTCTGTAGAACAGACACTGGTATTTGCCATTGTAAATGTTGTAAAATGTGAAGGGGAGATTCGTGTCAAAGCACTGTGACTGACAGGGGAAACTCTCCTGAGTCTACTACGTTACAGAAAAAAGTTTCCCCTTTGCACTCATGGTTCTGAGTGTAGCAGAACCACAGTGAGTCACAGTGTACTTTCAGGAGGTATGTTTGACTTCCATGCAAGGGCAAACTGGTACTGCATTAACCACATCCCACTGATGATTAAAAAAAGTAAGAAATGTATGTCCTATTATGATTATGCTTCTTACCAGTGGCAAATCTCTTCTTAAGTAGGGAAAGCCGGTAGCCAGTGCCTACTAGTTCAACGTCTACTCCTGAAAGTGTGCTTCCTTCACTGATAAATTGCACTGCAAGTGTTGCTGGCTTGCTGGGTCCTTCTGAAAGGTCAAATTTGGCTCTGAGGGAGCCAGAGCCTATTCAGGGGGAAAACACACACAAAGTGAATAATAATTAAGGACTTGGTTTGTAATGCAACATCTAGCTGGATGGGAAATAATTTGGAGGATACCTTGATAAGTCAATAATACAGGCATGTACATTTCAGCACATAAAAAGTCAACATCTGCACTGGGGAACCTTCAGTCCATGGCCCTATTTAGGCCCAGTAGGACTTCTAACGTGGCTTGCAATAGCATTTCCCTCAAACCACATCCACTTGCTCTACACCTGATGTAATGTGATGTCAAATGTGGGGTGGTTAAGACACAGGTGCAAAGGAGCAACTGGGAATTTAAGCTTCCAATTGGTACTTGGGGCTCACTGACTGCACTGATCAGCTGACCTAGGCCCAGGTAGTGTGGTAGAAGGACTAGAGGAGGAAGTGACCACATTTTCACAACCTGCGCTTGCACACTCACTCATTTAAACTTATCCATGGTTTCCTTTCATTGAGTTTAGGATAAATAGGCAAAACCACTATTTCTCATTGCTATTTTGATGACCAAAGTGACAGCCTATAATATCCAATGCCAACTTTAAAACTGCAAATATATAGTTGAATTTATTTTTGAAGGTAAGGTAAATCATAAAAGTGCCTTTCGAACAAAAGAGACCTAGAAATACATTAAAAGGTAAATGGACCCCTGACTGTTCAAGTCCAGTTGCGGACGGCCCTGGGGTTGCGCCGCTCATCTCACTCTATAGGCTAAGGGAGCCGGCGTTTGTCCACAGACAGCTTTCTGGGTCATGTGGCCAGCATGACTAAGCCGCTTCTGGCGAACCAGAACAGCGCACAGAAACGCCGTTTACCTTCCCACTGGAGCGGCACCTATTTATCTACTTGCACTTTGACCTGCTTTTGAACTGCTAGGTTGGCAGGAGCTGGGACCGAGCAACGGGAGCTCACCCTGTCACGGGGATTCAAATCGCTGACCTTCTCATCGGAAACCCCAAGAGGCTCAGTGGTTTAGACCACAGCGCCACCCGCGTCCCAGAAATACATTAGTAGGAATCTTTTTCCACCTGAAAGGCCCCCCAAGACATGTAAATACACTGATATAAATATATAATACATATAAAAATGTGGAAAATGTATAAAATTATCTATATACTAGACACACCATTAAGTATGTATCAGTTTTCCACTGCTTACTTGTTAAATTTGAAATAGAAGATAAACAAGAAATAATTATACACTGGTTAACTTTAATTTTTTAAAAAACACTTTCTTACCTCCATTATCTGATTTTTCTGAAATACTAGATAATTTCCATAAAGCTTTCATCTGCTCTGAATTCCTGTTAAGAAGTAAAGTCTGGTTATTGGACTGCAGCCTAATGGCAAATTTTTATAGAACTCCCTTCCAGGTAAAGGATATACAGGCTGGCTTCCTTTTGGAAGTTCAGTGCCTATTTATGACTTCTCTTTTTAATTCCATCAGGCACTTTAATTGAAGTTTGATTTTATAGTTTAAATTGATTTGTACTTTTTTTTGGTATTGTATGCCTGTAAACTGATAAGAGACAATCGTAGCAGAATATATATTACTTAAATAAATAAATATTTTAATATTTTCATTAACTTTAATTTTTTCTTTTTACTTAACAAGAATATGCTAGATGCCGGGCAGAACAAGGAAATTAACTTTGTAGTCTTAAAATATCCTGAAAAAGTCATTGTTTTGTTGAAGGTTTGTACTAAAGCAGAAAACCTAGTTTTCTGTGTATTATCTTTCAGGAGATGTACAGCACCCCTAATACCAGTACCATGGTGCGAAAAATTTAAAAATAAAAGGATTGCTTTTCACAATGTTTCAGATGTAAAACAGCAGCAGCATAGTGGAATGAATTCCATGTAGTATCAGCAGTAAAATAATAATAATATTTTTTTTTAAAAAAATTACCATTTTGCTGGAGGAAGTGACTGCATATTCATTACACCTCCATCAACCGGTACCATGACCTGTATATTAGAAAGCATAGTTGGCACTGCCATAGAGGCCGGGTTGTATTTGTAATCGACTCTTACATCAGTAGTGTTACTATTGCACTTCCAGTACGTAGCAAGATTCAGAGGTGTAGATTGGATGCCATTTGAAGATACCTTTGAAAATAATCAAATAATGACTTTTAGGTCCAATAATGAAAACTATAAAGTTTCAATTTTGTGCTGCGTTCTGCAAAATATACTTAATCAGAAACTTTACACTTAATATGTATAAATTAACAACATTACTATAAAAAGTCCTGAAAATGGCTACGTTGCCAGGAAATACTTTTAGATGATAAAGGCACAGACTGAAGTTATGAACTCTTGGCTCCAAGATGTGTCTTTCAGTACTGCAAAATATTCGTCCTGATCTTTGAACCCATCTGGGCGAAAAAAGGCAACAAACAGCACGTTGCAGCTAGGACAACAGCCAAGATCAGAAGTATTAGGTTATCATATATGAGCCTTAAAAAGAAAATACCAGAATGTTTCTATAAATACTGTGAGGAAAAAGTCTGAACAAATTAATCAAGGGAAGAGTCAATTGCTTTTTTTGCAGTCAGATGCAAGGCCAAGCTAGTGTGGTGTGAGTAAAGTAAAAAATTAAAAGTTACCTGATATTTTAGAACATCTACATTATAGTAAGAAGCCGAAGGATTCTGTTCCGATAGCTTCTTGAGGTAGACTGTAACAGCTTGCATGTCCATCCAAAAATCTCTTACATTGGAATCGCTTTGTGATGGATCACTGTGCACAAAAAGTTGGTGAAAACACAGGTTTTAGATTTCTTACATATTGGAAATGTTTTGCAAAAGAAGGAATACAAAGTTTTTAACCATCTTTTAAAACTACTTCTATGGATGGGGGTTGGATCCAAAGGGTCCGCAGCACACACTGAAGAACTGTTTTATACCTTTGCAGAAGATCACACAGACAAATTGGAGCTGCTATGGAACCCACCGATTAAAACTAAATGAACTCTTGCATATTTGCAGAACAGTGACTTTGTCTCTGCTCATGATGTTTTGCTGTAGCAGAGAGGCTAAATTACAACCTGAAAGTTTCTGGTTTCACTTCCCCTCTGCCCATATATAACTAGAAGGACTTGGCATTTCACACATTCTCTGCCTCAGCATCCTATATGTAAATTCTTTGGCTTCTGTAGTTGCTGAAATTATATGACTATCTGGAAAGTTCAACTGTTATTTCTTTATTATAATGGTTTTATGCATATTGTGAACTGCTTTATGATGTATAAATAAAAAGCAGTATGTAAGTAAATGAATAAAGTATGATGGTAAAAATGTTGCAATACACTACCTCTACAATTTTATACTCAATTTTGCATTTTTACACAGTGGGTGCTATATGAAGTAGCTGGAAGTCTACATCCACTGTAACACATAGAGAGGAGCAGCCCAGGATGAATTTAATTTACTTCATAATAAATGTTGCACAAATTATATTTATGTATAACCCTGTAGAAGAAAGCATGGTCATTTTAAACACACAAACAGCATATCCTGGGGAAAATTCATATTGTCCAGTAAGAGAGACAGCTGGTCTAAGACCGTAGCCTTAATCACTCTCATATTTATCTATTACACAGCAGTTTCTGTCCAGCTTGAGCAGCTGCCCACAGTGAAAACGTTCTGAACTAAGTAAATAAATCAACTTTTTATTCAGTGGCTCAGAACATAATTAGGTGACTGCGATTAAGAGACCAGTGTAATCCATATGTAAACCCAAAATGAAGGCTGTAGTTTCTCAGGAATGAATGAGGTACTCTGTGTGTTGTGTACGGCCAATTGTTTAAAAAGCAATCCTGAAGATATATGGCATATCCTGAGCCTGCAGAAAGCTAGTAAATTGCAGAGCGACCCTCAGATTTCCATAATGCCTGGGAATCAAAGAATTCTGATAAGAGAATGTATTGCCATACTTTCAACCTGCAAGCCAAACACCTATGGGGACTCATGACACATATCCTTATGATGGCACACAGGTACAAATCAACAACAAGTTAAGATTGTACCTAAACATTTAAAAGTGATACAATTTTAGTTTTCCAGTTTGATGTGATGAGTGATGTCTGAACTATTCTCTAACACATGTTTCAAAACTGGATTAAATCCTTCCTCAAATGAAGGAGCTTAATATGTTTTGAAAAGTAATGTAAATAAAATAAAATAAAATAAAATAAATCACAAAAAGCATTAGATGCTTGCATTGAGGAAACGAAGCATGCTATGTAATCTGTTTGTAATATCAAACCATATGAGGAAATGCAACTAGCTTCATGGGGTAAGGAATACCAGCATAGTTAGGAGGTGGGAAGACATCCCTGTTACCCATGAAATAGTGCACTACTGCTGTGGACATTATGGTTAATTAACACTGCCGCTATGCATTTTTTTAGCACCACCATTTAGTTAGCATTCATCCAGTTCTCAGACACCATGGACCCACTACTGCTCTATGACTTACCCCTCTGGGAATTGTTTCTATGTCTTGTGTGTGCATGCAATGTGGACTCTGTGTGGTGAACCTGGCAGGGGGTGGTGGAGCTTTTTAAGGAGCTGCGAATCATGGTACTACGAAAAATGTTTATGGTTTAAAATTAGGTTATTTCAGTAATTTGTTCTAAGTGAGCTCTAATGGAAACTTGCAAGTTTATTAAATCTCTAAAAGTAACACTAGAATTGGAATGAAGATGTTGAAAAAGACGACAAGCATAAAATATACAATGCAATTTACCAAAGCATATTTGCAGGGTGAACAGGGCTTCAGCATGAGAGAATGTATAAATAAAATGTAATAATGCAACAAAGCACATTTATAGATTAGATAGTTTACTATTAGATAAAAAAATACAAAACCTGTATACAAGTTGTGCATTTGGAAGAACCTGCTCTAGTTTGCTTGTGTTTTTTACCCTGAAGCAGAGCACAGCTGGAGATGGATTGCTGGTGAAGACTTTAATAATTCCACTTGGGAATGAGACTGTCATATCACCAGTGATTTTCACAATACATCTAAAAAAAAGATGTAAAATTACAAGCATTACTTTTACAACAAACTATAGGATGCATGCTACGTTTAGTAAAAACATGTCCGTTGTTATAACAATCTAACTGTAAAAAAGTATTAGTTAACATACAAATTTACTAAGATTGCTCATTTATAATGCAATTTTAGAACTAGGAGAGATTTCAGCAGAAAGTTCTATACATACAGCACAAGTTCTGAGTACCTTTGGAATGCCTCATGACTCCCATTATGGTCAACCAGTGAAATATTGCTTGAGGTCTTTTTTGGATGCTAGACCATCTCCAGTTGGGAGCTGGACTTTCTCTGTGATGGCTCCAGAACTGTAAAATTCCCTCCCTCAAGAGGACAACTTGCCTAACTTGTTGCCTTTCGGAAACAGGTAATAAATGCTATATATAGGCTCTGAAATGGCTTCTTATGTGCTGTTATACACTGTTAGCTTTTATGCCTTTTTATGTAGAAAAGTGGTATATAAGTATGGTACTGGGTAGACTTTGTTCCCATGAACAGCAAGATCCAATGCCACACCAGTAGATGTGATACTTTTCATCTCCTCTAGGGAGCTACCTGTCTCCTCATCTATTCCCCAGCTACTCCAGAAGGGCCCCCAACCATATCCAGCAAATTTTGGGGGCTACAGAGGGAAAGAGACAAAAGGGAGACCTGTTTGCATAAGCAGAAGTCTGCTGTACAAGTTGGAAGACACAGCTTAATATTACCCTAAGAATCATTCACAAATAAAAATGAAAACCAAGTCTGATGCAGGTATTGAATGACATTCAATAGTTATCTAACAACATAATCCATACTTTCATCAGCAGTGTATTTATCCAAATAGACACTGGACAATATACATTAGAATTTCATTTCTGAAGTTCCATTATTTTTTCCAAAGTAAAAAACAAAACAAAAACCTTATTCTGTTTTTTTAATGCAAGATATAAAATTCAAAACAAATGTTTCACTAACTTTGTGGGATCTGCTCCTTTGAAGTAGGCATTAACAGACTCAGTAAGGGCCACTGCAACAGGCAAAGTGTCCTGGTTTCCAAGGCTGACAGGGCTAGGGCCACGTGAAATACCTAGAATGCATAGAGTTTACTGATGTCACTTCCTATCATGTTAGCAACTTCAAAGATGGATTACTTCAGCTATGAATTTCAAAAGACATTAATTATTAATGTAAGACTTAATACTAAAGTACAAATATTAGATGATGCAGATTTTAAGATATTGCACTAGGATTTTTGGAAGAAAATACCTGTGCATACATGCATGCATGCATGTATGTATAACATCATATCAACAATTTAATATAGATAATAAGTCTATATTTAACAAAGGACTCCACCAGTTAATGTCGATTATTTCCATTTCCTCTATAATGACTGCAGAAAAGTACCGTATTTTTCGCCCTATAGGACGCACTTTTTCCCCTTCAAAAATGAAGGGAAAATGTGTGTGCGTCCTATGGGGCGAATGCAGGCTTTCGCTGAAGCCTGGAGAGCGAGAGGGGTCAGTGCGCACCGACCCCGCTCGCTATCCAGGCTTCAGGAAGCTATCCGCAAGCCTTGGGAGCCCAGCGGGAGTGCCCGCTGGGCTCCCAAGGCTTGTGGGCAGCAGCCTGCAGCCCGAAGCGCGCTCCAGAGCGCACCCCGGGCTTTGGGCAGATGTCCGCAAGCCTTGCGCACCCACAGGAGTTCCCACCGGGCTTGCAGGACTTGCGGGCAGCAGCTTGCAGCCCAAAGCACGGGGCGCGCTCCGGAGCACGCCCCGTGCTTCGGGCAGATGTCCGCAAGCCTTGCGCGCCCGGCGGGAACCCCCGCCGGGCGCGCAAGGCTTGCGGGCAGCAGCCTGTTCTGGGGGCTGGGGAAGGGAAATAATTTTTTAAAAAATTTATTTCCCCCCCAAAAAACAAGGTGCGCCCTATAGGGCGAAAAATATGGTAACCTTTCCTTGCCCACTTTAAAGTAAGATAATCACATCATTTTTTCCACTTTGGAAAGAACAAGAAACCATGTAGTTCTACAGCAACAAAATGTTTCAGAGTAATGCAGGTGACATAATATCTATGTGTGGTGGAAGACTGAAACAACACCTACTGGCCTTCTTTGCTCCTTGGAAATAAGGCTATGTAGGCCCAATCTGCAGAACACTCTTCCCTCACACAGATGGCTTTGAGGGGTAGAGACCATGTACACAGGGCACATATGCTGACAGGCCTGGCACAAGCACAGCAGGGGACAAAGCCAGCTGGGCATTGGAATCCCCACACTGTGAATACGGCTTTATTTTTTAATGTTTCATACAATAACGTATAAAACAGAATAAATGCCAAGTAATTCTGTATGTACTGTAACTTTTAAAAAGATTACTTAGGAAGACGGTGATGATAAATAAGAAGGAATTTCTTTAAATATGTTACTTAAAATAACACATTACAAAAATAATTTGGGTAAATATTATTAATAATAATAATAATAATAATAAAAATCTTGCCAAAGGCAACCCAAAGCGACTTAAAACCAACCAACAGAAGGAGGGAAAGAAGGAAGGAAGGAAGCTGCGTAAGTTCCTTTCTCTTGGCCTGAAGTAAGAGGCAGAAGTTATAAGACAGCTAACATGGCCCCCAGACAACAGCTGAACATTATACATACTGCTGGTGAACACATTAAAAATGTTTTCCATTCAGCTGATACAATGATTTTTAAGAGAGCAAGGCCAGATTTGTCAAATGCTGCAACTTAAATACCTCTGAAAATCAATCCAGAAAAATCTGTTTGGATAATTGCTTGTTATCATGAACAGAACCAGACAACCAATTTAATAATTAGCTATTTTAAAAAGGCTTTTTCGCAGAGCGAGAAAAACTTCACCTATGAAAATAAGTATTCTCTCCAAAAATAAACTTATCAGTACCTTATAGGCTTCCCACTTGTAGAAAAATGTAGATCACCTATGTTTAAAGTCTAAAATCCTGTTAAAATGAATCCTGTCATTGCATGTTTGCAATGTGTGTGTGGTGTGCATGCATGCCTGGTGAAGAGACCCTTTTTGGAGTAGCTCCTTTATTCCTAAACAAATTCTTTCACATCTCATATAAAGGATTTATAAATAGCTTTTATATCCATTTTTCAAAGGCTAAAAAAGTTTTAAAATTAGATACTATACAGGGAATCACTGATACACTTCCTTACCAACTGTAGGTGTATTTGCTGCACTTAATGAAGCAGAAGATGATATTGAGGAGGAACTCTCTGCACGTGCCAAAGGAGCTGAAGGAGGTGGGCTAGAATTGGAGGTCAAAGGAGGGCTGAATGGCCTTGGCTTAAAAACAAAATGCAAAAGCATAAATACATACAAAAGTTAAGTGGGAAAAGCTACAGTGAGAGATAAATATAACTTAAGGCAAGTTGCATTGCTCTTACAATTTCATTAATTCCACTGAGTTTCCCTGCAGTCAACTTTGGTCTAGAAGCTGGTCTTGGAGGAGGCACTAAGGTACCCACAGAAAGAGGGGTAGTTGGTCTTGCTGGAAGGCAATAGTAAAGATTAATACATTTCTGTAACATTTACATTTATGAACAGTAATAAAATATTCTAGTATACTTATTATTGGAATAGAAAACTAATTTAAACATAGAAACTACTGGACCAAACAGTTCAACAGTGAATACTACTCTAAAAAGCAGCACTACAAAGTATATTGTTCCAAGAATTAGCAGCAATTGTAAGCAGTAACATTACTCATAACATAAAAAAATAGACTGCATGAAACCAAATTACTTGATTCAGATAAAATTGTAATAATGGTCAGATCTAAATTGTTCATTGTGCAACTCAGGGGCAAAGAACACATTAAATGGAAAGTCTTACTTTGAACTTTCAATGTGATTATTTTTTCCTATAAGCAGGAAATGCTATTTGTTACTGGAAGAAAGATAATAAACAACCCCTGTCTATAAATATATGGAAGTGCCTTCTACAAGTATACATGAAACAGGGTGCTGGATCTAGGACATTAGCAAACTTGCTAAAGTTGTTTCTTCTTTTATTTGCAAATATGATAGCTTTTCTTCAGATTCCTTGGATTGTTCATTGTATTTGAGAACCCTTATAAGAGTGCCAAGTATATAATAAAAAGCAAAACTTCATTCAATCAAGAAGCAGCATTTTCATTGCTGTCTGTAATAAAACCAGGCTGATCCATGATCTGATCATGAATGAATGGGGTGACCTGGTGTGTATCACTGGTACTTGAGAGGTGGGGAGCTGGAGCCATTTTCAGGCAGAAACCATGCAGGGAGGGAGAGAGGGAGACTGGACAAATCAGGGGAGGAAAGATTGGATAAATCATTTTTTCTCTGTCTCTGTTTGGCTACAGTCATTTCAAAAAGAAACCATTGAAAAAGTGGTAACAGAGATCAGAAAAATCCCAGATTAGAAATGTTCCCCTAGGAATCAATGGAAATCATGGACTCGTTATGCAAATACTTTCCAATACTGAACATTGTGTTCAGTAAGTGGGATCTGCATGTTCTTTATCAGCATTTTAGAAATCATATGTAAGTTGACATTACTGTGACTACGTTTGAAAATCCTATTTACATTGCACACTTGTCATTAAAGTTTCCCAATGGAAAAAGAGGCTTTTCTCTGTTAATAATAAACCTACCTGATGAAGATGAAGACATTGTTGAAGTCAGTGAGGATGAATCACCAGAATTCCTAAAGAGTGGATCCCATGCTAGGAGGTCATTGTTCCCCTTCCTATAAGTCATCATAAAATGAATATAAATCATACCAGGTATGTTTTTAGAACTGAACTAACAGTTGAAGCTGCATATGCATATTAAAATAATAATAATGCATACTTAAATATTTTACACCAGAAACTATTCCCTTACAAATGATGAAAGGGAGAATACTAGTGGCTTTTTAAATCAATATAAAGTATTACCATTCTTATAGCTTTTAATCCATTACTGCCATTTTTGAGAACTTGGCCAATTGATCATGCAATCCTAACTATTTCTACTCATAAATAAGCTCTACTGAATCCAGTGGGGTTTACTGCCAGCTTAGTCGGGTGAATACTGTAGCCTTAATCTAATTTTACATCTGTGTACTCCTACAGCTGCCTTGAGCTGCTGGGTTACTGTTTAATGGTGTATTGAATTATCATAGACATTGTCCCTGAAACTGTCAATTGTTTGACATGCTAATGTTACTTTTGCTACTGATGTTTCTATTTTATGTGCCATAAACCACTTTGGGAACTTGTGTGTTTGTAAAATAAGATTAAACAACTGTTGACCAAACAATGATGAAATTATTTTTTAAAAGTAAAGAAAAACATGATGCATAATGAGGACATATTGAAATTTGCTATACTATTTTTTTTATTTTTTTTGGGAAAAGGCGGATGGAATGAAACCCCTTCTGTAAGCATCTGAATCAAATTCTGTCACAAATCTGTTTTATTTGACTTAAAAAAACCTTCTGATTCAGATAGAACAAAATACATTTTACACACAATAACTATGGGCCAGATTCAACTAATTCCCCCCCCAAGTTCCATTAGTACAATTGGGCTTTCCCCTGCTTCCACTACGTGTCCCCTGTACCCCCAAATTTACTCAGGAGGGGCAGGAGAACTCCCGAGGCAATGCATGGGGGGAGGAGAGGGCAGTTAATTCCCTCAGACAAGCAGAAAAGCTTGCACTGACAAAGCAATCTGTTTAGCACTCCACTGAAGAACCTCCTATATAATAGCAGCTTCTAAAGGTTCCTGATTGAGCTTTAAGACTGCATAAGAGCATCACTTCAGGCTGGGGATGGAATCATGTATGGCTAGCAAATTAATTGATTCTTTTTGGCCTTGGTCTGCAACCATGCTATTATTTTTTCCAATATGGCCTTGTAGAATTTAGGTTGACTTTAAGGCAATTTTTTTTTACTTATGGATAACAAAAATATGTTGGCTTATGACAGCAAGAAAGTGATTTATATTCTTCTGGCAGATCATACATAAATTTACAGATGCAAAGCTATGTACATCGTATTTATGCTACAGGTAATTATCAATTTTTCATCTTAATTGTTTTATTCTGGAAATACTATGTATCATATGATATGAGCACAGACTAAAGGGGAGTCAGGTAAGCAGCCAAAGTGAAGGATGAAAAAAAAAATTAATGCAGAAATTCATCTTTTGGAGTCCCAAACAGCCCACACCTAAACTGTCACATCAGAACTGAACACTGGACACAGGAATCTGGGGGGCGGGGAGAAAGCCCTTCAAACTTAATATTCAGTGACTCTTCAAATAAAAATAAATGTCTAATGTAAAACTTACTCATTAGATGAAGCAGAAAGCTTTGATTTTGTTAATTCTTCACCTAAAAGATATTATGATAATTGAAAGCCATGACATTTAATTAACAAAATCAGCCAGCTTTATAAAAGTAATGTTTTAAATGGCAAAGATGCAATACAAAACAACTCAAACACTGGCATGAAGTGGAAATGCATCACAGTATGAATCTTTTGCTTTTGCCAAAAGTGTTTATAACAAAAATTGCTGTGTGAGAAGGAATCCAGGAAGGACATGGGTGTGGAAGGACATCAAATGCCTGCTTAAACGGAATCAGTTTGTTGGTTTTTAAGATGTATAGTTTTTAATGTTTCCAATGCATTTTATAAATGTTGAGAGCCTCTTTGAAGACTCCAATTTAAAAAAAAACAGGATATGAATAGAAAAATAAATAGAAAGCGAGTTTTGCAAGATGCTGATCTCAAAATAGTTTTACTGTAAGACACAGGCATTACAATATTCTTCTCAAACTATGGCTTGGATTCTAATTTGCTCTTCTAATCTAAGAAGACGGTTGATTTTTGCAACTTTTCTCCATCTATAGCCCCCTGCACCATTCTCAAGAGACTTCCAGCTCTCAAAAACAGATTTTCAGAGGTGCATTGGTAACAGGCCTATGGGAAAACCCTGATTTGTGAACATGCTCAGAAGGAAATTTGGGGTACAAGCCTGTCTTTGCAGTCAAAGGTTAATAACTTGTATTAAATCAGTAAGTATTTAATAGGTATTTAAACCCTTAAGCAAATCTAGAAAGAGACGTGTTTTTACAATTAAGCACATATGTACACAGTGCTGACAAAGTAACTTTTAGTATTCAAGTAACTAATACCTGACAAATTCCTATATGGAAGTCACTTCTATATGGGAACATGTAGATCACTCTGTCATGTGGCAACCTGCCAACTGCAAAGGTTCCCTAGCTCCTAAGGGTAAAGGTAAAGGGACCCCTGACCATTAGGTCCGGTCACGGACGACTCTGGGGTTGCGGCGCTCATCTCGCTTTATTGGCCGAGGGAGCCGGCGTACAGCTTCTGGGTCATGTGGCCAGCATGACTAAGCTGCTTCTGGCGAAACAGAGCAGCACACAGAAATGCCATTTACCTTCCTGCCGGAGCGGCACCTATTTATCTACTTTGCACTTTGACGTGCTTTCGAACTGCTAGGTTGGCAGGAGCAGGGACCGAACAACGGGAGCTCACCCCGTCGCGGGGATTCAAACTGCCGACCTTCTGATCGGCAAGTCCTAGGCTCTGTGGTTTAGACCACAGCGCCACCCATGTCCTTCCCTACCTCCTACTCACCCCATTAAGGAACTAGTGTACTTGTATGATTGCCCTAGTGGGGAAATAGCAGCTGAAAATAGCATGGGGGATTAACCTGTGGTTCCTCAGGCTTCAGTCCTGATTCTGAATGCCCCGCTCCAAAATTAAAAAGCTGGGAGATCACAACTCTCTAATGTTTTTCCTTTTAGGGCCAAGCTAGATAAGTCTTCTTTGAGCACCACCAGCACACAGGAGAAGAGCTTTGTCACATATTTTATACACATTGCTCCAATGAAGGCTAGTTCTTTTAAGAGCATGTACAAACTGTCACCATATCCTATAAGGTTTTAGAAAAGTTTAACAGGACAAATATATTATTCCTTTTTTAAAATTGGAAGTGCTATTAGAAATAGATTACAGGTCAATCCAAATCCTGGTTGAGCAGCAGCGGGGCATGATGGAGCAAAAGAGCCATCACCACAGCTCCATCACTTGTGCTGCCTGGGAGAGAAGGCAAAGGAGCAGCAACTAAGCCTATATTGGGTCAGATGCCATCAAGTGACATCAGTGAGGCTAAGGATAAAGTAGATCCCAGCATGGGCTAGCCCCACCTTGAAACACCCTTGTTTTGGAGCTGTGAGCTACTGCCCCAGGGGATCACACAGTACTTCTGCCCATCCAGCAAATGGAATGAAGAGCTCCATGCCAGCAGTTACTTTGTGGGTGGAGGCTGGCAGGGGTGCCTGAAGGAATATGTCCACCAAATCCATTCTCTCCGCAAGCCTGGCACCAAGGGGAGGTGGACTGCAACCTAAAGCCTGACCCCAAAGCCAGGATGCAAGCACCAAGCTTTAATGTGTGGTACAGTTTCTACTGTCAGATTCTTTAAGAGTTCCATTAAAACCATCTAATATCACACAGTCATTTTATTAATCAATTTTATTACGGACATATATATCTATGTTTTGGACAATTACCAAAAGTAGGCAGACTTTTGCATTCTGTGGGTGAGGGCAGGGGAGTGAATTGTCATTAAAGTCATTAACATGGCAGCAAAAAAACCCCCCTTGATTTAGGACTCCCTGATATCCCACCATATACAACTTTTCATTTGCAAGAAACAATTTATACAGGCATGATTTCATGAACAGCAAGTTAAAGTCCAATATAAACATAAGAAAAACAAGATGATGGTCAGCAGTTCACACACACTTACTGGATGAATTCCGGTTCATTTGTGCCTAGATGAAAAATAACAAAAATGAACAACGCTTAGTGAACGAATATTTTCTTCCTAAACTAAAGAGTTGGCAGTTGGAGATAAATTCCAAAGCCACCACTAGCTATTAGGCTTAGTACAGTGGTGCCCCGCAAGACGAATGCCTCGCAAGACGAAAACTCGCTAGACGAAAGAGTTTTCCGTTTTTTGAGTTGTTCCGCAAGACGAATTTCCCTATGGGCTTGCTTCGCAAGACGAAACGTCTTGCGAGTTCTTGCGAGTTTGTTTCCTTTTTCTTAAAGCCGCTAAGCCGTTAATAGCCGCTAAGCCGCTGATAGCCGTGCTTCGCAAGACGAAAAAACCGCAAGACGAAGAGACTCGCGGAACGGATTAATTTCGTCTTGCGAGGCACCACTGTACCTCTAACAGGCAAAGTAAGTGGTAGAGACAGGTAGTGAAACATTGGGTAGATCTTCTGGAGATTAAGTTTGTAATCTGTGGTAAAATTAACCAATGGTGGCTTTTCACTATATGGCCATCCCATTCCATGCAGACTGCCTAAAACTGCTGCAACATGATGACTGCTCTCTATTGCAAGCCAATACTTTATGCCACTTAAGTTGGTCCTCTTCCTTTTTTTCTTCATGACCAAGGCTGAATACTGTTGGCAGATGTTTTTAAAGCCAAGCAGTTGCTACTCTGCATTTTCTTGAAATAACCTGTGTGCACATTAGTAGCCATGTGGGAGCAGCTTCAAATGGCTTCTGCTTAAGCGTCAAATTGTGAAGCCACCCTGAGAAATCTGTGCTGGGATGATATGAAAGTAAATTACTGATCAAGAGCAGCTAGGGAAGCAAAATGCAGTTTTTTGTTTTTGTTTTTTAAAAAGCTGCTCATATGAAATTGACATAGTGCCCCAATTCAGATGATTGTCATGGGGACCACACTGCTCCACAAGAGGCAACCACTTGTCCCCTTGCCCCTGACCTCACACAGTATAAGGTCAGGGGCCAATTGCCTCTAACGCTTCAAAGTGTCTTGGAAGTGCAGCAAAAAAGCAAGCTTGAAGTTCACCACCATGAAACACACGTATGCACACACTCAAATCAATCACCAGCCCACATGGCTAAGTTTTAATTAGAAGTAAACTATGGTAAATATAACTTAATACTTACAGGACTATGTCTCTGATGTCAGCATACAAAATAAAATAGGGAAAACATAATTACATACAATTTGGTGCAAGTTAAATGTACTACTGTATTCCCCTCCCCACAACTTTGAATCTTGAAGCATCAAGCCATAACGTTAATGTAATAAAAAAGCCTAAGTGTAAAATATAATTTTAACATTTTAAAGAAAAAGGCAAGAATCCTGATGGTGTGGTCTGAATGGTACCAACTGTTTATTGGAGATCTCAAATACCAAAATACTGAATCACTAGTTGTATATTTGTATCCATCTTTAACTAGAGCTGGGTGTGTGTGCTAACTTATGGCCCTCTGATGATGTTGGACTACAAGTCCTATCACCCAACCAGTAGCCATGCTGATGGGTATTAGAGCCCAACTGTTGATCTAGAACAGGGGTAGTCAACCTTTTTATACCTACTGCCCACTAATGCATCTTTCTTGATGGCAAAACTTCCTTACTGCCCACCAGTGCTCGATGGAAGGAGGATTCAGCTTATGCCATAGAACCCTCTACCGCCCACCTAGAATCCTGAAACCCCCACTAGTGGGCAGTAGGGACCAGGTTGACAACCCCTGATCTAGAATGACCTTTCCACAAAGGAAACAACACAAAAAACTAGGGATGATGGGAATTGTAGGCCAACAACAGCTGGGGACCCAAACACTGTTTTAAACCCTTCTCCCTAGTCTTTTGAGAAACAGACTCCATCTCATAATAGCAGCAGACACTCAAATACAGAAAAAGCCAAAGCACAGATGAAATAGTTTGTTGGATTCATACACCTGAGGCAGATATGGTCTGGGGAAGATAAATTTGTAGAGTTAGCCAGGGACATATTTATCCATGTAAAATGCAAACTGTAGTTACGAATAATGTTATGTGACAGGTTGCACTGTAGGATGGAACCTGATCGTTTCTCACTTTTCTAAAGGCAGTTAAGATGGAACATAGGAATCCAACAAAATGTATTTGCCTGCATCGCCTGGCATGGGGTAGGACCATGCCAAAAATATTGTAATTCTAACACGCACGAAGAACTCTCTCTAAACTAAAAATCTGACTTCAGCATATATGATTACAATTAGAATATAACATAATCTGTTCAGAATATAGCTTCAAAAACTGGGCTGGGGTGTTTGTTTCTGAATCATGAGGCTTTTGCTAATAAAAAAGTGGCTCTATGTTAACCTCATATGTACTCCCTTAACTCCATATATACACAGGCAGCGTCTCTGCTCTTGCTCCAAAGACCTGGTATACCACATTTCAAAATTCATCCTTTTATCATTTGAAATCCATAACTTATTAAAAATAGGCAATTGAGATATTCTACACTTGTGCTAAAATGGTTAGTTTTAAAGTACTATTTACCGATTGCGCCTGATATACTAAATATTGTGCTCAGTTTACTTACAGATATAGCTGGTGAAAGTGTGATGTTCCCTATTGATTCTTTTAATTCATCCAGTGAAGGCATTGTATAATGAGAACTACTATTTGCCTGTACAGGCTTAATTTCCACATGGAACTTCCTTGGTTCATCATCTTCAGAGTCAGAATCACTTGAAGAATAGAAGTGGTTCTCTTTGGTATGTTATTTGCAGTTAAGGTGAACGTCATGAAGTTAATCACATAATGACTAACAGCACTGCTCTATGCATACACACAAACACAGAACAACTGCAAGTTAATAAGTTGCTAAACAGGATTTTTAAGACCCACAAAAATCACTGATATTAGTCCTTTACATATTCATAAAGCTTTGTGAAGAGATTGTACACAACCAGGGCAACCAAAATTATACAGAGGCTGGAACAACTTCCCTATGAGGAAAGGTTACAACATTTGTGGCTTTCTAGTTTAGAAAACAAGATAACATGCAGATTGTGGAAAAAGCAAGGTTATCCAATGAACCACAATAGTGGGATACACAGGAAACTGGGATGGATTTAACAGGAGATTAGATAAATTTATGGAAGATAAGGTTATCAGTGGCCACTAGTCACAATGGCTCCAGTATCAAGTGGCAGGGTGCCTTTGAGTAGCAGTTGCTTCAGATCACAAGCAAGAGAATGCTATCAAGCAGGCACACATATTGCTTGTCAGCATCTCTTAGGCATCTGGTTAGCTACTACATGAACAAAATGCTGGACTAGCCTGGCCTTTGACATGGATCCAGCAGGGCTCATGCTCTAGGTTCATAATTAAGCATTACAATAAAAGGATATTCTGACTAGCTTCTGGTTTAATGCTATAACCTTCATCATCAACATCCGGAATGTTCTGGAAAGAAAACAGGTAACTTATTAGATGACCATCACGATCAAAATATTTTCCAATAGATGTCAAAGCAAGCATAATGTATTGTTGATTATCTTTAAACCTGTTTATGAAAGCAGCAGTGTTTATCTCATCAGAACTTCAAGCCACGAGTTCAGAGGAATCAGGTTACAGTACTCATAATTTGGTACTTTACAAGTCTTATAACATTCACAGTTCATTTTGAATAATTAGGGAATCAAAACTGGGAGATAAACCTAGCTAGAGAGTCTGGAGAAAAAAGAAACTGTTGCAAATCTATGTCCAAAACAGTGTCCACTGAACTAGACACAATATACCACATTAGTGAAGCTATTTTCCCCTTACAACACTTAAAACAAGAGTTAGCTGACGAATCAAGCATAGGAATTACATGTACTCCAGAAAGAATTTATGACCTATTATTCCTGCTTTCATAACCTTGACAGACTACACTGCAGCCTTTGATTATTGTTCCAATATTGCACCTGGTATAGACTACTGCCAGCTGCCAGAAACCTACAACTCTGTTGCAAGATCAGCACTGGTTTGTTACAACCTACCAGGAACAGTTATGGCATTTTCATATGTTGCTCTTAACAGCAATGCTAAATCAAGGTGTGCACCAGGAACAGATGGCTTCTCTCTGGGATTCATTCCCAATTTAGTGCACATGATAGCAGCACAAATGGCATTTTCAATTACTTTTCTTTCATCTTGACATTCAGGAAGCCCTGACCCCTTTTAGATATAATATAGTATTTGCTATTTTACACTGCTTTACTATTTTTATGCATGCTATTCAACCTTCTGAAGGAAATTTTAAATACATTTTAAAAACTTCATTTAGGGTTTAGAATGGGTGAAATTAAGCTAATATAGAATTAAGCTAATATAGAGTAATACAGAGTAAGATAACCTGTAACCCCCAAAGCCTCTCAATTTAGGTTTGAGTATGTACAGATGGGCCTGGGCCTGTTCACGCCCGTGGAGATCGCTCTGTGGGCTGGATTGCGTGATTTCCGGTGCCTGTGACTTTGCAGATGCGATTTTCGGCGTCTGCACACGTGATTTCCAGTGCCGTGGAAGTAAATCCCTGCTCCGTGCTGCGCCAGTTTAGCGCAGCACAGGGGGGCTCACTGAGTGGGCAGCTCGGTTGGGGGGCAGCTTGTGGGCCATTTAAATGACCCCCATGGACCACTTGTGGCCCATGGGCTGCGGGTTGCCGACCCCCTGGATGTGAGGCTCTCATAATGAAAATGCCAATGCACCATCACAGTGCCCTGAAATTTTACAGATGTAATAAACTCTAGGTGCATTGGCAGGTTCAGAGAAGCAATCGGATTCTGATTCTGATTCAGAGAAGCAACAAAATGTGGATGCAAGTTATACCTACTTCACATTATCCCAGCAAAGCAGAAGCAAGAATCACTCTTGCATCTACTGCTTGTAGTACCTCAATGTGAAAAGCAGTTCCTTCTACTGCATCGTAATAGTAATTTTTGGTCAAGAACAGACAGAGCTATGCCAACTGACATTAGTTTACACAGAATGTTTAATGGGTAAGGCAATCACATGACAGCTTTATTATAGACCCATTAATTATGCTTCTTATGTCCTTTTCCTGAAGATTAGCAATTTTACACTTTTTATACATTGCAAAACAAGTTCTCTCTCTTAGGATTACAAATTTCTCAACAAATACCAACTTCATAATCACAACCAGAAAAATGCATCAGAAAATATTCATCCAGATTATTTAGACAGTTTCTCTTTCAAGAACTTGCACATTTTGCTTTTATAAAGCAACATGATTTAAAAACAGAGAGTGGCATCACACGGTTCAATACCTTAGCACTAGTTGTTTAGAATCACGAAGCTTTTGTTATGCTTGACCTCAAGCTAACCATGTTAAATGTCCTAACGAGACTTGACAACAAAGTAAACCGAACAAATACAAATAGCTAGAGGCCATGCGTACATTCTCATACAACCAAAGAACTTCTGAAGTTATATCGTTAAAGTTGGAAAGCTATTACGTTACCTATCATAGCTAAATGCAACAAAGTCCGTTAAACAAAGACTCTGGATAGCTTGTGACATAAATTGAAGAACAAGGATGCAATACCAAAGCAGCAGCAGGTAAGCTGGCTTTTTATGCAAGCGTAAAATGTGGAAAAGGTGGTAGTCCAAAAGCATAGATACGGAGCAGCTGGTTTACAGTGCTCTACTGTTGCTATATTCATACTTATGAAATATTGCTATTTAGCTAAAGAACAGTAACTACAAAATAATAATTTTAAATTATATTTCAGCTTACAAATATCTGCCTTGGTAAGTCCCCTTCAATGTGACCTAAAACCTTTACTTGCCTATCCTGTGGTAGCCCAGGGGATTCATAACACATTCCCCAGCCTCCTAGGAGCAATACACCCTGCCCACCTGTCAAATTTGGCCTCTAAGACTGATCCTGATAAGGATCTGGTTCCCAGAGTCAAGGAGGTTCCCCACCCCGATCTATTTCATTATATATTGGGACCTATGTTTCAAAGGACCAAGTGAGCACCACAACAGGCTACACAACAGCAACACAATCACTATCATACCATCTCTACTAAGGCGTTTAAATTGCCTTGGCTAAAGGCATTGGATTCAAGTGCATTAAAGCAGTGATCAATATTCTAAGACCAGCTCTTTGTTTCCTTCTGCTTCTACACAAGAAAGTCACTATCAACTACAAGTTCAATGCTACATTTTTAAAAACACATGGACACATTTTGAAGATATTTAAAATGAGTCATGCCAGCCAGTTCAAACAATACCAAAAACATTTTCAATTTGAGGACATCTATTTGATGATAGAAAATTGATGGTGCGAAATACTCTACTTAGTGCTTTTCACATATTTGTTATATTTGCATAACTTTTGTTATAAAGTGAAGTTTGAAGAATGTTGCCTCTTAGTAAAACTGGCATTAAAGAGACTGAGTATATGTGTAACACTTTGAAAATGCTACAGAAAGGAAATAAAATTTATGTTTTGAAAACTATGAAGCCGAGTTATTCTTCTGGGGACGGGGAGAGTGAGCGATCATACTTGGTGTAGCTTGAAAGGAATATGCCAGACACATTTACACTTGGATTTGTTTCATTAATTATTAAACAATGAGAAACAAAACAAACAAGTCAAAGAGTAAACATTGTAAGTCAACCTGACTTATGTTTCACTCTGTGAATGGCCTAATTCCTGGAATAAACCTATCAGTTTGAGCAACATAAAATCACACAAAAACTTGATCTGCTTGGGCTTCTTGCAACAGTTCAGAAATAAGCAACTTCAGAGTGGGTTTACAAGAGTAAAAGGTTATTTGACAGATATACATTTTGTATCTGTTTATTTTGTGCTTTTTATTATGAGACATTCTCATTTCACAAAATTGTTTAAACAAAAGAAACCAAACCCATGAATTTTCTAGAATATTGGAGGCCTAATACATGGGTTGATAGCTGCTGTTTCTACAGGAAAAATTTCAGATTATTCTGGAAATCCATTCTTTCATTTCAGCCACAGGGAGTTCCACCTTTGTGTCATCTCAAATTAAACACTGATAATATGGCCAAGAGGAACTAGAAATACAAATGATGAAAGGAACACACTATACATAACTTGTTTGAAACTAAAGAGACTGTGAACCACCGAGACCCTCGGGTATAGGGCGGTATATAAATTCAATTAACAACAACAACAAATTTCTTGAATAACTTTGATCAATATAAGAATACTTACAACTGAATCAGCATCTGGACATTCCCTGTTTAAAAAAATAGTGAATTGTTATAATAGCTATGGCTTTTATTTACCAAAATCTCTTTTGGTTGTCTAGTTAACATCTCACCAGATACATAGCTGCTTTAGAACACCTTTAAAATCAGGCTATAGACAGTTATTTAATTTTTCAGGATTCATATATCACTTTTCCATTTCCATAGATCACTTTCCATTTTCCATTTCCATATATATCACTTTTCAGGTAAAAAAAATGCCCAAGGCAACAAAAATAACAACAGCTGCTACAGCAGCAGCTAACGTTAATAAAAGCATACATATATAAGTACACATAAAAAGAAGATAAATTCATACATTGGGATGGTAGAATAACAATGTATTTAGCTGCCTATGGAAAATTAGTGAAGTGGTCAGGAGGATTTCCTGGGGGAAGTAGACACAAAGGCAAAGGTCTTGACAGGAGCTGCCATTGATCACACCTCAGAAAATGGTGGGATGCACAGCCTGTGAAACTACCATAACGAAGGAGTCACATCCTCAAAATCCTGGCTCTAGTCAGAAGTTTTGCTGATGATGATTCAGGGTGCTACAGTAATGGATGAGAGTAATCCAACCCTAAGAAATAACCATGATCCTCCAAAACTTTGATGCAGCTTGTGCCCTAACCTGACCTAGGGAAAAGCACTCCTAGCCACAGTTGCTACCTAGAATCCATAAAGACTCCCAAACTGTGACCCCCCACACACTTAAAAATTGGGGAAGTTGTTTTTTTGGGGGGCTACATAGGAATTTATTGGAGCATTATCTCTTACAGCATTAATAATAAAATTTAAAAAGATAGAAATATTTATGCTTCTATTTTTTAAAAAACCAAACATTAAACGATTTACTAACAAGTTTGAAACATACTTACACAGATTCTGCATCTTTTCCCTTTCTACTAATTGGTAACACAAAATGCTTTCTTTTTCTAGGCTTTATCCCTGCAAAGCAGACAATGTGTTGTTAGATGGAAATTAAGATTAAATATTAGTTAACAGAATAGGTAATGAGATACACTATTGCAGTAAATAACACGAAGTTATTATGTATCATAATATGTATAAATTATATTATTAATAATATATTATTAATATTATTAATAATAATATGTATAAATATATGATAAATATGTATCATTTTATGTTGCACATAAGAGAACTACCAATATCCACATCTTGTCTTGCCTGGATTGAGTTTTAGTCTTGTCATCCTCAAGTAGTTTATCACTCAAAGTATCTGTTCAATGCTTCCAGAACTTTGTACTATCCCTTTTCATCAGAACCAGCTTAAATGTTATTGGTATATTGTTCCAATATGTCATACGTTTTCTCCCCTTTGTTTTATAGCGGTTTCTAAAGTATGGAGGTCAAGAATGAAACCCAGTGCATCCTAGAGGACAAATTCCATTGTGTGAAGCCATCTTTTCAGACTTTTCTCACAAAAAAGAATGGAACTACTTCAAAACATCAACCCCAATCTTTAGCTCTGCCATTAGATCAACAGAAAGCATCCAAGGCTTAGTTTCTACTAATGTGCCAATAATTGGTTTGGAGACCAAGAAGCAACACCAAAGTATTGAACAGAAGATCTATGGGATACTTGGAAATGGCATGCTTTAGATACAGGGACATTCATATATGAGGACATGTTTATGTATCCATGTAAGTGAAATTTGCCACTCCCTCACTAATAGGATACTGAAAGTTAGCCAACTTCTCTCTAGCATCTGTGATGGGATCACACTGAGCAAGTTCTGACTCTTAATTGAGACAAAACATAAGGCTGCTGATCATTTCCTGTTATATCAGAAATATATTAACTTCATTTCATCTTAATTAGAGCAAACGACTTCACTTCTTACTTTTAAGCCTTATTTTTTTAAACCCTTTCCCCAATGTTCACTAGAAATGATATAAGAAGTACATTTTGAATGATAAACAATACAAGAAAAACTCACCTTCAACTGCACTGGCTGTATTACACTCTTCAAATTCAATAAGTCCTTTAAACGATGGAAAATCAATGTTATTCTAATGCTGTTTCTTGTTTTAATTTATGGAGAAACATCATGCATCAAGACTAGGGTGGCTATATTTACTCAAACAATTTGTTTGATCAGTGGCTTCCAAACAAGTCCATAGAATAAAATAATAATGTATGAGAAATAAAAGAGGCAATTGAAATAAAATTAAAAAATATGCAGCATCTAGCACAGTTCATTTCAATTGCTGTTTCTTGGCAATTTTAAAGGTTTTTTGGGGGTGGGGGGTCAGACTGTAATATAATAAAATACATACATTAGAAGAAAACCCCCAATAAAAATGCAATTTAAAAAAATCATACAGCACTGATGCACTGTTATTGTGTCAATTATATGTTGCAGAAGACATCTGCAAAAATACCACCAGTCTGGAGGGGCCTTTAGCCTAAGGTTGGAAAGAACCCCCACCCTTCTCCCAAGGCTGGTGAAGGGCAGAGTCTCATCCCTAAGACTGCACTAAGCTTTGGCCACAGTGAAAAAACAGTGACAATGATCACTACTTTTCACATGACAGAGGCTTTTTCACCATGATGAATCTATTTTCTCCTAAGAATAGGATTAATGAGAATCCTGGCAGAGACTGGGAAAAGAGTATACACACAGAAACAGAGTGCACCAATCTCAAGAAATGAATTAGCTGGTATTAGATGAAGCGCTCCTCCAGATAATTGGGCCCCAAGACACATAGGGCTTTTTAAACCATCACTAACACCCTGAATTGATCCTGGCAGCATTCAGGCAGCCAGTGCAGAGCTTTTAGGATAGGTGTTACGTGATCCCATCTGGATATTGCAGTTAACAACCTGGCAGCTGCATTCTGCATTAATTGCAATTTCTGGACCATTTTCAAGGGCAGTTTCATGTAGAGCTCATAGCAATAATCCAACTGCAAGGTCACTACAACATAGGTTACTGATAGCAAGCTATCTCGGGCCAGGAAAGGTTGTAGCTGTTGAATGAACTAGAGCTGGATACAGTCATACCTCGGGTTACAGACGCTTCGGGTTGCACGATTTCGGGTTGCGCACCACGCTGAACCCGGAAGTACCGGAACGCCGAATCACAATTCGCGCGTGCGCAGACGCAGTGCTGCGGGTTGTGAACGTGCTTCCCGCATGGATCACGTTCACAACCCGAGCGTCCACTGTATACTGTATGCAGTCCTTTGCTACAGAGGTCACCTGTGCCCCTAATGATAGCTATGGCTCAAATAGATACAAGTTATGTACCTGCTACACTGAGGGTGGCTGGGTGCTACCCTATCCTAAATACTCCACCTCCTCAATTCCTAGACTTCATAACTGCTGATCCATAGTACCTCTATCTTATTGGGATTAAATAATAGTTTATTAACCCTCTTTTAATTCATCACTGCCTCCAAGCATTAGTCTACCATAGCTACAGATGGAATAGACAGTTGGAGCTGGGCATCTTCCTGCTCACTAAATCCTGTTTCTTCTTCAGCATCTGACACCTCCTCCTTGCAGTCTGTTCCCTCTTCTCCCTCTGACCACTCACTGTCATCCCACCACCAATCCCCTGGCTCTAAGCCAGCGGCTCTCAACCAGTGGGTCCCCAGATGTTGTTGGACTACAACTCCCATCATCCCTGAGCTCTGGCCTTGCTAGCTAGGGGTGATGGGAGTTGTGGTCCAACAACATCTGGGGACCCACAGGTTGAGAAAGGCTGCTCTAAGCCTTACTTCCTTGGGGGTTCCCCAACTGGTGCCCCCACCCACTCCTCTGAATCCAGCCAGTCCACAACAGCGGCCTAAAAGAGGCTTCCTGCCACTGATTTAGTTATACTGATCCGCAGGAAGCCAGAAGAAGCTACATGATCTTAAACATATGGTATTATGTTATAAGAAATATACATATAAATGCAAATCACATCTTCCATTACCATATAAGGCATATAGTATCAGGAGTCTGATGATTGTGCTGTTAACACAATTATTTAATAAGGATAAACAAACATAGCTGACACCACTTTGACAAATTCAGCTGAACTGGAAACTACATTGATGAAGTAATAGTAGTAAATATAGTATTACCGGTACATCCAATTCTATTTTGATCTTTTGCATGCTAGACAAATAGTTACCAGTGATGCACTTCATCTCTCAAGAGAGATTAATGCGACAGTAAAACAAAAAACAAGAAAACCCAGTCATGTCACAGTGTCACCTGCCACCTAATTAATCTGTGAAGTGGCACTAATGGCTTTGAAAACAGTTAAATGCTTTGTCAACCAGTTAGAGAAAAGTGTCATGATCGGTCAACTAGTGTGTATTCTGCAGAAATGGATAAGCCAAGCTTGATGAAGACAGCAGCTACACACTCATGGGTCTGAAGGAACTTTTAAAAAAAGGGGGAAAAGGAATGAAGTGGAAAATACTGTATGTTGGCTATTTAAATAGGAAAGGAGGAAAAAAGGATGTGTGTTGAAAATTCTTGCTTTGTAAGATATAAACAGTACACATGCATTCTCAAAATATTTTAGTAGCTTTACAATGGAAATTACAACGAAAAAAGAGAGTATCATAGGAACATATTTTGTGGAGCATAAAGGAATGCTAACCAACTTAAATTGCAACAAATTGTTTTTTACATATTGCAAATATGTTACATTGAATAATAAAAAGTAGCCTCTATTTAAAAGTGACATAAGCTTAAAAAGCTACTTGTAGTTGCAAATATAACTGCCGACAATATGCTTGGTTTTAGATGAAAACAAAAGGGTTTTCCCCCTCTGGCATTAAATCATGCATGAAAGGAGGACAATTTTTAAAAAAACTGCATATGCCTCACATGCTGCTTCAAAATGGCAAAGCTTTGCGTGTCTGGCTCAGTGCCAGTTGACAGCTCAGCTGGATATCAATGCACATTCTGACCCCCCTTGCAGCGTGTCACTTCTGAATTGTTTCCGCAGTAGAAAGTTTATTCAACCTCTTTCTCAAATGCAGTGGACCGACCATCATTCTGCTATTTAATCATAGCAGAACAGGTTATTTTTCTGACAGCACTAAAGCCAGAGAGCAATTCCTAATGAACAGCTTGATACAAGTGGAATTTCGACTGTTTTAGCCTCAATTAATTCTGCTGTCAAAACAAATGATTGCTCTTAGTACTTAGATGTTAAGCTGGATCACAAAGGTCAATTTTGTATGTACAAACACACAAGCAATCTTTTCCTTGCTAACATCTGATGCCATTTCATATTTAGCACCAACAAATTTTCAAATTGAAAATGAGAGATATATAAACTGTCAGTCAATAATATTCTCCAACAGTAGCTTTTTCTGACTGATAAATAAAAACCAAACCACTCTCTAGATAACTCTGTGGCTATATTTAGACTTGGAAAGACAAGATGCATTTTTATCTCTTCCACATCATTACAACAAAACAAAGTCACTAAACATGTTAATCAAAAAATCTAGCATGTGAAAAGAAATGCAGTACATATTGTTTACAAATATTTACTATGATTGGCAACTGGCCTTAACTGCAGAAATACTAAAAAATCAAAGCAGTCCAATTACTTAGGGGTTTCCCCTTTAGAACAACAATAGGCCAGTAGTACCTGTGTCACTGAAGGTAAATACATGACAAATTCACAAAATTCCATTTCATATTCTTTACACCTGAAAGGTTCTATCAAGACAAGTCCAGTGACAATGAATTTTAATAATTTAACACAATGCCAAGTTATATTCCCTGGGTTACAGAGAGTCAGTGATCACAATACAATCAGCACACTCAAACAATATCCATGACATTAATTCATGGTACTAAAATGAAAATTAAGAAACCAAAGACAAAAAAAGGAAACACAATAAAGATAACTCTCAAAACATTTTTGTGAGCTACAAAGTATGACAGGTCAGACCTAGACATGTTTTTGTAGGATTTTAACCTGCTGTGAAAGGTTAGTTTTATGCTTATTAATTGATGTCCTAACAAAAATTAACCAAGATGCTATGTTAAAGAGGAAGACCATGTATCAGATTATTTGACCATACACCACTATGATCATACCTAGATTACAATTCAGCTAGTCATGACCCAATCACATTGCAACAGAACAGTTCAATCATGACTAATGTAAATCCAATTACTGACTTTCATCACACAACTAACTTTAACCAGAGTGGATCCAGATCAATTTCCCCATGAAATAAAGAACTAGTGCTGGAGCTCTGTCTTGTCTGTGATCAGCAAAGAAAACAAGATGCATTAGATCTTGTTATTCTAACAATATATGAACAAGAAAATGAAACAATGAGGTTCAGGATAATTTTGAATATTATGGGTTGTATCCAAAGTTGTCCATATGCATATGTAATGTAATTCCATACACACAATGGGAATTCACATTACTCTTTGCAGTCCCTTGCACACCCTCAAAATCTGCTTTAACACTGGAGGACCCTCTGGAGCACGTTTTTTAAAATGCAGGGAGGGCAAGAGGAAGTTAAAGGCCAGTGGAATGAGTAGAAGTCCACTCACACAATGCAGAATGAAAATAATGGTTCTGTATAACTTGGGCCTTAACTGTACTGCATGTCTTTTAAAACCCACAAATGTACTGGATGTTTTAGTATACGACATTATGCCATTGTTACCCAGAAGATTAAGACTCAAAATATACAAATCTTGTGTATGTTTTCTACTTTCTATTCCTCCAAGCAAACAATCTAAGGGTTTATCCTGTTGAAGTCCAAGCTGTATCTTAGTACAGTGGATGCTTGGGCTGCAAACGTGATCCGTGCAGGAGGCACGTTCGCAACCCGCAGCGTTCGCAACCTGCAGTGCTGCGTCTGCGCATGCACAGATCGCACTTCGGCGCTTCTGCGCATGCGCAAAGTGCAATTTAGCGCTTCTGCACAAGCGCCGAAACCCAGAAGTAACCTGTTCTGGTACCGTATGTTCTGGCGTATTAGGCGACTGGGCGTATAAGATGACCCCTCCCCCAACTTTTGCTGTTGAATTATAGAGTTTGGCCTCCGCCGCCCTCACCTGTGGGGATGCCCAGCTCTTTGGAGCCCTGGCCGAAGCAGCGCACCACCTCGCTGCAGCAGGCTCTTCATGGCGTCCGTGAGCTGAGCGAAGCCCCGTGCGGCCACAACAGAGGCCGGATCCGGCTCCCATGACGGCAGCAGCAGGCATGCGGGTGAGCACCACACTTGGAAGGACTTTCCGTGGTGAGGAGAGAGCAGCGGCCAACGAACACGCGCTGTGCCGGTACGGAAGAGGCGGGGCCTCGCACTGCGTCACAGGAGGCTGCGTCCCCTTCCGTGGGGAGGGAGGAGGAGCGACGGCAGAAGGGGAACTTCTGCTCACCGGCTCCCTCTCCTCCTTCCCAACAGGTGGCTCCGCATATACCCAGCGTATAAGATGGCCCCCAACTTTTGGGGTGGTTTTCCTGGGTTAAAAAGTCATCTTATATGCCGGAACATACGGTACTTCTGGGTTCAGCATGGTGCGCAACCTGAACACATGCAACCTGAAGCGTCTGTAACCCAAGGTATGACTGTAGTCTTGTATACCCATTTTTTATCTCTTCCACACTTCTGATAATTTCCATAGTAGTGTTAACCAGTTGAACTACCAGAACTGTCTAACCTTCCCAGCACTTTAGAATGTGTTTTACATACATGCATAAGAGCAAATGCAAACGAGTTCAGGGTTCTTGTACCTTTAAGAGTTGTGTACAGGTGAGGAACCACAACAGGTTTCACCTCCTTGAATATTAGCTGGGGCAGGCCATGGGTTTTGTAAATCATTTATGTATACTACTAGATCACAACTTTTAACTACTGCATCATGCACACTGCCAGTGAATTAAAAAAGAAATAGTAAAACTGATTTCCTCCAACTCTATCAACCTGAGATTTTCTCCTTTTCCTATTTACACTACTCATCTGCTCAGTCAAATAATGCCCTATTGTAACTTCAGTCTGCCAAAATAAAAAAGCAATACCTGTTTTTAAAAACTGAAGCAGCACTGCAGAAAGTTGCACAAGCAATTCATCTACAAAGCACAGAAAACCAGAGACTACACCGTTTCTGTCCTTTAATATACACTGTGGGCATATCTATATTCAAGCAAAATATGGAAGCTGAGAAGGCAAAGTGTATTCAAGTATTACCCTTAAAATAAGGGAGAACTAATTGAGTCTGGTACAGGTGCCAATGTGGTCTGTAAATTCCTGGTTGGAATTTCTACAGGGGTTGTAAAAATCAATTGCAATGTATTTGTTTTGCATTCATTTAAGCTCTGATTAAGTTGTCAAAGCTGAACTTTTTTTGCATTTTATTGTAATTCAACATCAACTTTGCTGTGTGCATGCACTTATGTATGGTGTCTACAGGTATTGTGCTCTGCTTTGAATACAATGATGTTCAATTAAAATGAGGGTTAGCTAACATTCTCTTGGCCCTCCTAACTTTCCTGATCTGCAGCATACACTCCAGTTGGACTTCTAACATGGTGCTTTTAAACAACTCTCAAGCATCTGAATGAATTTACCTTTTTGACTTTGCCTTTCAAATTCCTTTTTACAAATCCCTTCATTTTGGACAAGTTTCTTGTTTTGAAATCAAACGTGACCATGTTGAATTTTCTTAGCAATCAGTCATTTACATGTATATTTAATAGCACTGTGGTCACTGCTCCCAACTGACTTAACAACACATATCTGATGTCAGGTCATGGATACTGCTAAAGATTAAGTCAAAGGTCACTGCCCCTCTGGTCAGTTCCATGACCAACCATTTTAAGATACAGTAATTTGGGGTATCTAGAATTTTACCTCTTTGGAACATATATGTAGTCAGTCTACATCAGGGTAGTTGAAATCAGCCATTTCTACAACATTTCCTCCTTTGGATTTTATGCGCATTTAATGATCCCGGAAAAAATAATTTTAAAAAAGGTTTCTGTTTTTAGAATGAGGACAGCTGGAAGCTGATTTACAATCCTATACATGTTTATTCAGAAGTAAGCCTCACTCCCAAGCTACATGGGCACAAAACTGCAGCCCTTGAAGTCTTGTCTCTACTGGGATTTTCCAATACTACATCAAATAAGATGATGCTAAGTAATATATGCACATTAGTCATGGAAATTAATGCCTTGGAAACATGTAACCGATCTGCAGAACATCAGAATGCTAGCCTAGAAACAAATGTGACAAGGTTTAAAAATATTGTGCAACAAGTGCAGAACAATTATGGTAAACTTGGCAGCTGTTTGCAGAACACAGCTATTAATTTTTATGGCCTATTTTAAGCATAACACAATTAGGCAATAAAAAAATACAGCTGAAGACAGGAAAGAATATGATTGGAGAATCAATAATTTAATCTGTTTGAATGTCACATGGAAGGAATTTAACCTTTGTTTGACTGGAAATAAAAGATTTCAAAACTATTTTTATATTGTAAGAATGTAAGAAGAGCCTGCTGAATGAGGCCAATGGCCAACCAGATGCCCACAGGAAGTCTGCAAGCAGGACTTGAGCCAAACAGAATTCTTCCCTTCTTCCATTGTCAGCGACTGTAGCAATGACTTGTAGCAATTGATAACCTCATCCTGGATGAATTTGTCTAATCCTCTTAGGCATCCTTAAAGCCATCCAAGTAGATGACCATTATTACTTATTGTGGGAGCAGGTGCCAGAGTTTAACTATGCACCAACTGAAGAAATACTTTCTTTTGTCAGTCCTGAATGTTCTAACATTCAGTTACTGGATGTCCACAAGTTCTAGGTTTATGAGGGAGGGGGGGAAATCCCTGAACACTTTCCCTACACCATATATACCTTTATGATGTCTCCTCTTACTCACTTTATCTCTAAACCAAAAAGCACCCAAAACTATAACCTTGCTTTATAGCGGAGTTGCTCTATCCCCTTGATAATTTTGGTTAACCTTTTCCAGCTCCACAATATCCATTTTGAAGTGCGGTGACCAGAACTATACACTGTAATCAAAGTATATTTGCACCCTAGATTTCTATGGCATTATCATGTTGGCTGTTTTATTTTCAATTCCTTTCCTAATGATACCCAGCATGGAATTCACCTTTTCACAGTTGTCCCCCCCACAGCATTTTTTTCCTTTGAACTGGCATTATCCAGAGAAAAAAGAATCATGATAGTGAACTAAATATCTGCATTCATTACTGCCAGTAAATTACAGTTATATATGCATAGTATCAATTATTCAAGAGGAGCATAGATGGAGGGGTGTGTGCGCGCACATGCGCATTGAACACTGGAAGATAATATCAAGCAATCTTTTATTTAAAAAAATACCAAATCAATTATTTTGTATCTCTTACCAGGTCGCTCTTTGCCTGTGCCTTTCGACTCAGCAAATTTTTGTATCAAACTTTCAACTGTTGTGTTTGCCATGTTATTTATAAATTCTTCATGTACCTTTGAGAAAAAGAACACTAGTAAATATAACTTTGTGGGCTTCAGCAATTTGCACACAAACGGATTGTTCAATTATTACACTTCCCATCTTGCTCTTATAAGTAAAAAGTGTCAGGCTGGGACTCAAAAAACCATAAAACTAGTTCTGTAAGCCTTAGGGTTGTTTTCCTCAAACATTCCCTATGGTGACTGGCAAACTGCTTTTAGTTTCAAAAGCAATTTGTAATATGATTGGGGGGGGGTGTCAGCTGTTTGAAGTAAATATTATCACAGAGCTAGCACAATATTTTTGACTATGTCTTGGCCAGTCTTTGGATTTTAGACACTGTATTGTTAATATAATAAGCTAGGACTATTACGCCCCTCTAAGATCCTGAAATGTGTGTCTTATATGAACAACTTAGTTTCTTTAAAAAAGTTGTTTGGGTCCAGACCTGTCTGCAAATGGCATACTGAGGGTCTCTTTCATTACCAAACATATTAGGATTACTCAGAAAATCTGAATGATAGAAATACATTCTGTCTCCCTCAAGGTCACTTTCATTTTTAGTATAAGCATGATATAGCTGTTTACAATTGATATAAACATGCAGTGATATAAATTAAACCATACCCATGTCTCAATCTAAGTTAAATCCTAATAAGAATTTGGCCAAAACAAAAAAAGTGTAAAGAAACAATTTCAAAATCATAAACACCATCCCTTTGATCTCAAATATCTGTATTTTTAGCTCAAACTAACGATTTGGGGAATAAAAAATAAGTTTTGCTTAGTGTTATTTTTTAACCATATGCAAAAATGCCATATCAACATTCTAATAGTATAATGAATACTGCACAAATATAAAAATACTAGAACACAAGGTACAATAGATATAAACTGTTATGGTAGGTTGTTTTTAGATCCTAGTTGGGCAAACTGATCTCTTTAATTACATGAAGAAAAAAATTAAAGTTTTAGAATTCAAACAGTCCAGATGACGACAAAAGCATTCAGTATGGAAATTCAGCAGTCAAAGTTTTACTCCTGGAAATGAGCTATGAGACAAGATTCATTTATGCTAAATGTCAATAAAGATATATTTTCCACTTTGTGCCTAGCGAAGAGTTTTCTTCATTTAGATTCAGGGGCATCCTTTTTATAGTAAATAAAAGGGGACCAACTTCCAAGTAAATTTGTTTGGTAACAGCAAAATAATTATGCCCCATGCCAGATACACCAGAATGGAGCTTGCCAATGTGGTGCCCTTCAGATGTTGTTGAACTGTAACTCCCATCAGTGCCAATCAACATCACCAATGCTGAAGAAAGACAGGAGTTGTCCTCCAACAACATCTGGAGGGCACTACATTGACTGAAGTGTCCCTGTCCCATGCGACAAAGATCAACAACCTAAGTCACATACATTTGTTTTCTCATGCTACCACCAGATCTCTGGATCAGGGTGTTCAGAGTTGTGAATATATGAGTTCCCTGTCTGGGCCAATTATAAGTTATACTCAAACCACACTAAAATTTGGACCCATTTAGAAACTGTTTTGACTCAGTGCCACTCCGCAAGCCCTCCCCACTACCAGCCCACCCTTTTCCCAATCTGACCCTTGCACTGAGGAAGGGTGAATGTTTTAAGGAGCATCAAAGCAGCAGAAGATACCCAGTTCTGAGGCATCTAAAGATACTGGGAAACATGTGAACTATAGCAGATTGTAGTGTCCAGTGCTTCCCACTACCAGAGGTCTCAAGACAAAGACCACTGCTGCATTGAGGTTAACCTCCATCATCTCAAGTGAAGCTCCTCACAACTAGAGTTTTGTAAAGATGTCTTTTCTCTCTTTACAACCGTAAGTATGAAAAGCGAGTGTCTGATGGTGGGGTGTTCCCACAGACTTAAGCTCTATGGGTCCAAATATGCTTTTTATTTCTTCTTATCCTAGAAATACATAATTACCAAAATTATTTTTACATCTAGATACAGGTACTGGAGGAACAATCTATAAAACTTGATTGAAAGTTTATCACATATCCATATCTTCCTCCACACCTACAGCAGCAAATTAAATACAACTCCTGCTAAATTTGGATACCTACGAACTTCAGTGAAGATGAAATACATCTTAATTTATAGCCTGAATAATAAGAGCTACTATAAAAAACTCACCTCGCCAATTTGTAAGTGAACTTCTTTGACTGTATTTGAAAAACATTCTATAATCTCTTTCATATGGAACAGATGCATTTCTTCAATGTCTTGAAATTTCTGCAGAACAAATAAGTGTTGTTTTTAGGGCTTATTTCGAGTTAAAACAGCTTAAGTCAAAACTGGATTTAAAATACTGATATACTGAACTGTCCACTGAGCTCCCATAATTAGCTCGCTTTTTTATTTGTTTGTTTTACTTTTTTACTCTGCCCTTCTGTTGCAGTCACCAACAACTCCAATGGACCCAATTATATTGATATTCAGTTCAATCCTATAAATGCCAACGTACTTTTAAAAATTGATATGCCAAATCTAATCAAAATAAAGAGATGTGCATTAAGAATCTTCCAACAAGTATGCAATGTGAAGCTTCTGTTCTAGTGCAACACAAAGAACTAACTTAAAATACACAAACTCAAACACAGTACGGTTTGTTTGCTTTGCAAATACGACATTCCTTGCCAAGGAAGCTCTCAGCTTGCCTTAAATGGCAGGCATACTTCACATATTTTTCATGTTTATGTTATTTCTCTATTTATTAACAACAGTTTTAGGACCAAAAGTTAAGTGTTTAATATCAAAACTAAAATGGCAATATTCAAATAGCACAACAAATTCCACAATAAATTTGATCCAGGTGAAAGAAGCAAATCATTATGTAAGAAGAAATTAGCAGGGGGAGTATAATGTTGTTTCTCTATCCCATGCACTTAAAACTTATCCAAAAGTATTTCCTGACACAAAAGTTCAAATTCTGAACCCAGAATTTAAAGCCGACTGTGCAGATTAGGAACACTTTTATTTAATTTGCTGACTGTATTCTCTTTTTCCAGACTCCTTGGAAAATTGTAAGTGAGAAGAGCAGAGACTGTGCAAATTATAGTGTTTGCCTTGCAGATACTGAAAAGAAGGTTTACCTGTGCAGTTTCGGTCATTTTTTGTTCAAAATCAGATTTTGCTGCAGCATATTTTTCAACATAGAGTTTATATGTATCAGTAGCCTTCTTGGATTTTACTGCTGCCTAAAATAAAATAATAAAATAATAATGATTGTAGGGAAGGAAGAAATAACAAGGCATACTTTTTACAATCAATTTAGCTGACTTACAATTTCATGTTTTGCTCCCTCACAGTAATTTCCAGTTCTTACCACATGAGGGCTCATGCAAACAACATACCACATGAAATTAAGTTGCTATATCACCTTGCAATGTTAAAACACAGTTGTTAGTAATCTCTAACACATTTTAAAATAACTTTGAGTTTATTGAAACTCAAAGGGGAAACATAGAACAAGATGGCAGGAAGATGACAGTAAGAGCTGTTCAACAATGGAACAGACTCCCATGAGAGGTGGTGGACTCTCCTTCCTTGGATGTTTTTAAGCAGAGGTTGGATAGCCATCCGTCATGTGTGATCTAGTTGACATTCTTGCATTGCAGGGGGTTGGACTAGATGACCCTTGGGATCCGTTTCCAGTTCCACAATTCTATGATCCTATGATTCTATTTTAATATATTTTCTCTACTAATCCTTTCAAAGCATTTTTTAATGATATATAAACAAGCAGTGAACACTATGGTGTTAATCTTTCCTGAATCTCACTACATATATTAGATTTTCCATTAAAATCAAGTTTATTGGCTCAGTTACACTGCACAGTCTCCATGTAGCACTATGCCTGTTTTAAAGAAAAATTCCAACTAGACCCAAAGTTGAATTTACCATAATCATTCTCTCCTTTGCACTTCAACGGTGGAAAACTGAATTGTTCAGAGGAATCAAATACATTACGTATTCAAATGCCGCTACACTTTTCAAGCTGAAAGTAATCATGCTTGCTTGTGGCATCAGAGTCAACTGCATGCTGACCATGTTAAGACATCCATTTAGACATTAAAATGGATGGTAACTTTTTTTTAGCAGTCTGAGACATATTACATAGCCTAATAGAAGGTGCGTTGGGGAAAATGTGTTTTCCTCACAGTAAATTCAGCAGGGGCTACACATAACTGAACAAGTGAACAAAACTGAGCAGGGCAATCCTAACAGGGGTCAAAGACTAGATGCTGTGGTGGTTCCACTGCTCCAAAATGTTGCCTGCTCCTGCCAGTCAGGGTGGAAGATGCAGCTTTTTGTATTTTTGCTGGGCCAGTTGCAGGGCTGGCAAGTTAAGCAGCCAAAGGATCAAGCTCCTCAGGGATCTACAGTGGTATGGATCCCAGTGGATCCCACCAGAACACGCTGTTTCCCCAGGGCTTGCTTTTGGCTACCACTGGTGGGAGACTTTGCCCACTCAGGCAGTGTTCAGGCATTTGTCACAGCAACGTTAACTCAGTGACACTACTCTCTGCTGGCAGAGAGGAGCTTATGCTGCATCCTGGCCCACCCTCATCATCTACATCAGGTGGTTAGGATTACAGCCTCAGTGAATCTCAAAATGTTGCACCTGTGCAGACATAAGCTAATTCAATAAGCAAACAGAACCTTACTTTATACTATTATATAACATACTATTGTTTGTTTTACGCAAAAGACATCCTTTGATTATCCTTATTTTTTATGCTGAAAAACACTAAAAGCAGCAATGTCGTATGGATGTTTTCTATCTGTGCAGTTAGACTATTAAACTATAAAGACAGGCAGCTAAATCTTTGAAACATTACCTTGTCTATTTCTCTCTGTGTTGCACCTTCCTTTTTCAAACGTTCCTGTTCCACACACTTTGAATTGTAGTTTTCTTTTGCTTTTTGAAGGGCCTGAGTAATATTCTGAATATTTTGCATTGCTTCCAAAGTTCCTGAAACTTCTTCTTTAGTCTGTTAAATATGACATGTGTGTTAAACACTACCAATTTAATATTTTCATCTGAAGTTATTAAAATGCATTAAAATGACTATACACAACCTTTTTATGAGCTTTTAGTTGTTCATCTCCATACTTCTGCACTTCTTTTATTAGTTCTTGCAACTTCCGAACAAGTTCTAAGTGACAGCTTGCTAATTTTTCGGATGATGATTTAAAAACATCCCAGACTGGTGCAAATGTCCTACAAATAAGAGAGAGAAAATGGGTGTTTTAGTGCTGAAATAGCTTGAAAGCAAAAAATAAATGATAAATAACTACGGTTTTCTTTAATTGCAACTCCTAAGGATATTTGATTGAGTCTTACTTTTGTTTACTTTTATTCTGTTTTCTTGTTGACCCAACAAAAATATATTCCCTATGACCCAATAAGAATTTCTAAGTCCTACATTTCAAGGTTTGACAAATGTCATCACAGCTTCTTATTACTGCTCAATGCATATTCAGGACTCACTTAAAATTACTTGGTTTAGAAGCAAAAAAAGGTAATTAGTAGGAGTAAACAATTCACTTACTATAACAAGAACAGGGTTAGGAATGCTCTCCAATTCAGAAATTTACTCTAGATGTGGGAGCTCTGACTGAACAGGATGTTTTAAGTTTTCATTCCTGGTCAAAGGCTTACAAGCACAGCTGAGGCAAGCAGTGCCTCGGTTCCAATTGTGTCATATTCCTGCAGATAATTTTAGGCCTGGTAGTCCTAAATCTCATTCTTGGCAAAATATGATGCTCCACCAGGGCTTTGGGCACTCCTGCTCTAGTTAGGCAGTTGGGGCCTTGGGCATAGCAGAATGGAATGGCAGGGACATTACAGGGAGGCACTCTGTGAATAACTTTCAATTGTTTTTACAAATGTTTAGATGAAGAACTCATCAATGTTTTAGGTTTTTTAACATTCAAATGGAGCACTTATTAAAATATTACTCCTCTAGGAAGTTAAATGTCAAATTTCCACTAAAGAGAGAGTCACATATGGGTTAAACTTGTAAGCTACTAAGGGCTGCCCAAATTCAATTCAGTAAAGGAAGTAGGTTTGCATTCACATATTTCCTTCTACTGAATGAATGTGGCAGCTACCTGGCTAATAGTTAGCAGCCACTTTACATACTTTATCTTATAATAATTGCTATTGCCTTGTAAGGTAGGACAGATTCTTTTCATTCCCATATTCAACACGTAACTACCCAAGTTCTACCATACATAGGGTATATCATGCTTCAGCAAATTCATGCAAAATACACAAACATTTCGCATTTTCTTTAAATGCACAGGTTTTTGTTTTTATTCAGAAAACACACACAAAAGAAAGAAAAAAGGAGTAAGCTCCCAAAGCCATATACACACATACAGAGCTCAGTTTTAAGTGTTGTATACATCCACAAACATTTCAGATAATTCTGTAATATAATTAAGTATTAGTATTATATTATACAGAGAAAGGCAGAAAAGCTCCTCTAACAGCCTCCAAGAACCTGCACAAAATTAGTTTGTTTTTAATCATCATAACTTACCCAAGCTGTGAATAATTGCTTGCTGATTTGGCTAGCTTTGTCATTGATCTTGAATATGCCTCTTCTATTGTAGCTCTATCAACGGAAGAAGACAATCAGCAGTCCAAAACAAAAATATGTACAAATCTTAGAGGACATGAACAAATGCACTGTTTGTTAACAAACCACTACCTTAGTTAGTCTAAAGCTAGCCTAAAATCATGTGTTTTAACTCAATCTGCTAAGGTGTGCTTTTTTCCCCTAAGAGTCACATAAACCAGTAGGTAGAAGAATAGCTGAGTGTGGATCATTAGGGGGACAAAGACGGGTGGTGACTCATCAAAAGCTGAGCCATCAGGACATTTTCAATGCCTGCTATCAAGGGGGATGGAGCCCCTCCTCCAGTGTGTGTTAGTGGGCAGAGATAAAAGGGGTTTAGGTTTTCAGTTTGGAAACTCAGGGAAATCCTTTTCAGTCTGTTAGAGGCAACAAGGAAGAAGAAGGGGATCCAGGGACAGCATGTAGGCTGATTGTAACAGAGAGAGAGACAGAGACAGACAGACAGACAAGAGAAAGAATATGGCTGGTTTCTGTGTTTTGGACCTAAATGCTGCTGTGCTGATGGGAGAAGCAAAAGACCCCTTTTGAGTATAATGGTTTGAACCCCTCTGTATTGACCAGGGTGGTCCAACACGTGGCCATCAGCAGCATTGGATGCCCCTACCCTTCACAGTCCTCATGCTGCCTTCCCAAAGCCAGGTAGGTGAGGTGCTGAGCTTTGGGAAGAAAGTGTGAGGGCTCTGATAGGGTGCTAGAGTCCTCCTACCCCCTTTCCAAAGCGTAGTTAGGGGTTTCCCAGCTTTGGGAAGGAGGTGGGAGGGCATTAGGTCCCTGCCAGAACCTTAAATCTCCTTCGCAAAGCCTGGTGCCTTCCTTAGCCAGCTTTAGGAAGGCAGAATGAGGGCTGGGGGGTCGTCAACCTCCCCCATGTGTGTGTGACAAGGTGGTGTGCAGCCCATGGGTTCTATGTCACAGTTTTCTTGAGGCCCACTTGGTATGAAAAGTTGGATGGCCTGATCTAAGCTCAGGTTGTATATACAGTGGTACCTTGGTTTACGAACTTAATTCATTCCGAAAGTCCGTTCTTAAACCGAAACCATTCTTAAATCGAGGCATGCTTTCCCTAATGAGGCCTCCTGCTACTGGTCCCCTTCCACCGTTCAGCTTCTGTTCTTAGACTGAGGTAAAGTTTGCAAACTGGGACACTATTTCCGGTTTTGCAGAGTTTGTAAACCTAATCGTTCGTAAACAGGCCTGTTCTTAAACCGAAGTACTACTGTATGTGTAAATAAACAGTATATCATCAAGACACCATAGCCTCCACTGTGCCGCATTGTCCAAAAGGAAACACAGACCTTGGGTAAAGTGTGCCTGCAACCTCTGAAATTTCACACTACTCATGAAGATATGGGTGGTGTCTAACAATATTATGTGCTTTTTTATTAAGCCTTTGTAAACTCCTTTGCAAATTGATATTGACTGCTGCACAAAATTGCCTCTCTATACAATCTAATCCCAGCTATACCTAGCAGATACATTCCTTGAGAAGGTAACTAATTTGGATTTGTTGCATGATTAATTCCTCTAATGTTAGATCCCTAGGTCAAGGCAGTTACACTGATGTTTCAATGCAACTTTATTCCAAATATTGGAGAAGTTTGTTTGAAAGATTACTTTTAAAGCACTATAACAGGGGTAGGCAACCTAAGGACCGTGGGTCGGATGCCGCCCAATAGCCTTCTCAATCTGGCCCACAGACAGTCTGGGAATCAGTGTGTTTTTACATGAGTGGAATGTGTCCTTTTATTTAAAATGAATCTCTGGGTTATTTGTGGGGCCTGCCTGGTGTTTTTACATGAGTAGAATGTGTGCTTTTATTTAAAATGCATCTCTGGGTCATTTGTGGAGCATAGGAATTTGTTCATATCCCCCCCCCCATATAGTCTTGCCCCCCACAAGGTCTGAGGGATGGTGGACTGGCCCACGGCTGAAAAAGGTTGCTGACTCCTGCACTAGATTCTACTTAATGTATTTGAAGGTCTAAAAAGTGTCCTACAGTGGCAATAAAAAGGGGTTTTTTTGGACAATTTCAGAACACAGCAGAAAGTGTCTTGTATGAGGGGTAAAGTTGAAGGACCGCTGGACAGTTAAGTCCAGCTGAATTTGACTATGGGGCGCTCATCTCCACTTTCAGGCTGAGGGAACCGGCGTATGTCTGCAGACAGCTTTTCCAGGTCATGTGGCCAGCATGACTAAACCGCTTCAGATGCAACAGGGCACTGTAATGGAAGGCAGAGCACACAGAAACGCCATTTACCTTCCTGCTGCAGTGGTACCTATTTATCTACTTGTGCTGGTATGCTTTTGAACTGCTAGGTTGGAAGCCGGGACAGAGCAATTGGAGCTCACCCCATTGCGCAGATTCAAACTGCCAACCTCGTGATCAGCAAGCCCAAGAGGCTCAGTGGTTTTTAGACCACAGTGCCACCACATCTCTTCCACATGAGGGGTAAAGTGATATGGCTGTAATATATCTTTGACTGTACTAATGAGAGCAAAGCTGGTGACTCAAATTACAGTTTACATCAAGTTTTGTGTTAGCAGCCAAAGATCAAACACACAACACCAGATAATATCCTCTGCCTGGGATTTCTTTTTTAATCTAAAGAAGTTTATAAATGATTTTAAATAATAAATAAAAACATTCTAACACAAGACCAAAGGGCTTGCAACAGTGCAAGTCTTTAAGTAACCATGGAAAGAGATTTCGTACTCTTAAGAGTTACAAATTAGAATATTTTAAAGAAACGAATGCCTTGAACTAAGTTATAGGACAGAGGATCAAGGGTATGAACGATGCACAGCTAATCCCATTTGAAACTTTGCAGCTTTATTTATTAGAAGTATTTCCCCCCACGTTCCATTAAAATACTGAAGTCCCTTAGTAAACTTCAAGCTTCTGCTTTTTTAATTCCTCTGTCTGCTTACTGGAAACTGGTTCGTACTTCTATAGATATCTCTACAACATTTAACTATGACCACAAAAATACATTGTTTCCCTTTTTTATAATACTGCTCTATACCAAATTCTGTTTAATTTTTGAATTGATTGGATCAAATTCATATTTTAAATTACAAACAGATGTTTTCCAAATAGCTCATTTTCCCACTTTGCACACTACTCTATAATTACACTTGCTGTAAACCCAAATAGCATGTGAAAAATAAGCTATGTAAGGACAATGTATTGCTGCAAAATCAACTTAGGTGGGATCCAATGTTCTCCCTCTGTTGAAGGGAGGGAACATTTGTATTAACTCACTGATATGAACACTAATTTTCATGACTAGAATGCAGAATTTGCATTTCCTAGTGAAAATGCCTAATTTTTTGGATCAAAAAATAGACATGCATAATTCTAGAAGAGAAAGTTTTGATTATGTAGTGTTCTCAGAAAGACAACACTTTCAGTGTTCTTTTTTCTTTAATATTAATAAATTAAATCTGATACAAGTATCAAAACATAAACAAATTAAAGCATCCACTTTATATTAAAAACATTTCTATAAGAACTTTACAAAAGGGAGACTATTATCCACTATATGGAGTTTCACCATTCTAAATGGTCATAACCCAGTGACAAAATTCTTTATAAAAACTACAGCTCTGTATTTCATTAACAAATTTGAATGCATTTTAAGATTTACAGAATGATGTCAATCAGACTAAATAAAGAGTACCAAACCATCTCCCATTCTTTCTTGTTTTGAAGGGCCTCCTTGCATTTCCAACAGCAAGCATAAACCAGTTTAGCAACCAGTAGCACATGTTTTGGAAACAAGTGACTAGGAGATTGAGTTCTGATGTCCTCAGTATGCTACCACCAGCCAGGTCTATTTCTTTGCTAAATATGAATCAAAAGAGACCATGACTGTTCTGAACCAATGTAGGCTGTATGAGTATCAGTACACTGAGAAAGAATCCTGGCAGAATTAAGACTTTGCATGCGAGTAATTCTCAGGTTCAGGAGCTCTGGGTGGCAGAAGCAATAATGGCACACAGACTGGAGGCTCCCCAGGCTATCTTGATTTATTAGGGCCACAGTCCAATGCACACAGACCTGGAAATTAAGCCTCACTAAATTCAGTGGGGCTTATGTCTAAGTATATATGCATAGAACTATGACGTAAAACCATTAAACTGTAATACAGTAGTTGACTAGTATTCAGAAAGATGTCTTCAGTGGTTTATGTAAGTATGCCAGAATAAGTAGCTAATAAACGCACATACCTTTCTCTTATGAAATCTGCTAGTTCTTTTGTAGATACATGTCCATGTTTCATATTATGATAGAGAACATCAAAGCCATTGTTCCTTTCTCCCTATGATTTAAAAAAAAATGGTTTAGTTTAAATTATGAATAATAGAATTAACAACAGAAGAAGTTCACTCATTAGCACCACTCCACAACCAGTTGCACAAGCACTAGAAGCAAACTCTGTGAAACAAAGTATCTGGAACTAAATCACAGTAAGACTAATAATATAATGTGGTTTATTTAGAAATGTGAAGCAACAATAGTAGGGACCACAAACAGCACCCTCATATGGGGATTACATCACTCTTGTGTAATCCACACCTTCTACTACCCTTCTCTTACACTAAAAGATAAAGCAGCAAAAAATAATTGCTCCAGTTCTAATATTTTGCATACTTATTACTTCCAACAGAGGTGTGTCCCATTCTAAAATGCTTCAAGAAGGGCGGTTTCCTTTTTAGCTATATTGAAAAGTATGCAATTACTGTCTTGTTCAACATGGTATACCAAGAGTAAAAAGGGGGCCATGCTGTTGTTCTTCCCTGCTCCAAATTAGATAAATGTTCCTTCTGACAATAGTGACTGATGGCATTAAACCACCACATCAAACCATTGTTAAAAACTAACAATGATATAATGCGAACGTGCAACATGCCTATGCGTGCTGCTGAAAAATTGCTGCTCTGCTCCTTCCTCACTCCTTCTGTTGATACACCACCAGGAAACAAGCCTGTGTGTGGCTTGTTGTGACATCCGAACTAAGGCTTGTGGTTTGTTTCCCCTCAAATCAACCATGAACAGTAAACAAAACAAACTTTGGTTATCACTTGTAGTTTGGAGAGAAACAAACCAAAGCCCAGGTTTAGACGTTATGACTCCAGTTTACTTCCTGGTGGTGCATAAGCAGGCGTGCGGGAAGAGCACAGCGAGAACTTTGAGCTGTGTACAAAAGCATGCTGCTCATTCATATTAAACCAGTTTGTTTCTGACTATGGCTTTTAACATTTAAAAATGAATACCTGTTAAGAAAGCTTTTGTAATATATCTAGATTACAATTAATCAGTTAGGATTGCCACAAAGTAATCTCATAATGAAAACTGAGAAAAAGAATTCAGCTTGATATTTTTGTTTGCTCTTTCCATTGTAAGCCATCCCCAAATTACTCTGTTAAGGTTCTAAATGATATGTCACCCAATAATACTTGTGTTCCTGATTCAACACTTTATCACACAACAAATTCAGAAAATGCAATGCAAGGCAGGATGCTGCAAACATGGAGCTATTTGCCTTCTGCGAAGGCGTACAGCCCAATGTTCCTCATATGCCCTTTGGGGAGCATGTGTAGTACATGACCTTAAGTTCATAAAAAACCCTGTACAAACTGTTAGTGTTAATGAACAAGAATCCAATAGCAATTCTTTAAGTCCAAGGCTATAAAGTAAAACAAATAAATGTTTGTATTAAATTTGACTATTCTCTTTATCAACTAAGTAAAACCACTTCTAATGCTAACATGGAAATGAAAGTAGCTGTGCAAGCACTATCAAATGACCAGAGCATTTCCAAAGAAACCAGTTCATAACAGGAAACACATTACAGGAACTCCTTGTTTTGTTAACTATCCTAGTGCCATATGAAAATTCTGCAGAAAAGATACAAGGCATCACCCTTGTCTATCCAAGCAGCATATTTGAACTTTAAAACTCCTGTTTAGCAGTGCAGCAACTTTTCAACAGCATTCTTGTTTCTACAATATGTAACTAAGCAAGGAATAGCTTCCTTCCATTATTCTATTGGTAAATACAGCAACTTAAGCTGCTGCAGTTTCTACATTAACATTAGCAAATCTGATAACACAGTATTTTTTTAGGTAAAAGGTAAAGGGACCCCTGACCATTAGGTCCAGTCATGACTGACTCTGGGGTTTCGGCACTCATCTCGCTTTATTGGTCGAGGGAGTCGACGTACAGCTTCTGGGTCATGTGGCCAGCATGACTAAGTCGCTTCTGGCGAACCAGGGCAGCACATGGAAACGCCGTTTACCTTCCCACCAGAGTGGTACCTATTTATCTACTTGCACTTTGACATGCTTTTGAACTGCTAGCTTGACAGGAGCAGGGACCGAGCAACGGAAGCTCACCCTGTTGCGGGGATTCGAACTGCCGACCTTCTGATCAGTAAGTCCTAGGCTCTGTGGTTTAACCCACAGCACCACCCGCGTCCCTAGTATTTTTATACTTGAAGTATAAACTACAAGAAGGCAGTACTGATTACTTACTTATTTCTCTGTAAATCACCCTATCTATAAATCCTACTTCCTTGAAAACCTAAAAAGATATATACAGCAAGAAATTGATAGCAAACCATTAAAATAGAAGTACATAAGTTGTTAATGAAGAGTACACATCCTATCTGTCAAATTGCAAATGCTTGAGTGAATAAAAATGTTTCAACTGGAGTCTCAAACACAACAATGTAAGAGACAGCAGCACCTTTAAGGGGTGATCATGCCAGGGTCTGGAGCCTACCACAGAGAACACCCTTCTAGATAACCCCTCTTATGCCTTTTTAAAAATTGGTGTTTCATAGGTTGCTTTTCAGTTCTCAGGGGTAGAAACATGGGGAAAGTTACCAGTTTTTGATAGCTGCTCAGCAATTTCACATTTGATTTCTTTCAGAACATGTGGGTGGATGCCATTCAGACCTGACAATTTGTCAGTGTTTATTTTGTCTATTAGGCCAAGAACTTCATCTCTTGTTCCTTCCTTCCTGCAAAAGTTCAGGCACTGGGATCTGCCCTACAGATGCAAAGAATTTAGCTTCTCTGCAAACTTATCCTCCATTAACACATCTTTAACTCACTTGACATCCAAGGGTGCAACTGCTTCCCTAATAGTTTCCAATAATTATTAATGGATTTAAAGAACTTCTTGGACTTAAGGCTTTTGACAATAAAGGTAAAGGTAAAGGTACCCCTGCCCATACGGGCCAGTCTTGCCAGACTCTAGGGTTGTGCGCTCATCTCACTCTATAGGCCGGGAGCCAGCGCTGTCCGCAGACACTTCCGGGTCACGTGGCTAGCGTGACAAGCTGCATCTGGCGAGCCAGCGCAGCACACGGAGCGCCGTTTACCTTCCCACTGGTAAGCGGTCCCTATTTATCTACTTGCACCCGGAGGTGCTTTCGAACTGCTAGGTTGGCAGGCGCTGGGACCGAACGACGGGAGCGCACCCCGCCGCAGGGATTCGAACCGCCGACCATGCGATCGGCAAGTCCTAGGTGCTGAGGTTTTACCCACAGTGCCACCCGCATCCCTTTGCTTTTGGCAATATGTTCCTTCAATTCTTTTTTCTTTTTTAAGTATCCTTTACCATATGCTTGCACATTTTTTGACCAAAGTTAGTGTTGCATTTTATCCTCTTTATCTGGACAAGACTTCCATTTTTTGACGGATGCCTTCTTGCCAGTAATACTTTCTTTTCTTTGATTCTGCTTGTTAAGAGTGCCAGCATTTTCTTGGCCCTCATGCTTCCTTTCCTGATCTGCAGTATACACTCCAGCTGAGCGTCTAACATTGCATTTTTAAAGAACTCCCAAGCATTTCTGAGTGATTTTGCCCACTTGACTTTGCCTTTTAGCTTCCTTTTTACAAATGTCCTCATTTTGGGGAAGTATCCTCTTTTAAAATCAAATGTGACTGTTCTGGGCTTTCTTTAAAATTGGTGATCTACATGTATGTTTAATTTAATAGAACTGTGACCAGTGCTCCCAACGGACTTGCCAAAACTTACACATCATACTGGGTCCTGGAAACCACTTAAGATTAAGTTCAGGGTTGCTGCCCCTCTAGTCAGTTCCATGACCAACTGTTCTAGGACACAGCCATTTAGGGTATCCAGAAATTTTACCTTTCTGCATGGAACATACATGACAGATGTGGGGGAAGTTTAAGTTACCCATTTTCTCTTTTCAATGCTTCATTTGGATTTGAATTTCATTCTTCACCTCAAGACCACTCTGAGCATTTTGATCATGGGGACATAGCATGTCCACCAGATTAAATTAGGACCCACAACTTGTCCCAGAATATTCCCTAGTGGCTAACAATAGCTACTTGCCACAATGGCAAGTACCTATGTTGTTAAAGGCAGCATGCCTCTGAATACCAATTGCTGGGAATCACGGGAGAGAAGAATGCTGTTGCACTAAAGTCCTGCTTTCAGGCTTCTCATAGGCATACACCTGGCCACTGAATGAACAGGATGGAATTGTCAGCAAGGCAAGTGAGGAATTTGTTGGACCTTATATTCTTGGTATATTTTGAGTTCCAACATATATCAGGGAAGTTGAAGTCTCCCATAAATATTCTCTCTCTCCTTCTTGAATGATTGGTAAACTGCTCTAGTAAGTCATCATCCAAGTCTTCAGTCTGGCTTGGAAGTCCATATATTTTTACCCATAGACTCTCAATCTGCCTTCCATGTTCCAAGTCACGGATCTTTTTACAAGTATACACATTATTTACATATAATGGTACTCCACCTCCCTTCCGGTTTGATATATTATTTTAGAGCAGGTTGGACCCCTCAATTTCGACATTCCAGTCAAGAGTTTCATCCCACCAGGTTTCTGAAATGCCTATTAGATCATATTTGCCATTCTGTATTAAGAGCTCAAATTGGGCTGGCTTGTTTGCCATACTCTGTCCATTGGTATAAAATATTTACAAGCATTCCCAAGATTGAAGATATTTAGTATTTAAACCACACTAAGTGCACTTTAATTATTTGCTTACTTAATCAAATATTAAAATTACAGAAGTATACAAATTATAGCCAGGTTTAGAAGCCATGCATTACTATCTAGTAACCAGCTGTGAAGTCCAGTCCTGCCATGATACACATATTGTATAATGATGTAACTTGAGTTTTATGTATACTTAATTCTTCCACCACAACCACTTTCAACATGAAATTTTCTCTACAGGTTTTTTCTTCTCCTTTCATATTTTTAACTGCCCCAGGTTTACATGTGGTATTCAACTAGGTTTTACTCAGAAGAGACCCAATGAAATTAATGGACCTAACTTAGTTATGTATAATAATTTCAGTGGATCTTTTCCAAGTAAAATTCAGTTGAATACTACCCTATGTTTTATATCAGTTTAGTTACAAAATAGTTACATTGCTGTTTCCTGGTAGAACCACAAAATACAGGGAACGAGCAGAATTTGGCTAATAAAATTATTTGAATTTTCTAAGAACTACTAGTTTTTCATGAAAGTGTTCATGTGGAATCTTAAAAGGCTAAACTCATTTACAATCTACTCAAAACAAGCCAGGATATGAACCCAGAGAATGCCTTATATCCTAGCTTGCTTTGAAGCTGTTAACCAGAATTTCTGAATTTGCACGCAATTGAATGTTATGGATAAGAGTTAAATGCTAGGTGTTTGCATAAAGGAAGGAGAGAAATGGCTGCAAAGAGGCTGCATGGTAGGCAAGTCATGGCTTAGTAAATTCAAATTATTGGCTTTCTGTTATATGCAAATGCAACGATTTATGTAATGCATTCCAAGACAGCAATGTTATGCATAACTATCTGGGAGTAAGAGCCACTGAACCCCATGGTACTTCCTTTGAGTAAAACAGCATTGATTCAAACACACTGAACATTTGTTTAACAAAGTTTGAGTCAGCCAAATACCACCTTTTGATTTTAATCAGAAATGAAAATATTATGAAAACATTTTACTATTTAAAGTGCTAGGCCAAAACAGGAAGCACATCAAAGAAAAAGAGTATCTGGGTTCTACTTGGTTATTTTCTTCACTGTCCCCTACCCTATTTCCATTTCTTTATTTTTGGTATGTACTAATTTGAATTGCAAGTTGACTAATTTGAATGTGGAAACTGAGTAACCTGGTTTACATGTCATGCTAAACCATTGTTTAGCATGACATGCACAAGCAGAAAGAAGCTGCAGCAATACTTGGGCTCAGGTACTCTCTCTCTTCTTCTCTGGCATAGCCAAGAAGCATCTGAATATTCCACTTTTCATTACCTACAGCTTGCCATGTGGTCCAAACCTAGATTTGTATTTAACCTTAAATTATGGTGAAACTAAACAAAGCAATTTCAGAAATAATGATTTGAAGTTGGCTTGTTTTAAACCAGGGGTGCAAGGATCCCTGGCCCATGGGCTGGATGCAGAACATAGTGTTCAACAGGGAGCACCCAGAGGGAAAAGGCTTTTGATATTGTCTGATGTTGCTGTGCAACTACGGCACCTTCCACTGCAAAAAGATCTGGAGCAAGAAAATCAGAGCAGAGAAGAAAGTGTGTTCTCTCTGTGTGTGATAAAGGTGTGTGGTTGTATGTGACATATGAATTTTTGAGTCTGACCCTGTCCCTTACTGGAATGTAGCCTACTACTTTGCAACAGGATGTTTGCCCCATTTCAAAAACGTTCCCCATTTTAAACTAACCACAATGACAAAGCAAACTCTAATTACCAAAAAAGCAAAATCTTCTGTGCTCCCAGCTGTGTGGGAGAAGGGAGGCAGCACATGAACCTGAATCTCTGTTGGACTGGATCCTCCACGAAGCGGTGCTGCCCACCCCTACCTCAAGACAGCCGCTCCAGGAGGATACCATGGTTGATGGTATCAAAAGCCGCTGAGAGGCCAAGGAGAATTAACAAGGACAGTTTTTCCCATCTCTCTCCTGACAAAGGTCATCATACAGGGCAACCAAAGTAGTTTCTGTGCCAAAACAGGGCCTAAACAATGATTGAAATAGATCTAGACAATCTGTTTCCTTCAAGAGCACCTGGATGTGGTCCACAACCACCTGTTCAAGTACCTTACCCAATAAGGTAGATTAGCAACCAGTTGATGGTTACTTTCTGAATCCAAGGAGGGTTTCCTGAGGAGTAGTTTTGGCACTGCGTCCTTCAAGCAGGCGGAGACCACCCCCTCTCACATTAATCTCCTTCCTGGCGCAGTCAGCTGTCCCTTCCCTGCTAGTTATTATCAGCTAAGAGGAAAAAGGGTCCAGAGTGCAAAAGGTCGCTGTGACTGATCCAAGCCTTACTAACTGAATCTCATCCAAAACAGTGCTCTGGACAACCCTTGAGATTCATCTGCTGTAACAGCAGAGTTAAGATCCAAGTGGATTGAAGCGATTTTACTCTCAAAATGCTTTGCAAGCAAGTCACAGCGAGCTACCATTGGTTCTACCACCTCCTTCAAGCCAGACTGTAAGAGGCCCCACACAGTCCAGAAAGGCTCTGCTGGATGGCAAGAAGAGAATGCAATGGAGGCAGCTAAGTATGCCTTCTTTGCTGCCTTCACTGCTACTAGGTAGACTAGATGATGAACCCTCACAAGTGTTTGAATGCATTCCACAGGCGTTTTCCTGCTTGTTTCCTCGCCTGGGAGGGGGCTTGACTGTGACATGGCCAGTGATTGCAAAAAGGTTACTAACCTAATGAGAGAATCAAGCTTCACCCTCCATTCCCTCTACTTTGTTTTTAAGCTGTAATTCCTGTTTACTGCAACAGATTAGCATAAATAAGTAAACCTTTCCTCCTACAGAAAGATTGGCTCAGTTTCCTGTATTTCTATACCTTTTTGAATTTGATCTAATCATCACAAACAGAAGCAAAACTTAAAAGCCTCCCTGAGCCTAGTCATTATCACCTCAATCACTTTCCAGAGCAAGGAAGACTAGTCACCATAATTACGCTGGAGAGTAGGTTTGCTGGAGGCTGTTATGTTCAACTACCTTTCTCGATAAGAAAACTTTGGGAAATCCATACAGCTAATAAGATGACATACTTTCAGTTTTGTTTTCTGACAATAATAATATAAACACACAAAATCAGATACAACCAATTTAGGGTAGTGGAAAGGTTTCTGAAAACCCTCTTTACAACTTATAGGGCAGAAGGCACAGAAATTAGAAAATACAAGAGTAACTCATTTTATTGCCTGAAGATGGAACTTTCAAATTCATGCTAGGTCTTCAGACAGTGCGTGGCTCAAACAAGAAGCCCTGTAAGATAGGCACCAATTCCCTGCTTTCTGTACCACCAGAACATGTCTTCTGTATCTACAGCATTGTACCTATCTTCTCTGGTTACTACAGGAACTACTGTCTTTTCTGACACTTTTCCTTGGAAGGAGCTAAATTCCTCAATTTCTGCATTTTCTGTTAGTAGTTCTCAACACTCAAATGGGGAATCTATTGGTTTAATGGCTGAGAGTTTCAATTGCAAAAGAGAAAAGGAAAATGGAAGGCAGAGAAATGGAAGGCAGGGAAAATTGGCTCATACAAGTGACTACCAGTTTATATTGAGCATTCTGTAGCAAGAGGGTATTGGGATTGTGGAGTGATTATCGCAGGTTTTACAACAGTAATGTACCATGGAAAGTTTTGCAAAGTGGGAAAATTGCAGGAAGTTTTCCAGTGCTTAATTTTTCTGTAGAAAATGTCCCATTAAAATTTTGTTTCATAAAACAAATAATTAGTGGATAATAATTAGTAATAATTAGTGGATACCAATACGATTACAAGCTGCAAGATTGGCAGTTTCAGAGTTATAATTAATGTTTCTCAGGAAGTGTTAAAGAATGTACTTCTATATATTTTCCTGATTTGTCATTGGGGATAAAATAAAACTGCAAATACACATGAATGTTACCTGATTGCCTGTGCAGGTCAAGTAAAAAATGAAGCTAAAATTCTTATTTCATCTCAGACTGCATAATGTAAAAGAAGTTCATGCCGCAGTCTTTACATTTTTGCAAGTACTTAAAAACAATTTACACATAAAGCTTTGAATGTGTTGGAATAGAACATTTAATAGTGCAATCCTAAACATTTCTATTCAGAAGTAAGTCACAAATTCACAGGCAATATTTCACTGCTTAGATTAGCCTTCTCCAACCCAATGCCCTTCAGGTGTTTGGGACTACAACTCCAATCAGCCCCAACAAGCACTGTAAGCATTCTAGTCCAAAACGTCTGGAAGCTGAAGGCTGGTTTCATACTCCATGGCATGAGCCATATTATACTGACTACTAGCATCCAAGGGCTAAACAAGTCAATAATTTCTCTTCAGTAAATGCATATATCGATAAACTTCCCAGAATCTGAATAGGCCTTGAAAACACCAACTTATGTTATCAAATATTGCAAACACTGAACAACCATAAGGTTTCACATGATAGACAGTCATACTAAGCCACATCCTCTATTCTATTTTCATAAAATTTGCAGTAAGTGTCCTCTAAAATCACCTGGATGAAATCACCCACTCCAGCACCAAAATTGCAAACTGGAAACTGGGAGGTAAGTACACTGTTTGTTGGGTTCAAATACAGCTTCTTTACCAGAGTGGCTGGGGAAATCCAGCCAGATGGGCGGGGGAGAAATAATAAATTATTATTATTATACCACTGCCTCCTTAAGAACTGTGGGAACTAATCTTTCAGAGTTGTCCACATGACCAACCCAGTTATAGCTGATCTGAACTGTCAGGATGGGAAAGACCCTATAGAACACATATGTCTCAGCCTTCCAAGCAACTTATCCACATACTCATTCAATACAAGCTTAAAAGGATCCATAACAACCTGACTAAACAATGTCCAAGCCCCATTCCTCTCAGAAGCCAGTGCGGATACAAGCAATTTTATCTGAAAAATGTCTAGCCATTTGGTCACAGAAAGCTTTTTGAGTGTTCCACTATCTGATCTCCTGATCCTATATGAAGATGGCTATTCCCCTTCTCCTGTACTTAAAAATGCAGTGTACTAATAGGCTGTTACAGGGAAACAACAGCAACTGTCAAAAGGTCTTAAAGCACCAAACCAGATGTGAGTTTACAGTACCACAAATGATCAGTTATAAATAAGTTATCCTGTAATGGGGCAGTGAACTTAAACTAAAAAGCAAAGTACCTCTCTATATAATCATGAACCCACTTTTAGAAGTCTCAGTGCTTAACAGTGCCTTATTACTTTCAGCCTATAAAACAAGAAGAATTATGAATTAAAATACCTCTTCCAATGGAACAGTAATTGCATGTTCATTGTATATGTTCATTATATCTGCATTGCAAATAAGCCCACAAAACTTACTAGCCTACAAAAATATTTACTAGTCTGCTGGAGCTGGCAGAGTAAGACTAAAGAGCTTTATCCCTTATCCAGTATGTCCAGAAGAAAGCAGCCTAAATAGTGAAGAATCTGGAAACCAAGAGCTATCAGAAATGGTGGAAAGAGAGGGGTGTACTCAGCACCAAGAAGAGAAGATCAAAAAGTAACATTATAACTGCCTTCAATTATCTAAAGGGTTGCAATGTGGAAGATGGAGCAGACTTGTTCACTGTTACTCCAGAAGGCAGGACTAGACGCAGTGAGTGGAAATTGCAAGGAAGCAGATTTTGATTAAACATGCAGAGAAACCTCCTAACAGCAAGAGATGTTCAACATTAGAATAGCCTGTCTTGGCAAGCTCTTCTTTGCTCGATGGCTGGATGGTTTTCTCTCTCATGGATGCTTTTGAGCAGTGGGCTAGACTTAGCAATGAACATATCAACCTATTTTCTTTTTGTGCCAGTGTTGATGTGCTCAAGTCAGGGCTTTCTTTGCAGTTTTTTTAAAGGTCCCTTTCCAATTTATGAATTGTATTATATAATTTGGTATTTGGATTTTGCCTTAACTAGTTATATACACACGGCTCCTATACACTGTAAGCAAACAGCAAAAATCAACCAAGTCACACAATCTACGTGCACTGGGATTTGCTGCCCATTAAATCCACACCACAGTCTGGCATATTTCCTTTATTGTATTAGGAATGATGTATTGGTTGGGCTGATAGTGGGTTACCTACGTAAAAACAAGAATCACTAAAAACAAAACTAAAAGCTATAATTAAAAAACAATTAAACATTAATAGAAGTAAAACTATATACACATATAAAATCTGTTTAAAACATACAAATAATTACAATAAAAACAGCACAGCACCAGCCCTTTCATCAAAAGCAGTCAATTCCCAAAAACTTGTTGGAACAAGAATGTCTTTACCTGCCAGCAAAAGGACAAGGAGAAAGCCAGTGTAGTTTCTCCAGGGAGGAAGTTTCAGAGTAATGCATATATATCTCAAAGACATATAATAGTCCAAAGTATCAGACCTGACATATTTTATTATGAAAATTAACAGAATAGTTGCAGTCAGTTCTGCAAATTTTGGGATTATTTATATTAGCCCTGTTACCTTCTACCCTCATTGACAAATCAAGTGTCAGAGTGAGTGAAAATCATATACATTGTATGCGTGTCCCTATATACATTTCAGGCAAAGTCACTGGGATAACAGTTAATTATAACTTTGAAACCATTTTATAGAATAGAATTGTATAGTTGGAAGGGGCCCCAAGGGTCATCTAGTCCAACTCCCTGCAATGCAGGAATGTTCTATCATTGTTCCATCACTAATGAGTTTCAAAAACAAGACGGACCTGCAGCACAATGTTGCAGTATATTCAGAGAACCCAGAATAGGAGCCTTTAAATGCTTTTCAGGCCTTGGGGCAAAGTGAATTTCAGGAGTTTCTGTCCCTGCTGGCCTTCTACAGTTGTGTTACATAGCACTAGAGAGTCGCCAGTGTCAAACTCAATACTCTCTTAGCTATGAAGTGGAGGAGGGCACTCAGCTGAGGAGGTGGGGTGCTGAATAGGTCAATTCCCTCTCCTCCTCTGCCCTTCATTTGCTTTTTGCTTTCTTTTACAACTGACAGGAAATATTGTATTCTAGTGATTAGATCAGCTTTTCTCAACCTTGGGTCCCCTCATGTTGTTGGACTACAACTCCCATCATTTCTAGCTAGCAGGGTCAGTAGTCAGGGATGCTGGGAGTTGTAGTCCAAAAACAACTGCGGACCCAAGGTTGAGAAAGGCTGTGTTGGACTAGGACTTGGAAAAGCAGAGCTCAAAACCACACTCAACCATGAAGCTCACCTTAGGCCAGCCACTCTCTCTAAGCCTAACTGACTTTACAGTGTTGTTGTGAGGATAAATGGACTGGGAGAGAACCATGTATTGCAACTTGAGCTCCTTGGAGGAAAGGTGAGCTCTAAATATTATAATTGATTAAGTAAAATGGAAATTCCATATCTTAAACTGTTCTCAGACATAGACTTGACTGATAGATTCACAGTCTACCAATTTATTTATTTAGATCCTCCCCCACCCATCTCTTTGTAAGCTAAACTCTTACCAATGTTCTGTAAATTCCCAGGTTCTTGTTAGCAGTTTTACTTTTCTTTTCATTAATAAATTTATAAAATTCTGTATACCTAGGGCACTCCTCAAGGAAGCAGAAAAAACTAGCTTATTTTGGGGTGGCTCCATTTTGTTTTGAAACTAATAAGCACTCAACCACTTGGTGTACCCTAGAGTTTGGAGCAGAGTTTCTGTTTTTAGAAATGTTTCTAGGGAAAATATAGTGAAGGTAGATTTCATCTATAAGAAACAAATATTTTCACTCAACATCATGGCCACAATACCTCATACAGAATGCTTTTCTATGGAGTCAGTTCACACGTTCCGTTACAAAGTAGTATTCATGATCTACTTTTAAATAGGCCTTTAGTCTCATCAAAATTAGAAACATTCATTTGCCAGTGTTTTTCCCTTGAAATTGACACCAGTTAAACCTGAATTCAGTTAAACCTTTATTTGTTAAACCTAATAATTAAGTTATTAGCATTATCTGTTCCTGATACCAAGAAAGTAACTGTTCCTGACACCAAGAAGGTATGTAGGTTTTCAGTAATGGCAGTATATTCTTCTCCAGCAATGATCAACATTTGCCACATATTTCACTCTTAAAAAAACCCCAGTCACCACCACCACCCAACTGTAAAATACAGGAACAGAAAATACAGGCAATAAGTATGAGGAAACAATAGGTTATATATTCTGACTTTTATATCATAAAAGGACTAGATCATGGACATAATGAACATACAGATATCTGCAGAACTGCCACCCCAAATATACTACCAATATCTGTAACAGATACTTCCTTCAAAAGATGTCATTTGAAATACATTCAGCCATATATAAACATTTATAAAGCCATAATCAACATTTCAGTTGATTCTGAAACAGTTGGTCACATTTCTTGTCTCAAAATGCCCCAAGATATCTAAGGTTGAAATCCTGCGCACACTTACTACAGTGTACACCACAATGAATTCAGATGGACTTTCTCTTGAGTAAGCATGTAAGGATTCTGTCACTTCTGCTGCAAATCCATACATGTCTACTCAGAAGTAAGTCCCATAAAGGTAAATGGCAGACAGCAACCACAATTGGGTACTAATTCACAAAATTCCTAAGCAGCAATTCACTGGGACCCTGAGCTTTCAGAGAAAAGCAAATCCAATTTAAGGAAATCAAAGCTGAATGAGCATTCTTAGAAACTTTATATGGACAAAAATTTTGTGACACTTTTAAGATAGCAGATATTCCAAGGCAACATCTAATTATTTTATTAGTAACCTATCCACGCTATTTAAATCATTACATGAAACTACTGTACTAGCTTGCTGTTCTTCTGAATCATGAAGTGCAGAAGAGGCAGAGAAAAAGAGCACAAGCTGTATGTTCTTGTATACAGTTTCATTCCTGGAAAGCACAGGTACACTAACACAGTGTCTCTGAAAGAAAGCTTGTATAGAGGATATTTTTTAAAAACCCAAACCAGGTTTGCTCTGTAGTTAGGTGATTATGTTGATTCTACTACATACTGTTAAAAACCTCTAACCGCTTAACTCAAAAGTCATGTAATAAGCACATAAAAAATCAATGTCCAGACAGTGACTTGAGATTCCTATCATTACTTCATCTCTTTGGTTCCTTTGCTAATAAGTTTTATATATAATGGATTGGTAAGATCTCCTTGTTAACTCATAAATAAAGACCTCGTCTTGCTTTTGAAAAAAACCAAACATAAACAAGACCTTTAAAAAAAGCAGCACTACAATGGAGTAGTTTCGGATTCCACAAGACACTGAAGATTCACCAGCGGCATTTAGTAGAAGAGTCAAGGGAAGGAGGATCCCGAGTAAACTTCCACTGAGCGAAGAAGCCTCAGTTTCTAGGGTTTTGTCAGCGAGAGTGAAGAAGAGGAAAAGTAAACAACCTCACCCAGCAGCCTGGCCCCAACCCGCCGCCGCCGCCGCCGCCTCGAGAGACGCCCCTCGGGGACAGGAGGGCCGCCACCGCCACCCCAGTCACCCTCCTCTCGGGGCAAAGCAACAGGTGCCCTGGCCTTCCTTCCCACCCAGGGAAAGAGAGAGCCGGGGAAGGCTGGCACCCTCAGCACAGGAGCCACACAAGGGCACTGGCCTGGGATAAGCCCCCGCCACACAAGCCAGTCGTCCCCTCATGCCGGCCTCGCTCGCTCGCTCGCTCGACCCCCCCCCCCGCTGGCACTGGCCCCGGAGCGGCCCGTGAGGTAAAAGCCGAGGCCGCCGCACTCCGGAGCGGCCCCCCGTATCCCAACCCGTCGCCACGGCAGGCCCGAACCCTGCCCCGAAGGTGGCGCAAGAGCCGGGAAGGAGAAGGGGCAGAGGCGCCGCTGCCGCCGGGCTCCGGGTCGCCTCTTCTCCCTCCCCGCGCTTCTTTTCCATTGTGCGTGACACGGTCCGGCCCCTGAGGAAAGGAGAGCGGGGGGGGGGGGGAGGGAAGGGAAGCCAAAAAAAACCCCCACAGCTTCTCACCCAGAAACTCTCCACAAAGTACGCCATGACCATCTCGCTGACTCGGCCCGGCCCCGTCCGACACAGCCACCGGGAATTGGGGGTGGGGAGAGCAAGAGGGAACCGCCGCCGCGCGCCGCCCTTCCCTTCACGGCACAACAACTCCTCCTCCTCGTCCTCGTCCTGCTCTAACTCTGTCCCCTCTGTTTCGCCCTCTCTCCACAGGGGCGAGCTCAGCCAGCCAGCTCAAAGGGGCGCATGCGCCAGGTTGCCGGCCAAGGCGCGCGCACCGCGGCTCGGCACAACACGGGCGGCGCAGGAACGGCCGACTTCCCTGGCGAAGGGAGTGAGCAGGCGCGGAGAGGCGGATGTGCAGGATTCGAGAAGGGCGGGGCGGAGGAGGGAGGGAGGCCCAGCTTATGGGGCAGCGGCCGGCGCCGAGGCTCGGAGGGAGGGTGGGTGCGTGGGCGAGTCGAGGAATGCTGTGCGTCTGGGGGGGTGGGGTGTAGAAGAGGGGTATCCCCCCCCCCTCCCACCGCACCCAGGGATATCTTAATGTAAGGCGCCCTGGGGAGCCTTCCGGATGGAAAGGCATCAACAAAGCAGGTTTTAAGAAGGCGACTTTTTCCAACAGGTGTGAAGGGAAGCCGCGGGGGGATAAAACAACAGAGGAGGCTGAGCCACTGGTCAGAGTTCAAGCAATTCTGGTCCACGCTGAGGCTTTTTTGGTTGGCTTCGGTAGTGGTGTGATGATAGAGAAGACCCCCCAAGCCCACCTGTTGTTGCTCCAGCATCATGTTCTTACAGTGGCCCATCATCAGTGGCTCATGGGAAGGACACAAGCAGAGCATGACATGTTCCCTGCCCACTTGCCATTCCCACAAAGGCTGGGGACATAGTAAAAAGAGACCCCTGACCATTAGGTCCAGTCATGGCCGACTCTGGGGTTGCAGTGCTCATCTCACTTTATTGGCCGCTTTATAGGTACAGCTTCCGGGTCATGTGGCCAGCATGACTAAGCCGCTTCTGGTGAACCAGAGCAGCGCACGGAAACGCCGTTTACCTTCCCGCTGGAGCAGTACCTATTTATCTACTTGCACTTTGACGTGCTTTCGAACTGCTAGGTTGGCAGGAGCAGGGACCGAGTAACAGGAGCTCACCCCGTTGCGGGGGTTCGAACCGCCGACCTTCTGATTGGCAAGTCCTAGGCTCTGTGGTTTAACCCACAGCGCCACCCACGTCCCTGGCTGGGGACATACCATACATTTAAAGCACATCCTGTGCCGGCTGCAAAGAGTTGTGGGAACTGCATTTTACCCCTTTCAGAGCTACTATTCCCAGCACCCTTAAACAAAGGCTCCCAGGATCTGGCTTGTGGGTGGATGTGCTTTAAATGGAATGTGCACCAGCCAAATCCATATAACAACAAATAACACTATATCACAGTAAGCATTTTTTGACTAACGGTGGCAGTACCAAGCCAGGTTTTTTTCTCAGCCCTGCTCCCACTTTGCATACACTGAAGAGGACTGGAGGACTGAGATGGTTGCTTGCTATTTTTTGTCATTTTAGTGGGTCATAATAAATAATTGCTTTTGATGGCAGTTGAACCCTTAGCCAAGTATGTTAATCTGATCAACCACTTACGGGCTGGTTAGCTTAAAGTCTGTTCCATACAAACTAGTAGAAATCATTGTTAAAGACAAAGTTGCCATGCATATAGAAGAACAAGTCTTGCTGAAGGCGAATCAGCATAGCTTCCTAAAGGGTAAATCCTATTACACTATTTGAGTGTCAACAAGCTCCTTGGGGAGTAAGGGCAGGATATTAATAGAATAAATAAATAAAATAGATGTGGATGATCCAACCAACAATGCTGAGAGTAAGCGAAAACATGATAGAGGTGTATAAGATTATGTATGGTGTGGGGGGAAAATAGAGAAGGCAAAGTTTTTCTACTGCTCTCATACAATTAGAATCAAGGTCCATCCAATGAAATGGAATGTTTGAAAATTCAGGACAGACAAAAGAAACAACTTATTTGCACAGTACATAGAGTGGTACCTCGGGTTACATACGCTTCAGGTTACATACGCTTCAGGTTACAGACTCCGCTAACCCAGAAATATTACCTCAGGTTAAGAACTTTGCTTCAGGATGAGAACAGAAATCGTGCTCTGGCGGTGCGGCGGCAGCAGGAGGCCCGATTAGCTAAAGTGGTGCTTCAGGTTAAGAACGGTTTCAGGTTAAGAACGGACCTCCGGAACGAATTAAGTACTTAACCTGAGGTACCACTGTACTCAACTATAAAATTTGCTCCCATAAGATTTAGTGATAGCCACCAACTTGGATGGCTTTAAATGAGGTTTAGACAAATTTGGGGACAGGGCTATCAACTGTTACCAACCATTGTGGCAGTGTTTGACCTCTGCTGTTGGCGACAGTATGCCTCTGAGTTGCTGGGAATCATCACAAGTGTGTGGAGTGTTGTTGCATTCTTGTGCTACTTACAGGCTTCCCATAGGCATCAGGCTGGCCACTGTTAGAATGAAATGTTGAACTATATTTGTTTAGGCAAGCCAATCCAGATGCATAGGCGTTGACGTGTTTTAATATCTTTTGCTGTTAATTTTTATTCTTTGTATATGTTTCGATTGGCAAATAGCAATCCTGGAGATGACATCATTGTTCCTGCCATGAAATAAGTGCCAGTGCCTTGTTGGCACCTGCTCCTGGCTCCACTACACCACTGTTTTTGTAGGAACAGACAAAACTTGGCAAACCCTCCGATAGTGAGTAGGCTTGATCTAGGTCCAACCTAGTGAAGTCAGCATGTGCATTGTCTCAGTACAGTATATATTTTTCTAACAAAACTGAGTTGTGATACTTGGATTTTATGTTGGTGCTCTGTGGATAAGGACACCAAATGTGCCTGGGAAGCTCTTGATGTCTGGAAGATGTTATCCAGACTGAACATGAACTGAACAGGAGAAAAATAGCCAGTTATGCTAAGCAGGTGAATTTCTATAATGAAAGCTGGAAGTTCCTTATTTTAAATTTTTGCTGCTGGGATAGGCTTCTTGCAACTTGATGATCAAGGGGTTGCAGCTTAATGATCTTCTACCCATCTTTAACAGTAATGCTTTTTTAAACCTTGAAGTTCTTATGTACAGCTATTAAACGTACAGGAAGACTGGTCCTGCATTTCTCTATTTTTTCCTCGGTGTCTTTTATACAGTCCCACACAATTCTTCATATATGTGCCTTTGCAGAGCACTTTTGGGTGCAGTTTCTAGAGCTCTCTGGTCACAGAACTGTTCTTTCCATTTTTCTCTTGACACTTTTGAATTATTTTATTATTTTATTATTTATTAATTTGCATACTGCCCATAAATCTCAGGACAGTTCACAAGATAAAACTTGTGTGCATCTCTCATTTTTCTTCTGTCATGGCAACAGGGAATGTCATCTGAAATTTTCTGTAGAATTTGGAATTTTGTGGCATTTCTATTTCACTATGTATTTCATTCAGTTCAATTGATACCCCACCCTTCCTCCCTAAGGAGCCCAGGGATTGTAACACACAAATAAGGTTAGTGAGAAAGTACTTGCCCTTTCAGAAACTCTGTGAATTTTTCTCTAGAGCTTTATTCTATCCCCGCCCCCCCCTTAGGAGAGAGCTCTTCCCTTTTCCTCATTTAGTTTAAGCCGGCATTGTCCTCATTTTTAGTTTGTGCAAGTTCTTCTCAGTCTTCAAATTCTGGAGTCCTTTAAAATATGCTTTTCCAATGGCAAATTCACCACCACTGCTCATAATCAATGCCCACATTATTAAAACCCACTAAGTATGCACACCGCAATTGTTCCTTGAGGCTTTGGGTGTCATTATGGGAAAGGGTTTGGCTGCCCTGATTTCAGACTGCCCTGTGAAACCCCAGGCACCGCCTCCATGGCTGCTTGAGAACTAATTCAGCTTCTGCCGTTCTAAATACCTGCCGTCAAAGGTTCAGTTTTAAGCTCGTCCCCAAGAATGACAGAGAACGCTGGACTGTTTTACACTGCTTTATAATAATAATAATAATAATTAACTGGTACCATGAAGTTGTTACAGTAAGCGACACACTTTTAACATTTTGGGGACCCTTTAGTATCCCCAGAAAAAAGAGTTTTAGTTTCAAGATCACCTCAAATGCGTTCTTTATTGACTTCTTGATATGCCCAATATGTGTACCATTTTTCAGCTATCATGCATTCTGATTTTAATCAGCCTCTGCCAGAAATTCCTTCTTAATCAGAACTGGAGAGCCTGTGGCCTCCCATAGGTTTAATTCCAGCTTCCATAAACCCTGGCCAGCATGGTGAGTAGTCAGGAATTATGGAAGTCCAGCATTCTTAGGAGGGCCTCAGCCTCCCCATTCAGGTTCTAAATACTAAAACATGGTTGTTAGCTGTACAAACTGCTCATACCCCCCCCCCATTCACCCAATGGCACCTCCAGCACTGCAGCTTCAATAGTACAAACATCCTGTAGCCCCAGCATCTCAGATTTTTGGGCCACAATGGTACCTGTAGTTACTCAAATGGCTGTGTTTATGATGCCTTCTTTGGCACTGGTCCCATAACTACCAAACCACCTCACACTGGTTAGCATGTCACTTTAGTAATGTCCTAGATATCAACCCTGTGTATGAAGAGGATAAATCTTCAAGACATCTGATGATGTGGACTCCAGTTTACAAAAGCTTTTGTCATAATGCATCTTTAAAGTGCCCCCAAGAGAGTTTTCGCTTTCCGCTATTATCCAAAAGCCTAAAACTGGGCTCAAGCTTTATAAAAACAAATGAGTTAACGCATGTAATTTCTGCTCCTTCCTACAATGTAGAAAAGTCTTAACAAAATCACCAACTGAAATTGGTGAGAAAACCACACCAAAGAGAAAAAAATCAATTGGGTGAGAAGTACGGGGGGGGGGGCTGGTTGCAAAGGGGGGGAGGGATTCTTTGGCCAGTTTTGCTAATTGAGTTTTTAAAAGAAAGAATACTGGTCTTTTTACATTCCTGAGATTAAAATCCAATATAAAAGGCATGCTTATTTTGAAAAGTGATTATATGGTTGAGTGGTTTATTCTAGATTTAATAAATTGTTCTCAGCCAGGCTGAAAATCTTGTTCGTTAAGCTGCATTCCTTACATACCATATTAAAAGTGAAATGCATAATGAACTGTACACCTTGAGAATGTTCTTTTGAATCCTTGTTCAGATGACTTTTGTTCAGAGATGTGGAAGCGTTTATGTCTCATGTGCTCTAATTTTTATTGCTCGTTTTACAAAATGAACAAGCTCTCCCTTCACTCTCAAGATTCTGGATTCATTCACCAGCCCCTTTGGTCACAATGCTAATGCTGCAGAAGAAGAATAACGCTGCCCAGGATCTCATTTGTACAAATTTCCATCTTCCTTCCTCCACTCGGCTCCTTTTGTGGTTGTCTTGGTCATCCATGCATTTTTATTATTTTTATTTTTGTCTTTAGTCTTACCTGCAGCCCGGTGCCCATCTGGTATCTCCAATTTCTATCCATGTTATCTGCTAGCATCACCTTCCTGCTCTCATTTCTCTTGTGCCAGATCTCCTGCTCCTTCACTGAGAAAGCAGTTGCTTTTCTTCCTCGTTCCCTTCCTTTAGCATCTTGCTCTCATTGCAATCTGGCATTCCCCTCTGATGGCACTGCTGCTATTTGCCAGTCTTTTTCTCCCACACATCTCAGACCAACACCCAGAGTAATATATTTGGTCTTCTTGACAAAACCTGCCAGACAGTTCTGATCTCTGAAGGTTTTCTCAGAATCTGTTCCCTTGTATCTCTCCATTTGCTTTGTTTCTAATTCCCATCCCACTCCTTTAAATGCAAAGTCAGATCTTGATATTTTTTTCTTGCTTTTGACATTTCCAATCCTGCTGACATTCTTACCCAACATTCTCATCTCCAGTTCTAGACCATCTCCTCCCTCTGCCACCCTTTCTTCTTACCCTCTTCCTACTTACCACACTCTGTATATTTCCTTCTTTCACCACAACGTAATTTCTTTCAACATTTCAGTTATGTATTAATTTTATACCCACTTCTTCAGTGTTGCTACAGCCATGGGAGTGCACACTGACTCAGTCCTTCTTGTAACCTGAGGTCTATTTTGCTTCTCAAAAGCATTGTTCCACCCCACCTCATCTTACTTGCCATTACCACCTTAATTCCACTACCTTATACCTATTAACAAATAAAAACTTTGAACAACTCAGTGCTTCTCATCAGCATTAATCCTCCTACGCCACCGAAATTTCTTCTGCTCCCCAGCTCAGGATTCAGTGTGCATTAGTGAACTGTGGAAACCATTCTGGCATTGGCAATCTTCTCAAATTTTTGCCATGGAATGGTTGTAATAGCACTCTGTCAGCCTGTAGCCATCAGGCTACAATATATGCAGATGCAGTCTCCTCAAAAAACCTTGCACATCATAATAATTACACACACACACACACACACACACACACCTATTTAACTTCCCCAATAACATGTTCATACTACATGTTCTAGTTCTCTTCAAATTCCGTTGCAATCCACCTAGACCCTGAACACCTTCTAGCCAAATGCTAGTCAAACACACTTTTTAAATTGTAACATCTAGTATAGTTTAGCGTCCACAAAATATTATCTATGATTGGCTAATACAAAAATTAAAAATTCAGGTCTTAAAATAGGAGTTTATGCTTTTATATGTCCATTTTAGACTTCAGTTTTGGTGGGTTTTACTGACAAAAGCCTGATAATTCTACAAGTACTTCATTCTTTCCCGGTGCACATCCATTTAGTACCTTCCCTTCTACAGCGATAGCACTGTCATTCCAACCTTCTTCTGCTAATTATAACTAGGATGCTCCCACCGTTTTTCAGCTATCTTCTATTGTTTTACTACATTTTTGTAAGAAACGTATTTTATTAAAATATTACATTATAGGTGAAAACCAGTATGCATGTTTTATAAATATAAATGACATTCACCTAATTATTTGGTCAGGCTAATCATCACCTGCACCGCTTCACTTTAGGATGGAACATGACATAAAGGTATTTCCCCCAGTGCTCTAAGTTCCAAGACTTTGTTGCTATGAAGTTACAGTGCTCCCTTGCTTCATGTTACTAAGTCCACTTTTCCAAGTGCTGAATGCAGCTGCTCAAGTATCTCAAGCACAAAGTGACTGGTGTCCTTGACGTTACTTCTGATATGCGAGTCCCCACTTCTATGCAGGTCAAGCCCTGGTGGTTGGAACAGAAGGGCCACTAGCATTTTAGTCTTTTGTGCTGGCACCTTTATTTACTGTTCTTAGAAGGCTACCAGTTTAAACATAGGATAGAGAGGCTTGTGGATTTCTTTAAGAGGCCCACTACCATTTCTCCATAATAGTTCAAGCATTAATATGCCAGTTTTGTGCCCTTTTAAAAACCATGGGAGCAAACCAATAAACCTTTAAGGAAGAAAAATACTGCAGCAAACACTAAAAAGACAATGGAACACCATTTTGCAAGCTTTTCCAAACCCCGGACACAGATTCCTTCCCCCTTTTTTGTTTGAAAGAAAAAAGGCAAACTGTCCCCAAACATCATGAAATCTTCTCCACAATTCATTTTACATCAGGACAGTTCATGCTGTCAGTGCATTTGCCTTCAAGTTCTCTGATGATCTTAGACAAGCCACAATCTCTCACTTTACTGAAAACATGTTAAGAAAGTTTAAATACCAGCTGAACATTCAACTGGCTAAATATGTTCCTGTTCTGAATGTGAGGTCTGATTTCAAATAAATGTTAATGTGACATTTTCAAATCTCACTGCTTTCATCTGTTTGCTGCTGCTACAAAGACAAAAAAAACCCCAAAGCAAATTGAAATAAGAAACAGTACTACTAAGTCTACGCATTGGCTGTGTTCACAAATCATGCTAAATCATGCTTTAGTGAAATAAGCATGAAGTAGGAAGAAGCCACAGCAAGCCTTGGGCTCACACACTCCCCCATCTCTTTCTTCCTCCTGCATGGCTAGGTTCACAACTTTGGTAAAGCTTACTTTCAGTTTCCTCGAACCCCAGCATGTCATGCTACCTAGACCACAAATGATGGTTTATCCCTATCTATGGTTAGTTTGAACAAGCTACCTTAATAACCCACAGTTCTAAGTTGGCTTGTTCAAAAACTAACCAAATGCAGCAGGAATAAATAATAATGCATGACCAGCACAACACAATAAGCAGTTGTTTAGGGAAACTGAAAGATTTGTGGAGTGAGGAGGCAATGATGAAAAGGAGAGCATGTGAACACAAGGCTCAATGTGACTGTCCTGTCCCTTCGCATCTCACAAAAACGTGATGTACCATTATGTGTGAATGCAAATGTTTTTAGCTCTCACACTAAACTTCAAACCCAACTGCTTCCTAATTTCAAAAGAAACTGAAAGCAACACAAGCATGTAATTCAGTTTAGAGCAAACCAATGATCTTGAATGAAGTCCTCCTCTTTCCATTAAGAATCAAGAGTGCAGCATCTATATTTAAACAAATTTTATTAACATCGTCAAGCAGTGATTAACATTCACATCTATTGTCACATCATACAAATGTAAATACAAAATTACTACATTACAATATATATTCTCTGCATGATCCAAAATATTTGGTGGCCCCAAAAAACTCTTTAGAATTCAGCAGCTTATCAAAAATCAAAACCATATTCTATTTAGAATGAAGTTGTGTTAGCAGAGGCAGACAGGAAAAATCAACTCAATACAGCTTTAGAGGTTGTGGAAGGATATGTTTGAAGGGAATATTCTAACATACAGAAAACACATTCAATTTAAAGCTTTCAAGCATAACTCATACAACCTAAGTTGTCAGCAGAAAGATCTGGCTACTTCAACTATTGTTAGTACATCCAACTCTTTAACAATTAATTTTAGGACAGGTAGGAGTTAATTGAGAGAACTTTTGATTATGTTTTTTTTTCCAGAGGGGGGGCATGGAGAAGAAAGAGTGCCCTTAAGTTTTGGAGAGAGTGCCCTCAAAAATTAGCCAAGGATTTGTAGCTTTCTTGCACATCCAAAAGAGACCTCCATTCTTAAATGAACTGACATGTAAAGGTGTGGCATGCGTGGAAGGTAACATACCGTGAGTCCTGAAACGGATTTGCAAAGTAACGGTTTTGCGTAAGAAGTGCATTTGTCCAGCAAAACTAAACTAACCATTAGTTTCCCTGTCATGCACACAGAGATCTAAGTATCTTTTAGTTTATTCTCTTAGTGAATAAAAGCTGCAATGTATGCCCTTATTAAAGTTTTATTCAGGACAGTCCAACCCTCATTTGCTCTGACAAGTAGAAAGAGCAAAACTGGGCTACGGACATAGTTCTGAAATGAAGAGTTATCTGAAACTGAGTGCAGTATTGAGCAGAACTGTATTAATATGTAAAGATTATTTATATTTTCATTTCAGCATTAAAGTATCCCAGACAGCCAAATGTTTACACAGTACATAATAAATTCATATGCAAACAGCAACATTATCTTACAAGATTACTGCTCACAACAGCAGTCCGATCTCTGCTGAAGTTAACTGCTTAGTACTGCATTAAGAAGTGTTATTCTTTTGACTCTACACACTACGCTAAAAAGGTCTAGGCATCTACACAAGAAAAATATATCAGAAGGATTTATGCCAAGTTATAATTAATTTTAAAAATCAGGAACTTAACGTTTGCACTGCACAATATGAAGCACTCTTTATGCTGATTTTTAGGTGCTATTCTGTGCAGGTGCATTCTTCTCTTAAGAAGAATGTTACAAATCTCTGTTAATACATTCAATATGAATAAAATAGGTGACTTATATTGAAGCACAGTCATTGCTGTTCCACAGTAAGTTAATTTAGATACGAGAGTTTAAGACATTAGGCAGTTCCTATATGAAAGACAAACTGGAACACTTAAGACACATTAGAAGCCTCTAGTTGAACCAAATGGGTAGAAGAGTATTTTACCTGAGATAAAACTAGTATGAATATTTCTTATCCAAACAGCAACATAAGTTTCAGCTTTGGAAATCCTCTTACAAGTAGTATAAATCTAAATTACACAATATTTATGTAGCTTAAGTAATTCATGCTAATGCTAAATAAAAATTCAGAATTATCACAGTGTGTATCAATAGTGTTTGTTACAAAACTAAAATTACTTTATGTTTCTTTTTAAAAAATCCTATTGGCTATGTATTTGAAAACATTATTCTATGCATGTTGCCATGACTGCACCCTTTTATGGCTGCTATCCTCAGCATACTTACTTGGAAGCAAGTCCCATTTAAAGGAATAGAATTTGCTTCAGCGTAAACATGCCGAAGCATCAGGGCGCAACAGATAGGATCTACATCTTATAACTGATGTCTACACACCAATTTAGAAAACAAATCAAGCTTAAAAAAACTTACAAAATGTATCCATTCCCCTTAGATTTAAAGAAATGAAATGAACATTAAGATACTTCTTTCCCTTAATAGTTAAAGTGTACCACTAGAAAACCCTATAATATTAGACAAGTTTAACTGCAAAAGAGATGCATTTAAAATGTTTTAAAATACACTTTCTGTTACCAACTTAGGTTGATCAGCAGCTTTATTCACTGTTAGAATCCTTCAAAGCAAGGGGGCCTTAGACATGAAAACAAAGGCATATATAAAAACAGTAAACACTGACCTCCTGAGGTTCCTACAACAAAAATATTCAAGTAGAAAATCTACATCACTTAGCAGCGGCTATTTCTGTAGTTTCGCACACTAAGCACTTTATTCACTGTGTAAGGAGCAGATTTAGTAAGCCGTGCTTGTAGCATGCCAAGAGGCAGAGAACACTGGAATGTAACAAAGACAAACTCACAAGTCTACCAGTATCAACATTCAGTCAACATTCAAATAACTGTCAAGACTACATGAAAAGATGCTTTATATATCCCATGATGCAATATAGTTGAATTACAATTGTTAGTGTTGTATCAGAGCTCTCCTCATCTCAAATTCTAACCCAAGTGGTTTCTGCAAATATGCTATACTTTACTCAGAATGAATATGTTTTGGTTTGCTATGAACTTAATAACAATAATTATCATTTTAACCACAATATTGCTTTCTTGTTTGTTACTTTTCTGCCTGATCAACTAAGTCACAGTAGAACAGTCACTTCCTTCTACATTAACCCATGTAATAAAATTATATATATATATATGTATATATATTTATGTAAGTGGCTACTTAACAGTTCAACTTCACAAGGGTAAAACAAATAAGTTTGTTTTAGAGAATTCCATATAGAAATTTTGGGCTAATGCTCTGTCTTCAGAAAGATTAATGCAAACCCTTGCTAAGGCAAGTTTCACCCTAAATAAATTTTCAGATTTCCTTTCTTCGGAATTGATGATTGGAAAAGCTACAACTACAGTTTTCAGCCAAAAGAAAAGTTGTAGCTACTGACACAGCAAGTTAATTTTAAAGTAGATCACCACATGCAGTTTTATTCCAGTAGATTTCAAGACCTAGTAGCATTAATTCCATTCTTCATAGGCTTTCCTATAGGACATGTATTAAAAAGGTCATTTTCAAGCACGTTTAATCCACTCAAATTTGTAAAGAAAAAAAAGAGGAATGTGTAAGATTTATGCATGCTACCGTGCATCAAACAAAAATTTGAAGCCAGATTTCTTTAATTCACTCACACAAGATTGAACGTCAGTGCAATGGCTAAATCATTCAACAACCTTTATAAGAACCAAATCATGCAAAGTCAGACCCTGCAAAAACAGTTTTCCAGTAGTTGTTTTTGCAATGCAAAGATGAGAAGCAAAAATGTAAGGCGGCTGTTATGGCTTTTTTTTCTTTTTCTTTTTTGCACAGATTAATTTTGCAGCACTTAAGGGAAAATGGAAACATGTGGCTTTTGCCTCTGACCAGCAGAGTTATTGTCTCTCCATTTTCCTTTATCATCATGGGATATTCGTTATGCAATCTAAATTAATCACAACTTCCTTTTTTTTTTTTAATAGTAACACAAGATCAAGTGTACCAGTTAGGTTTTCACATTCACAGTACATAAGAAAATACACATGGAAAGAAAAGTAAAGGGTTAACTTAACAAGGATTTATTCACAGGAATACAAGTGAGTAGAGGGGGTGGGGAAACAGAAAAGCTAAAAACAAATGAAATGAAGAGGATCCAAACCAACTTTCACTCTGTAGCTTTTCACTTGCACCATTGTGTCCTCTCTAGGATACAAAGGGCCACCAACATGCGCCAATACAGTGTAGATACCCTGCTTTACATCCACCAAATTATGCATCTCTTAAGATCATACTTTGCGGAGGAGAAAATTATAGAAAGGTAATACGTTGGGTGGGAATAAACACTGAAATGTAGCAATCATGTTATCAGTTTTCTACCATTGTCTTTACGTGCCAACTAACATTTACGTAGCCTTTAAACAGGTCTTACCATGTTAAGTCATTTTTAGGTTTGATAAAAATCACTAGTATAACCATGCAGAAAGCACATCACACTGACAGCACAGAGGCAATACTTTGCACAGCTATATCAGCTTTCCACATTGTGCAGGTTACACAATACAATATCAATCTTAATCCTAACAGATCCTAAAAAGATATTTTGAGGCCTAATTGTCACTACAGTATTTTATACCTATATTCCTAAGAAAAAATAAAATCCACAGAATCATAAAGGAATTTTAAACGCAGGGCTATACTGAATTGGTAAACTGCAACACAAAACTGGCGCAACATAAATGTATACCACTCTCACCCTTTGATGCAAGCATGCTACGTTCCCACTAAAAAGACGCTTGATCACTATGATCCAAAATGCATGCCTGAACCTTAAACGGCACATTAAGAATTATGCCTTACTCTAGAAATTAAATCTAATGAAGTACAACCATCAAATCATATCCACTACCTTTGAAGTTTCAATGTTTTTTAAAAAGGTTCACCTTTCTTCTCTAATGCCCCTCCCCCCACCCAAAAAAATGAAAAGGAGTGACTCATTTGGCATCTTGCAGGTTGCTTCATTTTGTTCAAGTTAACCTTTATTACTTTATTATGGGGTTATTTAAATTTGTACGTTGCAAGTGCCTGCTCCTAATACAGGCAGCAAGCTTTATTTTAACTGTACTAACTTCATTTGTTTAGTTCTTCATTAACATGCAACACCTAGGAATCCCATCAAGATGAAACAATGCAGAAACCCCTTATTACGACACACCTTTTGCTCTCTGCAATCGCTACCCTTCGGTTTCCTTTATCGTGTCCACACAGTGTATTTCCTCTTTACATATCTCTATGGTTCAATTTTATAGTTTTCATTTTGGTACAGTTCCCCATAATATTGCAGAATGTGCTGTTGTAAATATATATTTATATATATATATTGAGCTTCTTCACATCCAGTGCAGAGTTGTAACAGGAGACAGACTTCCACCCACAAAAGCTCCAGATGTTAAAACATTTCCCAACATCGGCTTAATACAGTGACGGCAACACCTCCCTCCCGCCCCTCCCAGTAGGCTTGGGATTGTACTGTATTCCCTACTGGTTTACCCTTCCCCCCAGTAAAGGGTAACATTTTTTTCCCTGGGTGTCGAGGCTCCCTCCCAGTCTTCCAGACTGAAGGACCTGAAAGAAGCAAGCAAGTCACAGATTTAGTGTTCGGAAAGCAAGTGTTTTAAAATAATGTTATCACTAAATACACAACGATCGGAATACATAGTCAAAAATGCAAAGTGATTAAGTTAAAAACATAAGAAGCTGCCTTATTCACAGACAAACCTTCGGGGTCCATCCAACTCAGTACTGCCTACACCAACTGACAGCAATTCACAAGCGTTTCAGCCCAGGGCCATTCCCAAACATCTGGAGATGCCAAGGACTGAACTTGGGACCTTCTGCATACACTAAGCCAGGCTTCCTCAACCTCGGCCCTCCAGATGTTTTGAGACTACAATTCCCATCATCCCTGACCACTGGTCCTGCTAGCTAGGAATCATGGGAGTTGTAGGCCAAAAAACATCTGGAGGGCCGAGGTTGAGGAAGCCTGCACTAAGCTATGGCCCTTCCCCAACGTGAACCTCCAAGAGAAAGTCACAACAGTACTAATATATTTAGAGGGATGTTCCATTTCCTTGCCTTCAACTTTCTTTTTATTAGCAAATGACAAGCAGTTTTCGCAGGTGGTACTCTCCTCTTTCTACTCCAAAGCCAGCTGAATTAACTTCCGAAGCGAAAGAAATCTCAGCAGAGAAACCATGCCGAGGCTGGGCGGCCGTCCACCATGGATGCTGTAGTTGAGATTCCTGTATTGAAGGAGGACTAGATGACCCTCAGGGGGATACCTTCCAACTCTATGGTTCTATGCTCCTGAAGTACATTCTTCTACATACTTTAAATCATTCTGGGTTTAAAACATCACCTATGATGTTTTACTGAAAGCTCATACAATTGTGATATTTATCCCAGACAAGCAACTGACAAAACTTCTAGCAGGATAGTTATAAAGCTATATGCAGAACTACTAGAATTAAGGTATCAGATATATTTCCCTCTATTTCAGCCCCTGCCAACAGACAGGGGGCAAATTCCATGTGATATGGACAAACCGTCACCCTGCTGTCAATGATTGTATGTCAAGATGCCATAAATTTATTTCTTTGCTTGCGGCAAACAACCCTTCCTCACTTGGCAACAGTCCCTGTCTTTCCTGCAAAAGCCTTGATCTTCACCCCAAGTTCTCCAAGGAGTAAATGAGGGGTGTGGCTTCTCTTCCATGAGGTGGGATTTTGCAGGAAGAACCAGTAACCCTTCAGAAGAGACCACGGAAGAGGACAAGTAATGACCATTAATGGTCGGCAGTTTCACCTCTGCAACTCTTGCACTTTATATATGAAGGCTGCTTTGTACCCATGCAAGAGTATGGAAGGTTCCATAAGGTAATTTTAAAATATGTGAAGTCAACAAAAAAAGCTTGCAGAAGAGAAGCTAGCTATAGGCTTAGCTTAGCTGAATAAAGAGAATGCTACTGCAGCAGTTTATGGCCTTTGGCGTGTTTCCATGAGAAGGAATTAACCTGGGGAACCTCCAACCCACAGGCCAGATTTGGCCTATCAGTCTTCCCCATCTGACCCATGAGGCTATTTTGGTCAAGCCGTGCTCACCTACCCTGCACCTGACATCAATGTGGAGCAGGCAAGGGTGGGGGCTCAGCCAAAAGGGGCTTTGCAGGCATGGTGATCTGCAGTGTCTGCAAAGCCCCTTGCACACCTTCCAAAGTGCTCACCATCCGGCTGCTTCTTGGGAGCTTCTGAAACTTTGTATAAAAGAAGATTGTACACCTGTGCATCAGCTGATAAATTGGGGTGGCCAATCTTGTTTGCTATAGGTGCTGAAGGGACCTGCACCTGCTCCATTTGGCTGCACTTTGAAGTGCTGACTTTGGGACTTCAAAGCACCAAATCATTTGCAATGCTAGGTGATGTGTCCAATTTGGCCTGCAAGTAGTAGTGATTGGTGGGGCAGTACAGCGATGCTCACTTGCCTTCACCAGCCATCGCTGCCAATTATAGAGAGAGGCAAGGTGCAGGTGACTCATTGAGGCAGTAGGGTTGTCCGATTAGCTGCACTGTTGTGCCCACACTATGCTGAGCTCCCCACCTCTCCCTCTCAGAAACTGACAGCAACACTTGGGTGTTTGGAAGGCAGATGAGCAACGCCATCCTGATCCTGATAAGTGGGGCCAAAAAGGTTCCCAGCCCTGGAATAAATGAACAAACAAAATCTACTAAATGAGTCTCCTCCATTAGCTGTTGCTAAATAGGCAAAGAGACGTGGTTATTTGAGGGAGGTTAAAACTTCAGCTTATCCACCAGTCAACATACACAATACAGAACAGTTCATGCACTGGAAAAAGGGAGGAGCTTTGAAAGTCAACCCAGCTTACCCCTCATTATGGTACTGCAGCTTGAATACTTTAGGTTAAACTCCATAGTAAGCTGCAAGGCGTTCTTTTAAGGGAACAGGAAACTGGTCAGAGAAACGCCTCCAATTTTCATCTCCAACTTGATTTTTAAATCCATGAAGGATCTAAAGGGGAGCAGAAAATTAAATGTTTTCTTCAAAGAGCAACTGAATTAAAAGCCTTAGAAGAGTGACCATCTGACAACAGAAAAACTAGATGCACATTGATAATGGTTACAGTGTTTGCAAAAAGTCACATACTAGATCCAAAACTTGTTTTTTTAAAAATGAGTTCTATTTGTGCCACAAATTTATCTGATTTACTATCTTCCTTCCATCAAAAAGCCCTAGATTCTAGGCATATATTCATCTCTTCTTGCACACACATTCCATTCTCCAGCTGTTTTACTTAGAAAAGATGAAGGGGGGTAGTGATGGAACTGTGTGCATTAACAATTCTTAGTTTCTGGAAGGAGCTCATAATGAATTCAACAGTAACTATGAATGCTCAGATAGAAATACTATAGAGCAATTTTTCAGAACACCAGAATAGGCTACATTCCTTTTGTGCCACTTTAAGTACACTCTAACTTCACATGTTCTAATAATACAGCCCCATGAAGCAAAAAATGTGAAATAACTCATTACCTTACAGAACATGTCTCGAAGATCATCTTTTGGGCTAATCCATGATGCAACAGCATCACAAAAAAATATAAAGTCCTGCAAATGTTTTCAAAATGTGCAAATTAGAGATGAGTACTTACAAATGGACAGATTCTGCACAGAAATATCAGTGTAATTAAATTCTAGGGACCTATCAGCACCATACATTTAAAGTGCTATTATACCATTTAAATCGCCATGACTTCCCTCCCACAGAATCCTGGGAACTGTGGTTTGTGAAGAGTGCTGAGAGCTACAATTCCCAGAGAACTTTAACTCTGTGAGGGGACGAGGAGCCTCCTTACAACTCTCAGCACCCATAACAAACTACAGTTCTGATGATTATTTGGGGGAAAGTCATGACTTTAAAGTGGTATGATACTGCTTTAAAAGTATAGTGCAGATGAGGCCTAGATCTACATTTTATAGTTTCTCCATCAAACATTTTATTATATACAATAAAAATTCTGAAGCCTTTTACACCTATGTCAAATTCCTTTTTCTGTATCCTTTTTATAGGGAACAGTAGCAATGATTTCAATAACGAATCTGTGATCTGTATAAGCATTCAAATGGGTGGCTGGGCTCCAGACAGTAACTGCAAGAACTTTGTGTGAATTGTGAAACACATGCAGGAGCTTGGGTCAGAGCGGAGTTAGTTAAGAAGGTTAAAATGATCAACTGTGAGAAATGTGCAGGGTTCCTCTTTGTGGCACTTGATCTGGAAGCAAGTCCCATTGATGGTAAAAGAATAGGTAAGCGATAAATGTTTTTAGAACTGAACTTAGCATCTAGTTTGACCCCACTGGAGGAGGAAGCAGGAGTTTCACAATTTGAACTTCCACTGTTTCCACCACTTCTTAAAAAGCAGCTGTCATGGGGGTGGGGAGATATTTTGACACCCCCCCTCAAAAGGTTTCCTCAAGTTCTACCTTCTGCATCAAATTTATTCCTATTAGAAGCTGGTCTGAAGAATGCAAAACATAAGATTTTAAATACTACAACCCCAGCTTTCTTGAGTTTTACTCATCATTCTAAAGAGAAAACAGCACATCATCATATCACTAAATCACATTAACATTTTGAAGTGTCCATTTTCAATTCTGGTATTTGAAATAGTATATACTCAGACCAAGCCATTAACAATCCACAGTGAAACAGACCAACACTTGATGTTATTTGAAGCCAACTGGGACAAACATGTATGTATGTATGTATGTATGTATGTATATGGCAACAAAGTGATAGAAATAAAGGTGCTGACAGTCGCACGATCTAGTTCTTGCTTACAGGTATTCTAGTCTGGCAATAATCTAAGAACTGTTATTCAAAAAAGGGATTAGAATATATGTCGACCAAACAATGCCTCAATAAAATAAAGACAGAGCAGAATTCCAGCATTTAATTTTTACAAAACATTTATGCAGAGCCAAGAATAGAGTACCATTTTCCCCACAAGAAAACTATCTGCTTATCTAGGATATGACATAATCTTCAACTGAGTGGAGATCTTACTATGAATGTACTTTGGGCAGTTTCTTATTTTTCCAAAATAGAGCAATCTCAAAAGTGGCCCCCATGAGTAACAGAATTAAGAGGGGGTAGCTTCCTGAGGCATTTTGGAGACTCATTACTGGTTTGATCCAACACTGTATGAGTGCAGTTCTGCTCATGTGATAGGACCACCACTTTGCCTCCTTCAAAATTTGTTCTGGATAGTCTCTCAGTCCTTAGAACAGATTTTGGGTATGTGCAAGTTACTGCAGTGGGGAGGAAAGGAAGGTGAAGTCCCACTGCACAAGGTGAAGCCCCTTCAGCTTACGTGTGAACACCATTGGTTTTATCCCATATGCACAGTTTAAATCTGGTATCTAAATAAGATGATGTAACATGGGACAGAAGATCAAATTTTAGACCACACATCTGGCTTAAAGGGTCCTATTAATCTCTGATCCTCACTTTTTAATGTCTCCCAGCATTGTTGCTATGGTACTTTGGGCAGTACGTGTCTTAATTTTTTCCTTAAAACACACACCACCACCTCAATTCTTATCTGCAGCCAATGGGGCGATGTGTTCATCTAAGCCAATCAAGACCAACACAAGACTTACTTGGACTACTCCACTTGGATTGACAGTGATCATGGTACAAATTCCACGGAATGCTGAATCTTTTTCTTCATTATCCCTTATGTTTCTGAGAGAGGTGCACCTATTAAAACAAAGAACAAAGGGTTAGATTAATCTCTGTGTCCAACTTTAGCTGGTATTGTATTTGATGGAATAAGTGTCCCAATGAAGCTTAAGGACTATGCAGCACATGTTAGGTTTCTTACTTTGTACCCCTAACTTTGTACACTTTCAACCTGATTTGAAACCGTAGAATTTTATAGATGCCAGATCAGCCAATTTCAAATTCTTTCTTGTAGTGCACAAGTGACCTATATTCCATTAAATACCTCTATCTATTTTCTGCATTGTATCATTATTAGCTTTCAGTGCTAAAAGCAGCATATACTGCTACAGTATGAAGTCTATCAAATACCAGGAACAGAACATCTCTCACTTGTTTACAGCAGCAAGCAATCTATTTTGGTACAAGTTTATAAACATATATTTCAGACAGCAAGTCAAATCGCAAATGAGTTTGAAGTAATGTAATGCGATGTTTTAACGTTTTATGCTATTTGCATGCACATAATCATACTGGTGGATTTTTAAAAATGCTTTTTAATAATCAAGCTTTAACACATCAAGCATGTGACAATCTTATCCCATGCATTAATTAGTTGTTAGCCACAACATGAAATATATACATGACGGTACTGCTAAAAAAACTCACAAACCTGATAGGACAAGATTAGTCACATGGTTGGCAATGATTAAGAATAGTGATTTTTGTAACCAACTGAAAAGTATATCTAGAAGTGAGATAGAGAGAGGAAAGAAAGGAAGAAAGAAAGAAAGAAGAAAGTGAAGAAAAAATGAATAAAAAAAAGATTGAATAATACACACCAGGGTCTTATAAACTGCTGTAGCATGGGGGCCACCTCTTGAGGACAAACGTAACCAAGACGACCAATTGTTATTGCTAAGGTAACGCAATCACGGTTATACACCACCAAACGCCAACCAAGACATGAGCAAATGAGGGGGGAAGGAGAAAAATAAAGAAAAAACAACAAATAACTCAGAAACAGAAACCAACAGAACCTGTGTATGATAATAACATAAGATTTCACCAGTGCTGTTCATTACCACCCCTAAAAATAAGGGGTAGCAAATGTGGCATACTATTTGGAGGAGGGGGAAAGGAATTAAGCGAATGAGAGGACACCAAAAGCACAAATTAAAATCCAAATGCTCAGTCTAAATAATACGGTTCAAACTGTGACAATGCTATTTAATCAAAAGGTATTTTGAGTCACCTTTAGTAACAAGTCACTGTTATTTATTACACTGAGTTGCTACCCATTTCTCAGGGTTAAAAACCCACAGCTACTTGGCTTCCTTGAAAGAATACTATTTGTAATTAAATTTTAAACGGCAGACCTTAATTTTAAAATCAAAGTAACATAAACTTTTAAAATTTACGATTTTCCAGGGGAAAAATGGAATTCTATTCATAACGCTCAAAGAATTCTTTTAAAGATAAAAGCTAAATTCAGCAGGAATCAGGGGGTTGTATCTGTATTAGCTTTTCATTACAAGATAAGGCAGCTTTTGATTTTATTATCTAACGATTCAACAATTGCCAGAATTAATCTCTGGAGTCAAAGATCCTGCATAAATATGAAGGGATCTGTTCAGTGTGAACTGATCTGTCAGGCACCTGGCCATTCATGTGAAGGGGCTGCTTGGACGCTGACCGCGTGTGGCTTTAATGGTGTTCTCTCAACTCGCAGAGTAATTCTTCAGAAAAGGGAGAGTGTGGGTATGTTTAAGGATTATTTGAAGCAAACTACATGAATACTAAAATCCAGCAGATTCATATGAAGCAGAGAAGCCTATGCTTAAAAGACATTGTGCAACACTCCAGAACAGGCATTTGTGAACAATCTCATGAACACATGCAATAAAGCAGATGATGCTCTTTTCACTATGAGATTTGGTGTAGGATATACCAACACTATAAAATGGAATTATAATTAATACGGCTAAAAGAAAATATTTGGCTTTGTTTTCCAATTATTTATTGTGCCATTCATGAATCAGCCTCTAATATTAACAATTCCTATCCTACCATTAACTAGGGATGTTATAGTAGTGGATTTCCTGTGTCAGCAAGGGACTGACCTACATGACCTTTGAGATCACTTCCAATGCTATGGGCTACAAGGTTTTCTGTATGATTTTGCCGCAACACTCATTCAATTCCCATTAGAATTATATTCCCATTATTTAGAGACTGATGGGAATGCTGCACTGGTTGAGAATACAGAGTGGAATTTAGACCACAAAGCCTATTATTTTTGGCAAGTACTCTTACAGAGTTCATTTCTTAAGCAGCCATTCAACATAAGATGTCAATTAGGAAAAGCACTATAATGTTAAAAGGTGCTAGTTTTGGTAGATCGATGGTAGATCTGCATTGAGATTTCAAGTATGACAACATCCTACAGTATAGACCAGAATATCCCACAACAAACCTAAAGTACAACACATTCAACATTTATCTGTAGTATCAGCCTTTTGGGTATTTACAACTAATATTTAGAAGTTATGGTGAGGGATCAAATGTCTCTTAACTTCTGCACTGTGTAAAAAGCAAGCACTACAGGTAATGTACCAATGACCGTAAAGAAAATGTATAGGTGTCACTCCCAGTTATTGCCAGGAGACTTCTTTGATCTAAAAGAGTTGTTCCACAACACACATCATGTGTTTGCAAACGTACTGTGAATAGCGCAATACATAATGTGCCAAATTACCATGTAGCTTATCTTCCAGGTTAACATAAAATATACAGTTACAGTCTTTGCACTCATTGCTAGATATTTAACAAACATGCACAGAATATAATCTGACTCCCACCCACAGCCGTGAAGGCAATGGCCAAGTTATCAATGTCTAGACTGAAATTCTGGTAACCATTCATTTTCACTTCAGTCTGTAACTATAAATCTGCATTTACAGGCTTAGTATCACTGGTATCAGATTACAGTGCAGACAGAGATAGTCAGAGATGACAATTAGCATTTTTCAGAAAATGAAAAGCTCTTTTAAAAAAGAAAAAAAGAAACACACACAGAACATGCTTTCTACTAGCACAGAACAAGCCTAAAACTCAATTTTAAAGGGTCTTTTAATCTTCAACCAATCTGCAATTTCTAAGGTCTCCATTTAAGAGCATGCTATATTTAATAAACTATGTAACAAGTTAGCAAGATATATAATATATGATAGTCAGCTACTCTTTTTTTTAAATAGCAGTTTGCTTGCATCCTCTTGCCAGCTATAGTTAGAAGGCTTCTGTAAATTAGCTATGTGCACAGAACACACATACAATTTGTACAAAAAAGGATGTCAAATTCTATGCTACGTTTAAGTCCTTAATAGCATCTGCTAATTGAAAATTAAATCCGTTTAATTGCACTTAATTGCAAGGCTGAGGTTTGCAACACCATCCAAACTGAGTTGCTTTTGCTTTAAAACTGATGCAGTTTACCTACGACTCTCTGAATAGTCTGGTTTACAAACAGACATCTGCATAACTTCATTCACTGCAAAGAGTTCAGTTGTAGGGTACCTGTGTTTTCTAACAAAGTCTTTGGTGTGTTGGGTCTGTTAATGATTTCTACAAGCTGGTGCAAGACCATAGGAATATAAGGCTGCATCTCTATACCTAGAAAGAAAGAAAAAACACATAAAACAGTTCATTAAAAACCTGAACATATGCTTTCATAACAGGTACATAAGTGCAATTGAACACAAGAATTTACAACTGGTAAAAAATTTAATCTATACCATGCAAAATCCAAACTATAACTTTAAAGAAGCAAACCTTACCCATCTGAATAGAAATTTCTCCAATTGCCCACGTGGCATTGTTACAGACAGAAATGAACTCTGGGTTAAGGTTGGTTCCTAAAATTGGCATGAAGTCAGCTGAAAAGAACACAAGCCACACTGTTAAAACTCTCCCACAACTAGAACTTCACACAAATGTTCAGTTTCATGTAACTTCAGCAGAAAACCCATGTGAAGGACAATCACTTTTTCTTAGCCAGAAACTCTTCCTAGGCATAAGAAACTCCTGGTACAGCCCAATAAGGTTAAATTCAATTCCACTGCAAGCAAGGGACCTCGGCTACCAATTTGCGTGGGATGCAAATATAACCACAAGTGTTCAATGAAACAAAAAAAGCAGCTTTAGACATTCCCAACATTTTGAACAGGATCTCCTGCTATAAAGTAAGCATGTGTTTACTAGGCACTGCCTAGCCAGAAACAAGGTTCTGGAGGAAAAGTTCTACATCAAACTTAGATGGCAATAATATATTCTCTTTTGTACCATAAACCTGTTAGGAAAAAAACAAAACTTTCAAAATTTCCCTTTACACATAGAAGGAGCATTTCTAGTCACAATGATGCCATGCATGGACAAGACTCCAAATTTGAAGAATTTGCCTTGCTAAGTCACATACCAATGCATGGCTTCACATGTTGAAAACATGCCTTTGTCAGATCGCCCAGCAAGGCAAAAGAACTCTGTCGTACCTCGGGCATTTTATCCTAAAAGAGAGAAACAGAAGTAAGTTTGTGTTTTTAAGCATTCTATTTCAAAAGCGAGGCAGGAGAAGGGGATTATTTGCCTCACCTGCATGCACTGGTACATGAGTGTCAGGATATTGCTCCGAGCCACTAGCTGTTCAATGTTGCCACCGAGTCCTTCAGCTAAACCACTAAGTAAATCAAGAGCCACAATCATGAAGTCTTTATCTGGAGCTTCGTACTGGTCTGGCTGAGCATTGTGCAACTATAATAAAAACACACAGTTGGGCACTGCTTAAAAGGCTTAATTAAGCGACATACAATGAACCATTTTTGCTATTAACATTATTTTAAGTTGGTGAAATAATATTACAAATCTCTCCAGAAAACAAGCTTCACTTAAAAGGCAACTGAAGATAATTTCCCCCATCCTCTAAAGGCCAACAACAGAAAAGTACCATGGCTTGTGCAAGAGTCTTCTGTACCAGATTTACACAGCGCTGGTACACAGGTTCACAGTATGGAAGGAAGCCAGATTGCAAGGCAGTGGCAACCGAAGATAGGCACTGAAATACGGAAGAAAAAGTAGTGAGTATCAAGGATATTCAACTGATATGAGCTTTCAATTGCGGGCATGCATGTTTGCTACAAACAGCTTCTTTTAGAAAGGTCAACTTTTTGAAGTACATGAACTGCAGAATTAAGGAACTTCATAACAGTGTGGCCAGAGTTCTAGCTTTGGCCATGCCAAGACCCATGCAATTACCAACATCATTAATTCCTACCTCTCAACCCTATGTGTCCTTCCCTCAAAATATATCCTAATGAGCTCAATGATACACATATAGTCAATAATCCCACCAAGTCGGAATGGGGTTTATTCCTAAGTAAGGGGGTGTAGAATTGTAAATGGACATAGAATTAATCTCCCAGGAGAAGCTTCTCTCGCGTGTATATATCAAGGAAAACTGCAAAACTATTAGTGAGCAACTGGAGGAGGAGAGAACAGAGGGTGAAGAAAGAGCTGTGAGTGGAGGGGGGCCCTTTCCCCCTCTTCTAGACTCCCTGCAAAACTCAACAAACCTACTTTATCTGGAACTGGGTGTGGAGAGTGCAGCTGAATAGAACACAGCTGTGGGGGAGCTTGAGGGAGCAGCACCCACCTTGGGCCTGCCCCTAAAAAACAAGTCTAGAGTGAGAGACTAGAGTGATGTCTGCTATTTCCAGGAACTCTTCCCATTGTGAGACTTTTGTGGGTGAGCTGAGAGTTTGCTTGGACCCTCGGCAGGAACCCAGAGGCTGAGAGCGTCAGAAGGAAAATGAGTGTGTGTGTGTGAAACATTTTTATATGTAACTGTGTATTTTTGTAATATTTCATTTAAGTTGTCTGTTGTTGCTTCTTTTTTTGTATGCTTCTTAGAGATATTTTTAATATATTAAGCATTAAAGAAATTAAATAATCAATCAATTACCTCTAATAGAGGGAAAAGATCTTTATCTTCATCCTTCAACATGTTCCATTTCTGGATTAATGGAGGCATAAGCATCTGAATATATTCCTAAAGACAATGAAATAAAATGACACATTTAAGTAAGCCATTGTAAATTCCATTAAATCCAACATTGTTTCCACTTCAAACATGTGACACCGTTTTTCAAAAAATCCAGTATTATCAAAATTATGGAGTAATAATCTCCAAAAGTTTACTTTACCAACTGAGAACCACAAACTCCCAAAAAGGAGTGTCATACTTGGTCTGGAGACTCCCAGATTCAAATCTCACTCCATAGGAAATATCACTGGGTAATCACTAGCTCTCAGTCTAACCTACATGACAGGAATGTTGAAATGAGAAAGTGCACAAGTTCCAGCTTGTCAATATCTTCCATAATTTGTTGTGCCCAGAACTGGACACAGTACTCCAGGTATCGTCTGGCAAGGCAAAATAGAATATTACTATTGCTTCCCATGTTCTGGACACTAAACTTGGTGCAGCCTATAATAGAATTTTCACCTGGCAATCCAGGTGTCCCCCATCTTATATTAGTGAAGCCAGTTCTTCCCACCAAAGTGTAGAACCTTACATTTGTTCCTACTGAAATTCATTTTGTTAGTTTTAGCACAGTTCTCCAATTTGATGAAGATAGCACCACAGATTTCATAACAAACAGAAAGGAAGCAATATTCAGGCCAGTGAAGGATATGTTGAAATTTTGTTAAAGGATGATGGGGCAAATTGCTTGGTACTTAAACAATGGAGTGTGTTGAAATATTCCCGCTTGCAACACACCAAAGTAAGGAAATAAGCCTCTAGAATGTAGGACTAATTAAGAGGTGAACAAAATTATCAGTTTAATCTGAATTAAAGGATACTTACTGGTTTGTTTAGATGATGGCCTACAGAATCTGCTAAAGTTCCTATGGCATCGTAAAGAATGAGCAGATTCTTATGCTGGTATTTACTAAATGCGAAGACCAGAGTATCAAGTATATAAGCGAGATAAGGAACAAGTTCTGTACAAGCCTCCTCTTCTAGAGTAGCAAAGGCACTAAGAAGCAAAAGAAAAAATTAGTATGCAGAATTAGAGAATGCACTCCTCTCTTTGAGACAAACTTTCACTGCTTTTTTTAAAAAGGTCACATGGGGGGGGGAGAGAGAACCATTCTGGTAAGATGCACTGGAAGTTGGCTTTGCATTTATTTTCACAGGTCATAACACCTCTGAAGATGGAGAAACCCTACTTTAAACTGAAGTAAAGATTTTGCTCTTCACTCAAGTATCTGATTAACGTACTTGGCAAAGGTAGTCATATTTTGTCTGGTTTCACATTAAATTGTATTTCAGTGAAATACTGTTCTACTGTATTTCAAAATTCTTTCTTGCTTTGGGATTGTGTGAACAATGAAGAGAGGGTAGTAAATTATTTTAATAAATAAAACAAAGCCATAAACCTGAAGGGTTTTCCAAAGTCCCCAAGTTTCCAAGTAAAAGCTAGGCTCCAAAGATACAGAAATCCAAAAGTGCTAGTGGGTGTGATGGGTTACTTGAATGTGCTTCTGGATTAAATTCTTAAAATAATACCTAGAACAGAACTTGCTGACTTGACAATACACAGCATTCATGTTCTGTGCAAAGTGAGAATCAGTGACAAATGTTATCATTCCCACAAAAAAATAAAATAAAAGCAGCTACAACGAACAAGGGCATTTAGAACAGAAGAGAAACTCCTAAGACAACTTCAAAAATAAGATGTTTGTCTAGACTAATGAAAAGCTGTTCAAGATCAAACAGAATATTTCAACACAATGAAAAAGGGTTTCACATCTTCACCCTGTTCTTTGAGGACCACTGGCAATACTTTTATGACTCTGACCTACCTGCAGGCAGCTTCTTGTACTCTCTTGTTGCTATCCAGGATGCGCTTTAGCAACTCAGTCATTAATGGCTTCAAGTACGTGTCTGGGGGTTGACTGACTACCCAGTGTGCATAGCGGCTAAGAGTCCAGCAAGTAATGGAGCGCACAAGAGCCTTTTTATCAGAGAGGCACTGAATAAGGTGAGGGATTAGCTCGGGAAGATATGGAATCATACCCTGCATGCAACCTGTAAAAATAGGTTACAAATTAGATGTGCCTAGCAGAATCCGCCCTCCATACACACACAAAGGAGTGAAGCCAGCATGAAAAAACAATCCATAATATTAACAAACTTCCAGGAGGCAACGTATTTTAGCAAACACAAGTGGTGGCTGTTGCCCAATGGGGATGGTGGACAAAACAACAAGGAAAGAAAACAACAGGGCAGAGGCAACTAACAATAGGTGGCGTTTGGGGCAGGAAGAGACAGAGATCACAACAAGCGGACAGCCTGCTTGAGGGGGGAGAGGAGGAGGAGGAGAAAAAGCATAGCTAGGGGCTGGCATGGAATACAGGATGCTAAGCCTGTCCTTGAAAGTACTGACTAACCTTCAGCAATTGCTCCTAGTACTAGGATGCCTGATTCTTTCACAACCCACTCTGGATGAAAAAGCAGTTCTTTTAGAAGGGGCAAAATGTGTGGCAGCAATTCATCGCGGAATACGTTGGCAAGGACATCAAGAGCAGCAGCTGAACACTTCCCTAAAACAGATACACAAACACACATTTAATACACTTGAGACACATTTTAGTCATAAAATTTCAACTCAATGCTACATTCGTATTAATTGTAGGCCGCGAAAGCTTTATAGAATAATCAAAACAAAATCATTCCATGCATATCATCAGAAGGCTTAACTACTCAATTAGTTTTCATTACAGCATTCATGAAGGCAATTCACAAGATGTGCAACATGTTTTGAATGCTTTTATTGAATCACATCTGAGTAACACTCAAGACATGTATTAGGTAACAACTTTTTGAAAAGCTTGAAGTTTTATTTGCTCAACTGTGAGCATGATTTCCTAAAAAGGCCCTCAAACCCCCATTAATTTCAATAGGGTTTGTACTTCATAAATGTTTTTCACCCCTTTTATCAAAAAGCTGCAACAGTTGCAAAAACCCAGAAGAAATATTCTACTTGTGCTCAGTGACTGATAAATTGCAAGTACAGAACATAATCCAGAGGACTTTTAAAAAACCAAGTTAAGGGAATTTTTACAAAGTTGGCATTATAACTTCAGAACAATTGCTGAATAGGTGAACAATTGCTGAACAATAAAATAAGGACAGTTGGTAGACTCTTAATCACAGGGTTGTGGGTTTGAGTCTCACATTGAGCAAAAGACTCCTGCGCTGCAGGGAGTTGGACTCGATGACTTCCAGAGTCCATTTCAAATCTACAATTCTATGAATTCACCACATAAATATTTTACTGCACAGTATTTTATATGGCCTTACTTAAATTCCAGTCAGAAATAGTATCATCATCATCCAGCTCATCCTCTTCCTCCTCCTCCTCTTCAATGCCATCTTCCTCATGCTGCTGCGCTACCGTCCTTGAACGGTGAAAGCGGGGCCTTATGTCTTGCTCACTATCTGGGATAGCTTCATCTTCTTCAACATCTCCCTGTAATCAGAAACCAAAATGGCAAAGAGCCTATACATGCTGAAGTAACGTCAGTGTATTTGTTTTCTTCAGTGCAGAGCTGAGACTTCAACATTATGTTACATGCCCTAAACCTCTGGGCACTGGGGTAGAGTAAAAGTGTGATTTAAATCTATTCGCAAGATGAAGGTGGACTTCTGAGTTTACAACATATAAGAGCAAAGTGGCATATTTCCAAAAACTGATCTTACTCTGGAAAATACAGCTTGCCTTATATTTTAGCTTCATAGCCACCCTGCACCCAATCCCATTGTTTAATTCGGTGCACTGAGTCTTCCCTTCATAGCCTGTGAACCAACAAGTGGGAAGGCTGCAAAAACCAGCAGTGTTGCAACAAAGCGGTCAGAGTCCACAAATAACTGAGAGTTGTTAAATGTTGCGTATGTTGCTGCGTATATTGCGCATGTTAAAGGCAAACATTGTAAGAGTATCTAATATAAGGGACAGTGGCATATCTTCAACAAATGAGGGGGGAAACCATGCTTACCTTCAGGAGAATTATATCTATCTCTGAGTATTTCATGCCATTTACTAACACAGGTATCAACCTAAAGAGAAAGAACATTTCTTGAATATCAGCTGGTTTGCAGCTATACAATTTTCTTTGCCTCCAATAAAATATGGAGGTGTCCAGGAAGCATTCATTGAGGTATCTGTGGTTTCTGAGCCTCTAGCACTTGCACTTACAGGGACACCCCCCTTTAACCCCACTTGAAAGCATAAGATTTCAGCAGCCTTGCATACATCCCCAGTATTAAAAAGGTGTGCCAGTTATCTTCCTTGCACACACTGAAACAGCACCAAGGTAATCACTCTCAACTATGCTACCATCAATGCAAAAGAATGTATACGTTTTATACGTGGATTCTTGCCTCTGTTCCCAAAATCCATTTTTTTTAAAAGGCATCGAAAGCATGATGCAAATAAATTCTGAATCTATAAAATTATGGAGGGTGGGCGTAGGATCAACTTACTTGGTAAGATGCCGACATAGAACATCTTTACAAATTGGCTGTTCAGCCAAAGTCAGCCAAAACTCACAAGCCTCCAAAGCCACATTTTCATCTTGGTCCTGAGTCCTTTGTAGCATATACTATACACAATGCCAAGGAAATAAAATGGCACAGGTGTCAGTTTCTTTGTAAATGTGATCTAATTAAGAAGAGTTTAACATAGCAATCCACAACAATGGGGTTGCTTACAAAAGTTTTTTTTTAAAAACTGAAAGTACCAGCTAAGCATGAACATCACAGTTAATTCATTTCTTTCCCATTGCACTGACTGGCCCTTTATGATAATATTTTTGTGCTCAAGCTCAGATTTCACAAACAGCTAACAGCATGTTGGTAGTGTGAGTGTGAGAATGACAGAGTGTGTGTTCCTAGATTATTCCACTTCTCCTAGATTTGCATGTTTCCTGCATTATCATTTAAACCAGTAAACACTGAAGATGTAGATTAGTGTTAATTTGAAAATATGTAGTACCACAGGATTGTTTTACAAACTGTTCTGCTTGGCAGCTACCTAGTACTGACATTTCCAAGTCTGAGAAAGTGCATTCTTTACTTGGGACTGGTCACATGTATGAGAAAGACATAAGGAAACCCTTAAGGGGAATTAAAATCTTATGAATAACTAAATAATTTTCTCCATGCCACTCCCAGTGTCCAAAAAAGGTATTCCCATGATTTTAGGAATGTTTGCTAATCACTGCAAACTGTATCAATATACAGAGCAGTTCATAATGAGATTTCTCCATGCGATCCTATACCATAGCTGTCAACTTTTCCCTTTTTTTAAGGGAAATTCCCTTATTCCGAATAGGATTCCTCGCAATAAAAGGGAAAGGTTTACAGCTATGTCCTATACACTGCAAAAATCACACTGAGAAAATAGGCAGACATTTGCATGTGAGAACCAGCACTTGCTCTAATGCCCTGCTAAGGATATGGATGGAAGATTAAGGGTGGCTAACTCATGGCCCTCTAGATGTTGCTAGATTCCAGCTTTCATCAACTCCAGCTGATGTCCAATGTCCAACAGTCAGAGATGATGCTGGGGCAGGCAAGGGAGTTTTGTAAAACCTTGCAGATCACAATTGAGCCATTCTGAATCAGGAAATTCACAAAATGTGTTTAGGTATCCACACTTCACACAGAATTATGGCAAATGGTGAAACAGCTCACAAATATAAAACAGAACATTTAGAACAATCCTCAACAGTGTTTTTGATTTGCAATGGGCAGCCAATACATATTTAATCTAGTGCAAAACCCCTTAAGGCTAGATTACTGCAATGCACTATACAAAGGGCTGCCTCTGAAGACGGTTGAGAAATGTCCGCTAGTGCAGAATTCAGCGGCCACGTTGCTCACCAGAGCAAGACCGTTTGAGCATATTACACCGATCCTGGTCCGACCGCGCAGCTACCATTTAGTTTCCAGGCCCAATTCAAACTGCTGGCTTGACCTATAAAGCCTTAAATGGCTCAGGACTGCAATACATCAAGGACCGCCTCTTTCCATATGAACCTATCCTGACCCAGATATCATCTTCTGAGGCCCTCCTTCGTGTGCCTCCTCAAGAGCTCTGGAGGGTGGCAACATGAGAACGAGCCTTCTCTGCAGTGGCTCCCCATCTGTGGAATGCTCTCCCCAGGGAAGTTTGCCTGGCGGTTTCATTATACACCTTTAGGCACCAGGCAAAAGCGTTCCTTTTTAACCAGGCCTTTGGTTGATTTGATTGACATCCTATGCCTTTTAAAATGTAGGGTTATTGGTTTGTTTTTATTTTATGTATTTTGTGGTTTTATATTTTGATTTTTTTCTGTGAACCGCCCTGATACTTCTGGGTGTAGGGTGGTATACAAATTAAATAAAAAAATAACCCCACATATGCAGAAAAATCACTCAGCAAATTTAAGTAGTATGGCTTTCCTTTTACATTTGACACACACATGTATGCCTGAACATATGTGAATCTTACCCATTTACTTCTCCCTCTCCTTCTACACACACAAAAACTGCTATTGTGTATTCATTTGTGTTTAATCAAAATTCAAAAAAGTTACCTCAACAATACTAATCATGTGAGGAAGTAAGCGGTCCATTCGAACTTCCAGTAGCATCACTAGAGCCCGACACACATTTTTACGTACTTCAGGCTCCTCATCGCCCGCCAACGCAAACAGATTCTGTTGAAGGGGGAAAGGTATTGTGAACAGGAGCAAACTAAATGGTTTACAGCACCTATGAGGTTTAAAATATGTTGATTCATTTTTAGTAATCCCCTTATTTGGAAGGAAAGAAGTGGACCTAAATATTACTTTTTTAGAATTATTAGTTTGCCTTACTATCAGATTTACTTCAGAGCTCCAGCAGTTTTTTTTACTGTGTTATAAAGATAAAAAGATTAACTTCATTGGGAAAAAGCATCTGTCAACTGAAATAGACATATTGGGGACTGGGGGTCTGTTGTGTTTTCTCAAGCCAAAAGCTATTAGGTGAAATCCAATGTTGCATGAACACGCTTCTGCTTGCATAACACCTCCCATGCCTCCCTCAACCCTCCAGCACTGATTTAGGATTTAGGGGAGGGGGCAAGCAGGGAGAGGAGACAGAAGGAAAGTTCTGTTATGCACACAGAAGTCAATTCCACTTATGCACAGACACCCATGGATTGCATCCATTGCATAGCCATGAAATTTCTGCTTCTAAAAGTCTTTTGGCTGGGCGGGGGGAAAACACTTATGAAACAATTGTTATAGTGGGAATTCTACCAGCTTTGATACCTGCAGGGACCATTTTTAAGTTTCCATTGAATTACTACTGTAGCTCTTCACAAGGAAGGATCTACAGTTTGCGGCTACCCGAAAATTGTAGCCATCAGCCCTCCTCCTCACCAGGTAAGCCCAACTGGCCTTTCCCAAGGGAAGGGAATGTGGGAAACATACCAGGTTGCACGCAGCTACCCGACAGTATGGCCTGCCAGGCCAAAATGGTCCCCTACCCCTGCTGTATATATAATACAGAACTTGAAAGCAGCTATTGTTCAAAGTTCTAAGCCCTGCAATGGTTTCACACACTAATAAACTTTACGACTTCACACATTTCATTCTTACCCTGCTTTCATGGTGTGGGAGACCTGCATGTTTGTGTTCAATTTCCATAGTTTAATTAAAATTTTATCAACAATTTTAAAGGATCAAACTCAGAAAAGATAAGAAACTTTGTGTCACCTACCTCAATAAATCCATCAATGTGCAACATAAGGGCCTGAGTCCTACTGATGATAAACTGATTGACACATGCAACTGCATGGGACCTACAAAATGTAATTTTTTTCTTTTAAAAATCAAATCAAAAAGTACATTCACCACTTCTAAGACTCAAAACAGATTTGAAACTGATGTGTGAAAGAAACAACCAGTTTTTTTAATAGTACAATGGCTATAGCATGTGTGTATAGCAACTATTAGCAACCAGAAAAGACTCAGGAACAGTAAAAACATTCTACACCAGTTATAACCAAGTGTAATCTCCAAAGCATGCCCAAATTTTAAGTGAGCCCAAGGATTTACAAGTTACAAAACATGAACACTGCAGCTGGGATCCAAAGAGGTCTGTGTGCAAGTCAAGACATTTATTTTTGGACTGCCGCTCCAAAGTCAAGGCTCTTTCCAAATGTCATACACACATTAAGATTCAAGTGTGGTTAATTGAGTAGTTCGGGAACACTAAGATGTGGGGCGGGGGAGAGAAAGAGTTTACATCCAGGAGACAACTGGAAGTGTTTCTGTTAGTATTCAGTAAAAATACACCTACGCTGCCTTAATGACAAAAGTTTATTGACTGGCTTCCCACTTGTACTTGGTAATCACTTGCGTCACAGCAACTGCCTTGGGCAAAAAGAAGTGACACTTCTGGTTTACAATAGTTTCCCTTCCTAGAGGCCAGGTAAATAGCTGTTTACAATGGTGCTAAGCTCCAGTGAAGCTCATGCTTTCATGAAACGATGCTGAGGAACTTCAGCAAAGGCAAAGCATTTGTTCAAGGTCTCAGAAACTGGAAGAGTATCAGTCAGACTAGATAAACAATTTGTTTTTGGCCTGAAATGGCATTCAAGTTAGCCATGTTTAAAATACCTTCCCATAAAATCTTGCTAACTGAAGTATTTGAAAAATGTGTGTGTGTGTGTGTGTGTGTGTATACAAACATGCATGGTCATCTCTTACCTTATCTTTGGACTGCTATGTTTGAAGAACTGTAAAAACTTAGGGATCATGATATTGAGAGGGCGATCTAATGCATCGCTATCTAAGATTTCAGCAGAATCTTCACAAATCTTCTGAAGAGCTCCAAATGCACCCTGCCAAATAAACACACATTTTGGTGTGTGGTATATGGACACCTTATTATTTTAGAAATCCTTACTCCCTTATCTCAGTACACTCCTATTTAAAAAATAACACCTGGTAGCAATTTCTAGATTAAAAATGCAAGCTGGAACCAATCAGTTACACCTGGCTGGGATCCTGTAACCATTTGCTGTGGAAGCAAAAGATAGATTGACTCCAGGGATGAAGTGGGAAGGTTTCCCCACGTTAGCCTCCGAAGTGGAAAGCACCCAGCATCTAGGCATCAAAAAGCAGAGGACGTTTTGGCACCCAAGCATCCTGCCTAAAGTCTTCCCAGATCTCCTAGACCTAGAACAACATAGGTGAATAAGCAAGATTGAATAAATGCAAAAATCTGCATGAACAAGTCTTGCTTAGCATGTTCTCTCAGAAGTCTCCAATACTAAACAGGATTACATTGACATGCGAAAGAACATTTGCACACTTGAGTAGCAGGCAGCAAAAAAATTGGACCTTATTGAGTGTCTGTTATACAACAATTACCCCAATATTTCAATCAACTTTCACTGAGAATTATGCTATTTTCTTACGGGTAACAGATCAACACTAATGTGCTTGGGTGAGCAGGATCATTTAAATCGCTTTTTGGAAGATTAAAGGTAAAAATAGATTCCTACACTGTTCAGTAGTAATTATGGCTAGATTACAATGCAGTTTAAATGCAATTTTAAATTTGGTTATCTTCTACCAAATGCAAATGAAGTACTAGATGGAAAATAAGTCATACCTCACAGGTATTGTAGTCTTCAGAATCCAGTAGGCTACAAAGCTTTGGTAAGAGATCAGGCCAATTCTGCAATTCTCCTTTTGAGGCAATGGTTGTAATCAGGATACCTTGGATTTGTTGGAAAAAGAATAAAGTTAACCATTTAGTATTCTGATGTAAGCATACAAGTGTTAGCAAATAAATTATATCAGAAACAGGAGCAGCCTTCCTCTTTAGTATATTAAACAGAAAGATGGCTTGATCTTTCAGTCTGTGAACAGAATTAATTTGATAAGTAAAGAAATTCCTCTGCTCTCAAATCCATCGTTTTTCTAAAGCTACAGAAATATTAAGTGATGAAATCAACATTCCAAGCAACACTGTTTAACACTAGGCAGATAGATGGCCACTGCTGGCCATTACTACAGGGGTTGAGGGAATCTAGAAAGGCAGTGGTATAGCTACATATGCAGCTTTTCAACTGCGTATTTACAGGGCAGTAAGGCTTCTACAACTCTAGCTGCAAGCAGCCATTTATGGCAGCATTGGGAACACCTGGGGACCACACTTGTTCACCTAAAGTAAACATGTGAGTACCAAGTTATACTAGTGTAGAAAGATCAATAATTTTGCTCTACAAAACTAACACCAATCTTAACACTGACCACACTCAAAATGATTGCTGGATTTGCCTTATAACAAACCATTTATTAGGTTCAGATTATGGAACTACAATCCCCCTTAGGCAGAGTTGCTAAGTCATTCCTCTTTGGAACAATTACCAGTCAGCTCTGAAAGATCTCCGAAATACCTTCAAAGCACAGAAACAAGGCAATCATTTCAGACTGAAGACAGTTAGCTACACCATAAAGCTATAAAAATATTCACATTCTAATGAGTGGCAGAGGGAAATAAGAGAACTATCAGTAAATAACCAGTACAAGCAAAACAGATTACACTAAACTTTTCTAGCGGTAAAGACTTTAAAACAACAACTTCCAATGTTGTGGCTCAAACCTAATGTTGAAACCCTGTGCACATTTATAAGGGAGCAGGGAACTTCTGATTAAAATCCTTGTGATCCAGCTCCAAGATATTCAATGTATTGAATGGCTACATCACAAGTAGTGGTCAAGAGGATAGACCTACTAATATAAACAGCTTCTCTTAAACCATTTGCGGAACACTGATTCATATAATCCTTCTTTAAATATTGTAGTTTATAGAATCAGCTAAACCCTTCCACTTGCAAAATGTGGTTGTGCCAAAGGAAACGTGCTCCTCTCCTACTTCACAGAAGAAAATATGACCTGTATTTGCATTCTGTAAGTAAAAATCCCACCTTGATAATCATACTCTACACATTTTCCTTAAAATGTTACATTTCAAAAGCATGGAAATTGTTATTTATCAACATGGATTGGAGGTGTGGAGGAGACTGAACTGTGGAGAATTCAGCTGTGTCCAGCAAAAAGCCATTTAAATGTTTCAGAAGTTAGCCAACCATATATTCACAGAATGTAATCGATTTTAAAGTAATTGCTTCCTTGAAGTGCAAGGAGAAAGCTTTAATCCATCCTCCTTTCCACATGTCAAAACAATGTCACCATACTCCACACTCCAATGACTATCTTCTGGGTAGCAGTGAGTTTGTGTGTTTCCAGAAATGGGGAATCAGCCACTGTTTCTCCTCTTCCCAATAGGCCTTTGTGCCATCTGTTAACTGCACAGCACCTAAGAGTTTCATTTGGATCTCTGCTACCTCCTCCCACATTCTGTCTGAAGAGTCTTACCAGATGTGGACCCCTTCCACCTGCTAATCTGATGAGTTCTTCAGAAACTTGCCCACCATTTTGTGATTATTTTGGTTAGCCCAAGAGAAGGTATTGCCCTAATTTTTTTTTATGAGCCAACACAGCTACCTTTACTTTGTGTGTGACTTTTCATTGCAAAGATTTGTAGACAGCAACTACTTTCTTCTACCCTGAACTAACATATAACACACTGCTGATTGTCACTACAACCAAAATGTATATATAGTAAAGTCTTATTTATTCAACTTGTATACTGCCCTTCATCCGAAGATCTCAGGGCAGTTCACAGTCAACTGAAGTTTAAAACCCATTTCAATTTTAGTCACAAAGATGAAACATTACTTTAACACACAACTTGACCAGAAGCATAGTAAATGGTCAAAACAAAAACATCTAAAGAAAGAAAATGTTGTTTTCTGTGAAGATAAGAACAAAGGACTTGGAAACCAATGATATATTAAACGGATTTATGTCAAAATGTTTCACTATGGGTAATATAGACCACAATATTCCAATATTACCGTAATTAAAATATTGAAGTACAGTACACTATCCTATCCAATCAGATTGGATTGGTACACTAGCATATTTGGACCTCTCAATTATTAAACAAACAAACAAACACATTTTAAGAAACCCTCTAAAACAGCTCTCCCAGAAGCTTTCAAGTCATTTAGCATAGCATGCAAACAGTTGCCACCAAGAACTGGCCTACAAATACTTTTAAATACCTGCAACTCACCTACAGTGGCTCTGATTAACGGGGAGGAGTCTCCAATATTGTTTAAGCACTCGCTTTTAATGAAATCAGTTACTCCATTAGGAAAATTGTGAAAGTGAGCTTTCACATTATTCTTCAAGATGAGACCACTCAACGACCGTGTAGGTTCATCTAAAATGAAGAGTTTCAAAGTGGAATTTAAATATTTTAGTAAAATAATACATACTCTACAGAAGCTTTAAACACTGCTAATATTTCATATGGCAAAACTTTATCAGGGACACATTAAAATTAGCTGTTAAAAAAACCCAAGAACTTGATTGTACAGTATAAGTGAAGCACTCCTTTACCTAGAAACAGGACACACCAGCCATCTTGTAGCAGGGCTCACAATATCAAGTATAAAATTTAAATTGTTTTATACTTCATGGCTGTCACTAAGGAATAAGGCCTATGGTACTAGAGTAATATCTTGAGAACAACACCTCACTTTGTCCAGAGTTTATTTATCCTGTGCTTTGTAGTGGGAAGCCATCTGCCCAGAATACTGTACATGGGGACCTTCCCACGGCCTGCATCAAAATTTAAGGAAAAAGAAATCCTAAAAAGTCTTGTCATGTGAATAAGTCTCTTTCTTAACTACTGTATGGCAATGCCATATTTTCACCACCAATAAATAAAAAAAAGTACAAGGCAGATGAGGGTTTTTTATACCCTAAAACCCATCTGAAAAGAAAAGAAAATATTTGCTTAAAAATAAGTTTCACATTAAGGTACAATCAAGGAATAGAAACTATAATACAATTTAGACCCTATTAGTATATTTTTACTAAAAAGCTTTCATTTTTATCTTTTAGTCAAATTCGCAAACAAATGCCAAAGAAGAATCTGTATTAACCACATTTTGGAAAGTTTGGACATAGGATGTCTTAACTGCTTCTTTGTCCCCTCCTGGATGATTTGGTGAGCCAGGCTAGATACCGACATTCTAAGAATGAACCCTGTTGCTTATTTAGTTAAACAGAATTTCAAGTGTGTTAAAAATATAGACTTGTGTTGGAAAACATTCCATGATTTGAACACCCAGACTAAGGCTGCAGTCCTGCTTACACTTACCTGAGAATAAATTTAATAGAACTTAACGTGTCTTTAGTTCTAAGCAGGCCATGAATAGGATTCCACGGAAATAAAACAGCCAAGCACAAAACCCAAACTAGAGGTACACTTCCTGCATAAAGACCAAATCCTACCGTCACAAAAACCAGTGCTTTTTTTTTATTATCCAAATGCCACATTTAGTAAGAATCCGGAGCTTGAATAATTTAGCAGGAAATACATGGTTATGGATCCAAACACTGGCCTTTAGAAGGCTCTAACAGGGAGCCTTGCATCAAAAGCAGGATTAGAAAAGAATGTTTTATTTTTTAAAGATGGATGCATTGTTACAGAGCCAATGTTAATGTATAGGGAGCAAGATTACTAAAGGGGTCATAAAATATCTAAACAATTGGCAGAACTGACTTGCACACAGGAATAACAGTAGCTCAAAATAAATGAAGACTAGCAAAAGTGCATAATTTTGTGCACTCCCTTAAGCAAAGGTTCTCTGCTTCTCCCCTCCACAGTTAAAATATCTGTACTATTTAACATCACCATCATTTTATAAATGTTTGGGGGGGGGGGACACCCTTGCCCTTGAACAACTTTTGCTTTTCTGTCAGATATTGTAGCCATGTTAACACCACGACTAGTTTCATTGACATGAAAACATCTGGGTTTTTTAGTAAGAATCTTGGAAAGCTCCACCAATACCTGTTACTCACAACCCTAACTTAAACAGATGTGCTTGAAAGCAAATTCCATTTATTTCAAAACAACTGATCTTGGGACCACAGCATAAGGAACATTTGATTATAATCAAGTCTACAGACTATATTTATGTATGCACTGAATTCCTACAGTGCCTTTCATCACACACAGCAAACGCAGGATTGTAATCTACAAAATTGCAAGTAAAAAGCCCCCAAACATGAAAAGTGCCTGCGTATTTTTTCTAGTTTTGTGAGTGCTTATTAAAAATGGTATAGAGTTAGTGACTCACCTTCAGATTTTAGCTTCGTAAGAACAAATATCAGGTAGTTGTTGAAGTCTGGATACTGATTGAGCTGTTCCAGTTTCTACAGTAGAGCATTCTGTTAAAGACCATTTCTTGGGCATTGTTTGCAAGTTCTCAATACATTTAAACATGCAGCTGAAACTGTTTTGGTTTTTTGCTTGTTTTTTAAAAGATCAAAACTGGAAGTAAAAAGTTTCTAACTACTGACAAAGTGTAATCAGGACAGCAAACACAGCAAGGTACTTCAGTACAAATCTGGAGGTCTTGTTATTTGCCATTTAACTGGCTGTCAAGAACAAGGAACATTTGCCACCAACAACCACAATAGAAAAAACTGGAAATTTAACGCAGTACCATGTGGAAGCATGCATAGCTATGTCTCCCTTCTGCTGTTAAGAGCTTCCCATACACAGTTTCCTAGCTCTCTGTTGGATGCAAATGCAATGCAGATCATTGCTCTTCCCTGCTTAGTAGGGGTTAGCATATACAGAAACCATTCCTCCCCATAACTTGCCTTAGGCCTTGTCAAATCCAAAGCAAATGGCAGCAAATTAGTGTCTCTGCTGGGCTCAACCCATGAGACTCAAGCAATGAAACACAACTGCCATCGGCCCCAAGCCACGGCAATGGTCAGGGGTGATGTGAATTATAGTCCGTAACATCTGGTGAGTACCACATTGGCAGAAACCCAGTGCTAACTTTTGCAACTCACCTAGATTTTTGCTGTCATTTAAAGTTAAGTTACTCGCAGACTGACTACTGCGAGAATCAACCGATGCATAGAGACTCATTTCAAGATTAAGTGAGCATACCCGTTTACACTATGCATGCTTATACATCCTATAGGTTAATCCCATGCACACCTATTCAAAAACAAGTCCCACTGGGTCCAATGGAACCTTCTTGAGAGTGATAGGATTGCAGCCTTAGGCTGCAATGAAAGCTACTCACACTCTCAGAGTCACGCCAGCTTTGAAAGATTTGTACCCATGTCTAGGATTGCAATCTAAATCTGAAACAATGTGAAGAATTCAGACATTTTAGAAATAAATAAAACTTTGATAAAGTATTCTAGTAAAATGCTGTTGCAGACAGTAAAGATACAATCTTGTAAGCCCATCCATGGGAGCAGACCCCATTGAATTAAATTTAACTCCTTTGAAGGCATGTATACAATAGCATTGTAAGTATTTTAAATAAATATTCGTATGTACACATGTAGACATATGGTTGTTATAGTTCATCTTACTAACAATGTCAGAAAGATGTGCAAGCCATAGAAAACAGTGTGGTGTCGCTACAGGAGTGTTTTCTGTTCTCTTCTATTGAGTTTGATTACTCCCAAGTTATTTTCCAGTGTTCTTGTCACTTTCAGAGATGTTGAAGAAAGCCAATGAATCTATTTTAGCAAAATTAGTCTGGCATTCTAGGCAATGCAATGTACCCAATTACTTTTCCCTATTACAAAACATCAACTGAGCATACTGCATGTTGATGTATCAAACTCAAGATGGTAGAAAGTGGTCAAACACATACCTATTTCAAGAATGTATGTTTTAAAAAGGTGCCGCTTCACCATCTATCAGCAGCTGTGATATCATACTTCTAACCAGAAAGGAACCAACCCAGCAATCAGATTATCAGATTGGGCACAAAACAATAGGAGAAACTGTGAACTGCCCTGAGACCTGCGGGTATAGGGCAGTATGCAAATTTAATGAATAATAATAAGAGTGTACATTACTTCTGAATATGGGCTGTTAGCTAAGCCCTTCCTACACCCACTTAACTATCAAAGAGGTAGGAGGGACATATCAAATATTCCAGCCATTGAGCAATGCTTTGAAAACAATATCTGCTTGTATCTTCCTACTATCTATATAAAAGCATATTATTTTTGTAATTTGTAATTAAGGTTCCTTACAAATAATGGTTAAGGTGCTACAAGGACTCCAGTTAAGTAGAAAATTCCTTATGTTCCCACTGCTTTGTCAATGGTTCTCAAAGTGTAAGAACTTCAGCAGAGAAGCCTAGACAGTTGTCAAGTAAGGATCAAGTTTCTCACTGATCCTTTTGCAAGATGCAGGTCATGACATTCATGTCAGAAAAGTAGTAAGTTCGTCCCATTTGGTCAGCCAAAAAGCAGGCTAGTGGCACAATGGGTCAGTGCGTCTGGCAGTTAACCAGAAGGCTGGTGGTTTGAGCCCACCCAGGGATGGTCATGGGCAGGATTCCTGCATTGCAAGGGGTGGACTAGATGATCCTCAAGTCCCTTCCTACTCTACAATTCTATGATTTTCTACTCATAGGGAAATCTACCACCTTAGTTGCACCCATGGACTGTTGTGACACTTTTCTGCAATTAGGTTCCAAAATAGTTCGTTATCCCTGACAATAGCCTACCCCGAGGGAGTGCAGATGGGAAAACGAAATAAGGCAATCTAGTGTGACCCAGCATAGGCTCATAAAATTGGAGAGTTGTGGGTGAAAGTCACCCATCAGGACCACTATTTGTAAAAAATGAGATTATTTTTTTACATTTCTCCCGTCCGTTTACTACACCATGCTCAGTGATATTTCATTGTAAAGTACTCTGGAAATCTGAATTTAGTGGGGATAAAACACACATTTGTAAACTGAAAATCTGAACAAACCATACCTATCAACCACCAGTTGTTCAATCATTTCATTTTAGTAGCACTGTGCCTTGTCGTACATTTTATGTTTGATTAGCTGCATGCTTTTTACTTTGGTTCAGCCTTCTGAATCATACCCAGATCTCTAGTCCAAGGGAAAACAAACACTGTAACTTTGGACCCTAATGCTATAAACATACATCTGCAAGCTTTTTTCTTAACCATACCAATGCACATGTAAGAACTACACGCTTTAGGAGGTTTCAACCGAGAAACCTTTGATTTCATCCAGCCTTTAGCAGAAGTATGAGTGTCTCCTATACACATTCAACAAGCAAGCCCCTCCATCAGCTCTCTACCGAGTCCATAACAGACAATGGGTCTTCACAATGCAACAAAAGGAAACGGGGAACTAACGGTTTGCAGCCTATTTCCCCACTTCTGAAGGTGACCCTTACCCTCTTCGTCTGCAATAGCGACCTGCCGTCCTTTCTACCTGTTAAACGAAATGCCAACAAAGCCAGCTGCCTCGCCGGGCGCTATCAATCACACGTGCGCCGGGGTGGTCCGACACGACTCCGTGCCCCGGGGGTACAAAGGACCGCTTCCACACGTGTCTCGTCCAAAGCCAGCCAGGTTATCCAGAGGAACCACCGGCGGAGGGCTTGAGCTGGGGGAAGAATTCATGGCCGAAAAGGTCCTCCTGCCCAGGCCCGGAGATGAGGGGAGGGGAGATCCCGACACCGGAGCTGCCAAGCCTTTAAAAAGCCAAACGGGGCTCGGCGCCAGGCGGGCAACAGGTGCGAGGCCGCGAAGCCTCGCGGGGCCAGAGCAGGGTCGCCGCCTCCGTTCCTGGCGGTTCAAAGCCCGCGCCACGGCCGGGCGGAGGCCGGGCCTACAACGCCCCCGGCCTCCGCCAGCCGGCGACCCCGAAGGGAAGCGGCCTCCTCCTCCTCCTCCGCCCGGCGGAATCTCTCCCTCCTGCGCGGCTCCTCTGCCCTTCCGGCGGCGGGGGGCCCAGGCGTTGGGCCCGGCCGGGCTCCGGCCTGGCGCTCCCTCCTTCCCTCCCGGCGCCGCCACCCCTTCGGGAGGAGGATACTTGTTGCACGGCTCTCTGCGTGGTGGTGTCCGGGGACTGCGACTCCTTGAGCAGCTGCAGGATCTGCTGGAGCCCCTGCTCGTCGGGTTTCCACTCGTACTCCATCTTGGCGCTCTGCAAAGACAACAGGCGGCGGCCGCCGTTAGCGGCGGCAGCGGAGGAGGAGGCGACGCTAGGCCCGAGCGGGGAGGGCAGCGCGGCGCAGGAAGCGGCGGCGCTCCGGGCGGGTGGGCCCGGCCTAGTTCCCTCCCCCTCCCCCCTCCCCACACGGCCGCCTCCCCCCGAGCCCCACGGACCTGCTGCTCGCTTGCGCTCAGCCCCGGCCGCCGCTGCCGCCGCCTACTGTGCGCTGCGCAGAGCCGACTGAGTCACGGAGGAGAATTGGCAATCTGGCTCGGAGAACCCGGCCGCGCCGCATCCCCCTGGGTCCTAGAGCCGCCGCTCCCGCGCCGGGCTGCTGGCTTCTACCCCCCGCCCTCGCCGAGAGAGAGGAGAGCTTCCCCTCGGACCGCCCAGCCGAGCGCGGAGGGAGAGGAGAGGAGGCCGCGGGAGGCAGAAGAGGCCGCCCCTTCAACCCGCGCTTGTCGCTGGGAGGCCTGCTAATCTAGACTCACCCCCTCCGACCAGGCTCTAGGGGGCGGCAGAGAGCATTGGGGGGAGGGTCTCATGTTATCTATAGTTATCAGTATAGTTAAAGCTATGGTTTTCCCCATAGTGATGTATGGAAGTGAGAGCTGGACCATAAAGAAGGCTGATCGCAGAAGAATGGATGCTTTTGAATTATGGTGCTGGAGGAGACTCTTGAGAGTCCCATGGACTGCAAGAAGATCAAACCTCTCCATTCTGAAGGAAATCAGCCCTGAGTGCTCACTGGAAGGACAGATCGTGAAGCTGAGGCTCCAATACTTTGGCCACCTCATGAGAAGAGAGACTCCCTGGAAAAGACCCTGATGTTGGGAAGATGGAGGGCACAAGGAGAAGGGGACAACAGAGGACGAGATGGTTGGACAGTGTTCTCGAAGCTACCAGCATGAGTTTGACCAAACTGCAGGAGGCAGTAGAAGACAGGAGTGCCTGGCGTGCTCTGGTCCATGGGGTCACGAAGAGTCAGACATGACTAAACGACTAAACAACAACAACATATTATCTAAGCAGGCCAGGATGCAGGCGAAGTCCTCTCCTGCCCAAAGGAAGCAATGCCTGTTACCTACATTTGAGAAATTCCCTACCAATTTCCCTCCTTGAGTCTCCCCACAGGCCTAAAAAAAAAACCCAAAACGTCATTGCACCGTTTTCCTAACAGCAATTTTGGTGCACACTTAGAATCGTAGAGGTGGAAGGGACCCCCAGAGTCATCTAGTCCAACCCCTTGCAATGCAGGAATCTCAGCTAAAGCATCTATGACAGATGGCCGACCAACCTCTGCTTAATAAACCTCCAAGGAAGGAGAGTCCACCAACTCTGTTCCACTGTCAAACTGTTTAGGCTTGCCATACTGGGGAAAAAAAGCTCAACAATTTAATCTGAATCTCCTTCCTTGAAGCCATTGGTTCATTTCCTACCCTCCAGAGCAAGAGAAAACAAGTTTGCTCCATCTTCCATGTGACAGCCCTTCAGATATTTGAAGATGGCTATCATAGCTCCTGTGAGTCTCCTCCAGGCTAAACATACTCAACTCCCTCAAACATTCCTCATAACGCTTGGTTTCAAGACCCTATCGATCTATGCATTTTATATACTCAGAATAAAGTCCAATTTAAGTCAGTGAAACTACTCCCTAGTAAAGGCTTAAAGGATTGAAGCCTTAACCCGTGGGTAGGTAAACTAAGGCCCAGGGGCCAGATCCGGCCCAATCGCCTTCTAAATCCAGTCCCAGGCTATTTGAACAAGTTAAGGGGGAACGCAACCTGAACAGCTATGTACTTCACTGGGGCTTTCCTCCAAAAGGAAGTGCATTCCATGCTGACACTTTTATCTTTAACATTTTTTACTAGGGATGAAGCCCACTGAATGCAGTGGAATTTTCTTCACAGGAAACACACCCAGGATCAAGCTGTTACACTTTCACTGACATTATGGCCTAAACCTTATTTCCCTTGAACACAATTAAAACATCTACTGCTTAAAGCCAAATGAATCTATCTGTATACAGACATTAGTCTTGACCTTGAATAGCAGAAAATAAAGTTTTGGGGTGTTCTTATGATTTTTAACATGTTTTTGGATTGGATATTTCATTACTGTTTTTTGTATAGTTTTAAAATATTTTCTTACATTACAAATACATATCCCGAGTCATATTCCAGTTATGTGGCAATTCCTGTTACCACATGCAGTCAGCAACCATTTTTTTTAATAATGTGGAGGTCATCTTTTACACTGTATATAATAAGAATATGCCAATCATCAGAATATGTGTCTTTTCATTTCATTCTGCTTGGTATTTTAAGTTTAGTAGCTATTTTTTCTATCAGCACTAGTTGCTGGACTTTTTGGTACTGTATGGTCAAGACTGCACCCTCTAAAAATTTCCAATATGTATCTATTACCAGCTCAACTGCTAATAAAAGCTGGCTAATAAGGTGCTAAAAAGGCAGGTATGATAACCCAAAGTGTATGCTGATGGTAATGCACCAGCCCAGGAAGGTTCAGATTTGATTGCCCTTTTAAAGTTTAGATGCTTCTAAAGCTTTTGACTATGTAGAGTTGCCATATTTGAACATCATCATCATCATTATTTAATTTTTCAAATAGATGCATATACATATACAATATATACATATAAATGTTCACATACAGATTGTTACAATAAAAACAATAGAGCACCAGCCCTTTCCTTAAAAGTAACTGGCCGTAATAAAGAAGTTCCAAAGGGCTGATTCACCCTATCTGTACCTATCTGGTTCACCCTAGCTGTACCTAAACAGATGAAAATACTGGCTGCAAATTAGAAACCCTCATGCTAAGGCCTCTAACTGCTTTAACACGGTAACTAAAAGCACTTTATAACATGGCTGTAAATATTTTCAAGGTTATAAGTCTTAACGTGTTGCCCTGTAGAAGTCACGCAGTATTTCTCACCTCTGCCAAATATCTCCCCCAAGAATCAAGCAATGCTTAAAAAGGTTTTCTCTGAAGTACAACGAAGAGCTTTCTTCTCACCAGACTATCTCAATCGCCATCTTGAATGGAATACCATATTTGAACATCAATGAAGAGGATGGAACAGGGGTAAATTCTTATGTGTAATATTGAGGAAACAGGCAAGGTTGTCTATTGCCTCAACTCTTCTTGTATGTTGTCACTGGAATCCTTAATGTGCCCCATTAGATGGAGTATGCAAATAAAAGGAATGGTTGTAAATATACCCACATAATATCAATATTTTGTTTCAACACAAGTGCTCTACCACCGAGCCACAGCCAAATAATCACAGGCAACTGGGCAGAGATAGCAGCTCTTTACTGTTTGTGTGCATGCAGGCTGTGCATAGAGCAAAACGATGGAAGCAACCTAGGTCCAATAATTTCAGTGGGTCTGCTTTGACTATAACTTAGTTAGATACAACCCAAAGAGTGAAAAATATTAGATCTTTAATAAGATCAGTATTATGCTAAAGTAAATAAAGACAGCGATCAGTCAAAAGTTTTTTTTTTCAGAAGCAATTTGTAGTACAGTTTAGGTTCTTGTGCTATATTATGAAAAAAGCCAATCCTAGACCGATTCACATGGCTGGTGATAAAGTACTGCCTATAGCCTCAGTGTGGAATGTGTTACTAGAGTTGTGAAATATTCTGCTGTGCTACTGATGTCTGTGGAAATGTAATTTAGAAGTTACAGAAGCAGTCCTAAAGAGCGTGCAGCAAGGCAACTTACCACACAATCCTAACAAGTTATTTACTAGTGATTTCCAATACTACGGTGCAACAAAGGACATTCCAAAAAAACCAAACTCAACAACTTTTGTGTCCGGATTTTCACTTTTTGAAATATGGCAACCCTATCCAAGACTAAGCTGTTATCTTTAATGAATGAATGACTTAACAACTAATGAGGAGATTCTGTACAAATGATTTCTGGTGATATATGCAAACTATGTACAGTGGTACCTCGGGTTAAGTACTTAATTCGTTCCAGAGCTCTGTACTTAACCTGAAACTGTTCTTAACCCGAAGCACCACTTTAGCTAATGGGGCCTCCTGCTGCTGCTGCGCCACCGGAGCACGATTTCTGTTCTCATCCTGAAGCAAAGTTCTTAACCTGAAGCACTATTTCTGGGTTAGCGGAGTTCGTAACCTGAAGCATATGTAACCTGAAGCGTATGTAACCCGAGGTACCACTGTACATGCATGCATGCATTTATTTATTCTTCCAACAGGCAACAGCCATTCCACTAGACTGCAGTAGAGAGAGAGATAGGAATCATGGCCACTTCATTGGGCCTGCTGAACGGCCCACTCCTTTTGCTTCCTCTTCTCCCTGAAGTATTTCCATCTCAGCTGTTTCTAAAAGAACTCTCTAATGTTAAGAACTGGTGTCTGGGTTTGTTCCCGCCCCCCTGCCTTCCACTTTATGTCATGTCTTTTAGATTGCAAGCCTGCAAGCTGGCCTCCTGCTTTGTTTGTTTTTTAATTATCTTTAACTCCTCTGGAAGCCTTTTTTGGCTGAAATGCTTTAAATAAACATGCACATAAATCAATTCTCTAAAATTTCTATTCTACTTATTAGCCAAATACCCCCCCCCAATCACGTACACTCTGCAAACACAGCAGCTCTTGTGAATAAAGCCTCCTGTTTGTCTGAATTGTTCAGTTACATATAAGACACAGTACCCCAACCACTTCACAGTACCCCAACCATTCCTAGTTTCTTTATCTTTCTAAATATAGTACAAATTAAGATACACATAATAAACTAATCTGGCCTGTTATTTTGTATATGGCATGATAAGAATAATAGAAGGGGCCCTGAAAATTATTTCATCCATCTCCCTGCAGCTGTCCCTTGCAGGGATCGAACCTGCAACCGTGGTGCTATCAGCACCACGAAAGAATGATAATACAACTTGTTTTTTAAAAGCTACAAGCAGTACTTGATAAACTGTTAACCTCTTCATCATGTCAGCCTATGCTGTCGTAACCTACCCAGGTTCCTCAGCTTACAAGGGAAATTATGTCGGTAAGTGAAGAGGTCGAGGGTGACAAAGTCCTCCTGTCAACAGAGAAACTGTGTACTTCATAAAATGCACTGAATATTGTCAACAATACGGGACTGTCAAATCTCACAATGACTAATACACTTTGAATCTTGTGCAGTATAACATGCCAATATTCGGAAGACAACTTCATGTTTTACTTATAAACACCCTTCACTTCCTAATTTATATTCTTTTCACATTGACCAGCCATTTTACTTTAATCAAATATTTGAATAACTTCATTTTAATCAACTAGATTTTTCTGCCGCAGCACTGATGTGACTAAAGTATAAATTAAAGAGTGGGTCCTCTGCAGTAGCACAGGCAAGTCAAGGCTCTTGTCTGGGAGTTTATAATCAACTTTTGACGAAGGAGTCCTGAAATCATAGAACTGTAGAGTTGGAAGGGACCACGAGGGTCATCTAGTCCAACTCTCTGCAACACAGGTATATTTTGCCCAACGTGGGGCTCAAACCCACAACCCTGAGATTAAGAGTCTCGTGCTCTACCGACTGAGCTACTCTCACTCCTGTCATTGGTGAGTGTCTCATCTGCCCAGGTGAGTGGATGCATTCTGTTATGGACAGGGTTGCATTCCCTCGGGTTGCATTTGGGGATGCTGCTTCGACCACCTCTGCCACTAGGAATGCAGGTTTATTCTGTGGCATGGAGCACCTTTTACCAGTTTAGGTTAGTTCTGAGAGCTGCATCTCTACCTGGTCAGAGATGGGCTGACTTCATGCTCTGCTGACCTCCAAGTAACACCACTGTAATTAACTGAAAATGTTAGAATCCATATTTTGTACAGATGCATTAAAAGCAAGAGACCCATTGGCATCAGAGATAATAATAAGCAACTTCTACGTAATCCTGTTAATAAGCATTTAGTCATAGCATTCTGTTAGCAGTAATCCTTTACAAAAGCAATTAAAATGTATCTAATAAGCCCACACACCAGTTAAGGCTGGGCCTACTGACAATGCTTGAGATGGGAATTGTTGTGGCTGAGAGCCAGGATCTTTATAGCGATCACTCCTAAACGGTGAAACTTTCTGTCTGGATATGTTAGGTAATCTACACTTTACCTTGGAATTTCAGTAAGGCAATCCACCTTTGGTGGGACTCTCTAGGACAGGAAGATGAAGAAACCATAATCTGTTTTGGTCAGTTTGGATTAGTTTAGCTCATTATCAGGTGAAATATAAGAATACAGTGGTACCTCCATTTATGAACACTTCTGGTTACGCTCGCATTGGGTTATGAGCTCCGCTAACCTGCAAGCAGCTGCTCCTGGTTGCAACCTTTGCCCCAGGATGTGAGTAGAAATAGCACGCCAGAGGTGTGTGCGCAGCGGGACACCCCATTGTCAAAAGCGCACCTCAGGTTTCTGGTTACGAATGGACCTCCGGAACAGATTAAGTTCGTAACCGGAGGTACCACTGTAATGAAAACCAATTGTATTTTTGTATATGCTTGTTTATCAGTGCAACAAAATGTTGGTATTTTGAGTCTCGTTAAGTTTTTATTTTTAAAGTTTAGTTGTTGATTTTAAAAATTTACATTTACCTAAGTTTTAGTTTCTTTAGTTTGTTTGATGCCTATAAATAATGTTCCTTATGACTGTTTATGAGTATGTATCAATAAATGTTCGCCCTGAAAAAAAACCTCTGGATGCACACCATAATGAAATGTGCTGCACTCACCTATGCAGAGGAGTCTGAAGTACTGAGATTCATTTCAAGAGAGGCAGCTGCACTTTGATCGTTGTCCTGTCCTGTTACCAATTTCAAGTCAGTTTCACGTTAGACTTAGTATTCTGGGCAGTGAAGGTCTCAGAGTCGGGAATGCCCCTTGACGGAACATGTTTCGGCACAATCTCAGCATTACAATTTGGCACATATGATAAAGCTATCCTTGCGGAAAGGGATACCCACAATGCCTTCAAAGTAGTAGTAATTCAAGAACAACGACAACAAGATTATTGGGGTAAAATGGCTGCTTGAACGAAGGATGAGTCACTGTGGTTTGTCATTTTATAAAAAAAGGAATGAGTTCCCACCAGTTTGTTGCCTTGGCTCCAAGACGAAAGCAAAATGTTTCAGCACTGCCTCACATTCTTTTATGTTGGCAAAGCATTCATTTTAAAACAGCCCATTTTAATCTTATTTGCAAGCTTATGGGATGAAAGAGGAATTTGGGGGAGCATATTAGGCACCACAAAACATGATCAAGAAATAAACTTATATTTTTTAGAAGTCCATTATATCTAAGCAGCATATGACTGCATATGCTAGCTGTAGGTTTCAGCTGTTTATTCCTGTCAGTTCGAGCAGTTTATGGATAGGACATTATGAAAGAAATCAAATTTATTTAAGTGGGCGATCTCTCTGCACAAATGTCATTTGAATTATTCAGTCTCATGCAGCATTTATCACTGTAAAGATGGCAGTGCTCATAACACAACACAGCTTTTGTCTATATCTGTATACGTACATGATATACATGGAGAAACTTCTGTTTAGGTTTTGCTCAAAATTTCTAAGGTTTGGCATCCAACATCTATAAGTCTTAGTGATAAGTATTGGGATGTAAATAGATGCTAGAAAAGGATATATTTGTTAGATATTATCCTTCCATTCTTGAGTTTAGTAGAGTACCATCCTTTTGCAGCTTAGAAAGGAAGTTTAGATAGGCTAGTTTAGTTTAGTTAATCCAGGATGCTTTAAAGCAGACTGATTTTCCTGGTATTACCCCTTTCCTCCCCCTTAAAACAATAATAACACAAATAGTCTTGTGAATACGGTACTTCAGAATACTTGCTGAAGAGTACCAGATACACGACCTTTGTTCAGGCAGGCTTAAAATGGTAATTCAGTTACAAAGACAACCCTAAGTCTAGCTTATATTGGTGTCTGAGCACTGGAGGTCAGACTTAGCAGATGTTCTAACATTTCTCACTTGGTGATGAAGAGATGAGGAAGAGACAAAAAAGAAAGAGGATGTGCCAAAGCAGGTAAGAGAATATATATCTAGCTATGCCCTTCCCTTGTCAGGGCACACTGGGAGTGTCTCTCACAGAGTTCTAGGAAACCTATGGGAGAATTCAGTGAGCTTCGGCTCCTATCATGTGCCTATCTAGCAAAACATGAATTGTTGGTTGACTGCACTTTATCCCAGAATACGGCATCTGGATCTTCACCAGCTCTAATGATGAGACTCATAGCCCAAGTATAATGACTGGTGCACACATTTTTCATGCTATGGGGATGCTGCTGAAAATAGCATACTTGTATCACATGATTTTCTTCCTGATCATTTTAGAACCACTTTTACATGGGTTGTTCCAGTCACCATTACTGAGGTTGCCTCCAGACTGTCAGTATCCTGCAGGAGGGATTCAAGTGTATACTGGAAATTTTGGTTTGTGCGATCAAAAGGGGATTAAAGCATTCTGTAACAAATTCACTTTTCATGAGAAGAGAAGTGAAATATACTCGGAGTCGAGAGTAGATTTCATGCTCTTTATTCAGCTCATAGTGGTGAGGAGGAAAGGAAGTTCCCCCACAATATCTGCTTTATATACATTATTTACACAATGGGCTGCACGTGATTGGCTAATTCCGGGATTCTCCTGTAGGCCAATCAGGTTGTGGATTCACTTCCACCTGGAGCTGGATTGGGTGGCTCCTGCGGACCAATCATACTGCTGCATTGTTCTAGGACCAATCAGACTGCTTCATTTTGGATCCTATTGTTCTAGGACCAATCAGACTGCTGCATTCTGGATCCTATTCAACTCAGTACATAACAAGAAGACTCTCTGGAAAAAAAACCTCTGGTGTTGGGTAAGATTGAGGGCACAAAGAGAAGGGGGCGACAGAGGACAAGATGGTTGGACAGTGTTATAGAAGTGACCAACATGAATTTGACGAAACTCCAGGAGGCAGTGCCTGGCATGCTCTGGTCCATGGGGTCATGAAGAGTCAGACACGACTAAACAACAACCACCAAATTCACTATTTTTTAAAAAACGACTTTGTAGTTAGGAATGTGGCAGGGAAATGCAATGAGCAATGTGGCAGGAACATATGATTAATGGGAAGATTTATAGGCATGCAAATAACAACAAATGCTTATTGTCTTATAACATCCCTGAAAACAAATTCGAACAAATGCTGAATAAGGAGCAGACATGTAAACTCTGAATGGATGTCTGGAACACTCAGTGGTTCCTGTCAGGAGTGCAGAGACTCAACATGATGGTAGCAATCTGTAAATTAATTCAAACACCGTGAGTAAGACAGCTCTTATATATTTTTACGGCAGTATTATACCAGTGGGTATTAAACTCACTAAGAATCCCCATGGATATGGCTGGAACTGAAACGGAGGTGGGAGATGTCTGTGAATATAACTTTGAGAGTGATGGAAGTGATTCTGTTCTATGAGCATATGCATATGATTTTGATTTGTGGAGCAGCAGCTTGAAATATTTCTGCAAAAAGCCAGAGCAGTATTTTTTTTAAAAAAGGTCACACAGATGAGGACCCAAGACCAGGAAAACCACTTGAGAACTAGAATCTACTGTCCAATCAGATTTATGATTTTTATAATAAAGCTAGCTCTAGCTTTGTGATCAATATAACTTTGGCAGAAGTCAAAACCCAACTTTACAGCAAAACCGTTTCTCAGGCAGTTCATATTAATGTACTTCCACTTTCAGGAGCAACTTAACCCTCTCCCTGCTTCCACCCTGCTATTATTCCCAATTTAGGTTGCAAACAGGATGAATTAAAAATTATTTTTAAAATCAGTTAATAAGTGGATGTCATATAAGAGCTTTGCAGTACTCAAGAACGGTACATCAGGTTTCTAAAAATTAACCCCATTCACCATAATGTTGAGTCATGCCATGAAGTCAACTTAACCCATCAGCAGCAGTTGGTAGCAAGCTATTTCCTACAGATATGTCTCCATCAGATTGGACAATGAAAACTTGCGTTGCATACCTGTTTTCAGTCTTCAAGGATATATTTAGGAGAATGAAATATCTAGTCAGACACAGCAATATCCAAGAATAATTAATAATTAGAATAATTCGAGTACCTGCACTTTATCAACCAAAATGCAGTATAATGATTAAATCCCTTCAATGAAGTTTTCTGCCCTCCAGACCGCTGAGTGCACTGGATTTGTCTATTTATTTATTTATTTATTTATTTTTATAAATATTAAAAGTTTCTTGTATAACATATAACAATGGCCAACACAATAATGATTTCAGTCTTTACACAAGAAAAATCAATTAATGTTTTGGTTCCTATAATCTCAAGGCGCAATGTGCAAATAAGGGTGTAAAAATGGACTAGGAACTCGTGTTGATTCGTATCTGATCGACTGGAAGAGCTAGTTCTTTCACAGCACATCTACCAGTAACAACTAGTATAGGCAATATAGGTTATGAAAACAACATAACCTGGGGGAATACCTTTGAAATAATTATTTTCAGTCAAAGCTCATATT